GCATTGATGCTTGTGCACTCTCTGATAACAAAGTTCTTCAGCTTTCTTGTTTTTTTTATTGCGCTGTCTACTTCCTCAATGTACTCGCTTACGTCTATGCCTATGTCTTCTTTGAGTATGGCATATATGTCAACGTTCCATATTTTGTAGATAAAAGTTGCTGCACACATTGAGATGGACTTCTTCTGGAGGCCCTCTGTTTTTTTGAAAAGGCTGTCTATAGCAGGAGACACTGCGCCCTCTGACACTGCATACAGCGCTGAGATAAGCGCCTGCTCTGGCCCGTTTCTCTGTATGAATGCAAACATCCCTTCTGGGTTTGTGCATGCTCTTTCCATCAGCTCTACTCCGTTCATAATGTGGTACAGATCCACTTTGTTTGGCGCTAAGAAGGCAACTTCTTCGCCCACAATAAGACTCTCTGCTAGATTTGGCGCATGCTTTCTCCCGGATGGAGCTACGTGCGTGTACTCTGCGCCTGCTATGACAGTGCAGCAGTTCTCAGGGCTTGCTGTGTCTTTTTGGTTTGATATGATGATTGTGATAACTGGATCGCTGTCCTTCTGTCCTATGCTTACCAAGTTCTTTCCTATCTGGTAAAATCTTTCGTTTTTTATCGTGCTGTGTGTAGCCAGCCGCGATCTTATCCTTGTGGAGGGCATGGGCCTTTTTCCTATAGCATATGCATTGTCGTCCAAAAAGATTCGGGTTGCGTCTGGGAGAATAAGGTAGGCTGAGTAGCTTCTTCTATCTACCTTCACTAGCTGTATGTGGTGTTTGGTGTTTAGCTCTGGTAGATCAGCTGTTCTTATTTTCTTTAGATACTTCTTCAGCTCGTACGCCTCCAGGGTGTTGTCCTCAAACAGCACAAGCATCCCTTTGTAGGTCGTCACCATTTGCTTTATTGCAGGCTTGTGGCCCATTGCGTACAAAAAGGGCAGAATATGTGCCATCACTCCGTGCGTATGGGACACAATCTTTGCAGAGTATCCTTTCAGCCAGCTGCTTTCTTTATAGACAAACTCGTATATGTTTCCATCTGCGCCCCCCATAAAAACTCTGCCATCGTCTGTTTCGCAGACACATGTCATCACCACAGGCAAGTCTACCGTTATGTCCATGCTGATGTACGCCACTGGGCTTTTGCATAGACACATCATGCTGGCGCTCGTCTCTGTAAACAGAAGAATGCAGTGCTGCACATTTGACGTGAAGATGTCATTGCCTGGCTTGATTGCAAAGACAGCCTGCACCTTCTGTGTTTTTGTTTCTATTTCGTTTATCATGTGTGTGTTGTAGTTCCAGATGACAAGCTTTCCGCGGTTTGCTGCCCAGACAGAGGACACCCCTTCAATCAGCCCCGCGTGCCCTTCGTCTTGCGCTGTTTCTTCTATTTCTTTTGGAAACGGTATGGATTCTTTTTTATACACAATCGTGTCCATCGTGTACCCGCTGGCGCAGTCTTTTACTTTTTCTAACGACATTTCTACTGTGCTTTTTAAACTCTCTACTGCACTCTGCACTTCGCTGTATTTATCCATACAAAAATAAAAAAACAGATGGAAGCACTTTACAAGCTTGGCAACTACAAGTTCAAGCAGATGTTGGGCGAAGGGATGTATGCTGTGGTGTATTTGGCCGAGCAGGACGCAGAGCCCTGGGCTATAAAGGTCATAAACAAGGGAAAGTGTAGAAAACGCGGAACCAGGCATGCCCAAAAAGAAATCGCAGCGCTGCTGCGCTTGGGGAAAAAGGCTGGGGTTGTGCACCTAAAAGAGTGGAGAGAAAACGAAACCTTTTTCTTCATTGTTCTGTCGTACTGCCCAGGGTATTCTCTTGACAACACGCCGACTTTGCTGAGCGTGCAGGAGATTCTCTACACTGCGCTCTCTATCCTTGAAACACTGAAAAGGATACACTCCCTGGGCGTCTTTCACTTAGACATAAAGCCGTCCAACGTCATCGTGTCAAGACACGGTGCGTGCTTGGTGGACTTTGGATGCTCCATTATTTCCGAGAACGGCGTGGTTGAAAAACACATGCTGCCCTTTGAGGGAACGCCTGCATACATGGCGCCCGAGATGATCAAAAGCACAGACCCCTTTATTTCTCTTGAATCGCTTGACGTGTGGAGCTTCGGGTGCCTGCTTTATTATCTGGCTGCAGGGAAAAATGCGTTTGTCTCTGCCTCGCTGTACTCTCTGTATCCAAAGATTCTTCACTGCAAAGTAGACTACACGGGGATGCCTGCAGAGATAGAGCAGATATGCAGAAAGATCTTTATCCAGCTGCCCAACGAAAGAATCTGTCTGATGAACCTTATTGCCCTTGTCAAAAGCAAACTTGTTTCTCCTTTGCAGCAAAATGTCTAAAATAGCTAGCTGCAGCTCTTGAGCTGCTCGCACCTATAAAGCCTGCTCCTACTGAGCACCGATAATATATTATGCATCTTTTGTGTATTAAGCCTGTTCAAACGGCATTTTATGCTTATCCAGCTAGATTTCTGTGTACTATTTGCTTTGCAGATGATGTTCTGTGATATCTAACAGATCTAGTTGGAGAAATCAGTGTATTTATCTGCAGAGCTGAGCCTATATGTATAATAAATACACTTCTGTTTACTTACTTGTACATCCATTTCTTGCGCATATGGGACTGGTGTTTGAGTGTTCCAGCGGAAGTATAGCTAGAAACAGCTGCTTGTTTCTGGGCTTCTTAGACCGCAGAAGAGCAGTCTTTATATTTGTGGTTTGTGCAAAGTCCTCTGATGGTAAAGTGTCTGGTGGATGCTTGAATTTTTTAAATAATGTTCATTGAAACAGTACAGAAGGAAAGACTGCAGATTTCTCCGTGCCAAAAGGACATAGGCAGCGCGATTCTAGCCAAGCTGCAGTGGCAGGTTCCAGGGAAACAGCTGGAGGGAACTGGCGTCAGTCTTTTTCCGCTGTGTGTGGAGGCTATTGACGATGTAGAAATACACGAAGGAGTGCTGTATCCGTTAGTAACGTACAGACTCATCATATACCAGGCTTTTCCAGGGGAGGTCCTTACGTGCACTGTTGAAAAACAAGACGCCTCGGGCATTCTTCTCAACCATCCCCTTCTTCCTTCGGTTTTTGTTCCAGCTGCGCAGCTGCCTCCCTCCTCGGAGCTCACAGCTGTTTCTGGGCGCATGGGAACAACTGTGGACATATGGGGGTGGAAGTACAACGAGTGCATCTTATACATCCGCATGGGCGAGGTGTGTAAAGTGGCAATTGTCAGCACAGCAGGCTCCTCGATATATGCATCTATGGATGGCCCCGGGCTTGGGCCTATCTCTTGGTGGTAAATAATGCGCATGCTTTCTTTGCTAAGCATATCAAATGGGCATGCATGTTGTTGCTATGTGTGGCATTGTGTGCTATTTGCTGCCTGCTGCAGAGGCCTGTTCTTATAGCTACTGACTGGAAATAAATAAAAAGCACATATTAGAATTAAAAAGCATAGCACCATATATTAGACAGATATGCTTTGGAGAGATAGAGCAATAATAAGTTAGTGTATACCCATTTAGCCAAGTGTACGTCTTTTTTCTTCTGCATCTTCATCTTTTAAAGTTTTAGCAAATAAAAAGTGTACTGTGCAACTTGACGTAGACTTTTTTTCAGCTGCAAGTTTGGGTGCAGCTTCTATATTAATAAAAAAGTGTATATAATTAAGTTTTATGTTTTATATACCCATTATTTTAAAGATGCCAAAGAAAAAAGAAAGACTGAACAAAACTCTTTAACAAGCTTTAATAGTAAAATGTTTTTATTTCAAAGATAGTTTATTTGTTTCTATTGTATAATGCTATGTAGGTGTATCTGTTAGGCAACTGTGTTGTTCTGTGCTATCTGCAGTGTACTTTACGGCACTTTTGTTCTAGATTTATTACTTAGCTGAGTTTTTCTATTTAGGTATTTATTCTGTGAGATGGCATAGATAAATGTACATACTATTAACCGCCGCACGGCATGTAGTTATTTATATCATATAGTGCTAAATCCAGTATAAAGCGAGATCTTGCTGTAAACAGAATAAAAGTGCCTGGGATAAAGAGTATAAACAGCAGGGAGCCAATGTATGTCACAAAGCAGGCTGACCTTAGAGACATGCGCCTAGACAGAACCATTATCTGGCTTTCTCCATAGCCCATTTTCACGAAAGAGGTCTGGTACAGAGTTGTAAACACGATGATCCCTATGATGACCAGAGCGAGCAGCATGAAGATGCTTAGGTTTGTATAAAGCGTTTCTCCAAGGTCGCTTGCGTTCGAAAAGAACTTCTCGCGGTCTCCGACTCTGAGGTATTCTAGCGGATACATCCCCAGCCTAAAGTACATAAAGCTCTTTTTGAAGCTTCTGAGGCACCCGAATATCATGAAGCCAGTTGCATTGACCATGCGGAAGATCGGATATTCGATTAGATACAGGCTCCTGTTCAGCAGAGCTCGCATGATGTTAATCGGCAGCTCTATAAGCAGCGACATAGAAAAAACAAATGTGCACCGTATGGTTTCGCAGAACACATTGGCAATGATTTCGATCGACTCTAGCGCTGTTTTTTTAACACTGTTTACAACAGCATTTATGAAAGAGTGCCCGCACCGAGACTCTCCAACTAGAGACCCCATGAAGAATGATAGTATGTGCAGCACTGTGCCGTACGACTGTAGGACGGTCATTAGAGCTATAGTTATGGAGGTGTATGATAAATACGGGGACTTGTTTGCATATTTGTATACAATCAGCATAGACCTGCAGAACCATTCCAGAGTTTGGGCGTTGAGTAAAAAGACCAGCGAGCTTAGTGGCAGGGTGATCAGCATGGCCCACAGAGAGAAAACCAGGGGAAGGATGGTCTTTATGCTTTTTTCGCCGTCTTGTTTCATTCCCATGGCAGTTCTGAAAGTCTCCAGCCTCTGATCAGTGCTTTTCAGATCTTCCTCTGGATTTGCATCTCTGTATTTTTTCTGCTCTAGGATGTACACGTCTTCGAAAACAGTTTTGCCATCATCTGTTCTGTATGTCTGGACTGCCTTGTCAAAATCTGGGATATTTTCTGAGGCTGGAACATAGTAGTCTGTTATTGTGTTGCTTATCATATACCCAAAGGGCGAAAGCAGTATGCACACCACTCCGCTCAGCAGGACCTGTATTTCTATCGAGATCTCTTTTGCAAACATGTTGAAAGCCAGCATGCTTATAACGCCGCAGGCTCCCAGAAGCGTGCTTGTTGTGACCAGCCGAGAGATTTGTTTGGCAAATATTACTCTTTTGGGATATAGGTACTGCAAAGCCCGGACAAAGCACCAAGTAACAGACTGCAGAGCACCCATGCACATTACGAAGGTGAGAAACAGCTTGTTTTCTGCCAGTGCGCTTGCCAGTGCAGGGAAATTGAACTCTTTTAACACGCTGCTCACAATGGGCATGTTGTTGAAAAACAGCGTTGCCAAATACGAAAAAGCTACTATATTGAGAAAGAACACAATGCAGAACGAAACAATCGTTTTGAACCGGCTCATGAGAGTTGTGCTGCTGTTCTGGTCCTTTTTTATTGGAAAAGACCTTGACTGTATTAAGCTGATTGCTTGATCAACTTGATTTAATGTAATTCCACTTACCATGATGCTAATAAAAATTTGTAAAAGTTTTCCAAATATATAATCAATTTTTAATTAAGCAAAGATGTTACAACCTACCGAAACCAGCAGACTAGATTGGTTCAAAGACATCTGATTAGAGAGCAAAACCCAGCAAAGGACCAAACACATCAAACAAATCATACTATGCTATTATGTGCTGTATTTATGTGTATACTACACACCTGTGCTAGAACCTATATGGTGTATATGGTGTGTCTTCTCAGTCTCTGATATTGCTAAGCATATATCGAGAAAACATCCCAGCAGCAATAAAATCGTTTTCTATCTATTTATTACAGCTCTATCTCAGCATCTTCTACTTCGGGGAGCTCTTCTATCTCTGCCCCGCTCGCGGCTGCCAGTCTGTTTATGGCGCCGTACAAATCATCTGAGGCCTCTATAACATTTTCTGCTTTTCTAAAAAAGGAGCCGTGTGGGAGCGTATCTACAATCTCAGACCAGTCCATTTCCTTGTCAACTTTGACTCTAAGCGCTCTGCGGCTGTATCCTAGATGCACAGCCTTCTTCAGCACGTCAGAGAGCTGTATTTTTATGGGCTTTGCACTTGGCGTGTAGTTTATCTTCTTTAAAACTTCTTCGGCCTCCTGGTGGGTGAGCACTTTATTGCCCCCTTTTCGGACTCTCTGCACAAGCCCCTCTGCAACAGCTTTTCTGGCGTTCTGCTGCTCGTACTCTCTTGTTGCGCTGTCTTTTCTTTCAGTCCCCTGGCTCAGTATTATCTCCAGCGCTTTTCTTTCCGTGGTGTTGAACTCGTCTTTTATGCTTTTTTTGCTGGCAAGTTTTCCCCGGCTAATATCTGAAAAGATACTTTCAGTGCACAGCACTTCTTCCAAGCACGCAGTGTTACGCCGGTACTCGTACAGTCTTTTTGGATGCGCAGCCACCTCGTAATTTCCGTACTTCCCCCGGTATACCACCACAACTATGTCTTGCAGCTTTTTTACATTTTCCGGTGTGAATATCATAGTGAAAAAAAACAATGCCGCTTTATTGCTGCACTCTCTCGCTAATCAGCCCAAAGAAAAGACAGATGTGGATTGAATGCGTACTGCTTGCAGAAGCAGATAAAGTGCAGTGTAAACAGATAGAGTTAAAGATGCTTTATTACTTTAAAAGAGAAGTCAGCTCTGGCATGCTGTATCCTGCTCCTGCAGCAAGCGCCATAATGTTCTTTGCTCCTAGCTGCAGCTCCTGGGAAACAGTAGACTCTGTTACGTATCCTGCTCCAAGCGCAAGAGCGGCAAGAGTGCTCACGGCCTCCTTCACCATAGACTCGACTGTCTCGCTGGTGATCTTGAGGTACTCTGAGTCGAAGAACTTTCCGTCGGAGTATGCGTGCGTGATTTTCATCTTGTACACAAACGGCGTGACTCCAAGAAGGGAAAGAAGAGCTGCCTCCGAGTGCCCTACTCTCTTTCCCTGCGTAAGCGCCTTGCACTTTGATAAGATCTCGATCTTACCCTTTGTAATCTTTGTGGCAATTCCAAGAGCCTGGAAGAAAGAGGTCTTTCCTGGGTCCAGGCCTGTTATGATGGGCTCGATCCAGATGTCGCACTGGGACAAGTCTCCTGGCTTGGCAACTGCGTGCGTCTTCTTCTCCTCGAAGATGTTCTCGATTTCGCTCAAAGACCCGTTGGTGAAAACAAGTCCAACGTTGTTTTTGATAACGTTTTCCACGTCCTTCAGCTCAGGGTGTGCGTCAATAAGCTTCTTGAGCGCGCTCTTGATGGTGGTGTTCTTTCCCATTAAGAACTCTCCTTTTCCTCTTAAGGCCTGCCGGATTATCTGGCACTGGCTGGAGGAGATGTTTGTCATCTCCACAACCATGAACTTCTTGTAGTTTGTGAAGTATTCCTGTGTTCTGTCGTAGACTGAGTTTTTTCTTATGCTTTTTTCCGTCATTATTGGTTGTTCCACTTGCAGCATTGATGTTGTTGAAATGTCAAGGGCTCTAAAAATAAAATATTTAAATAATAACTGCCGGATGCAAATTGCGCAAAAAGGGCACACTCAGCTGGCCTTGCGTGTGCATGCACACTTCTGCAAGTTTGTTAGTGCTCCAGCGGATACTCGCAGATATTTGGCTTCTTGGCCATCTGTGCAATGGAAGTCTTCTATTTACATTTATTTATTTAAATAAATTGAAATATAAACAGAGAATGAATCCTCCGGTAGTTGGAATAAATACAGAAAGATTTACAGCGCTCTGGGAAACATTCCAAACAGAGGCAAACAAGCTTGCTAGCGGCATGGAGTGCAGTGGCATGGAAATATACACCTCGATCTACCAAATAGTAAGCGGCGGCGATGTCTCCTACGCAGTGCGCCTTCACTGGTGCATTGGAAAGTTCTTTTTTGCGCTGGCTGTCAAGCTGCGAGAGAAAATACACGGTGAAGACTGGATAGAAGACTATGCAGAGGCGTTTTGCCAGTACGAAACGACAGTGGAAACAATCGACTTGCTGGCTCTGCACCTCAACGAGGCAATCCTTGAAAATAAAGAGTGCAAAAACATAAAAGACCTGGGATATGTGATATGGGAGCGGTGCATTCTCCGGCAAAGGTACGAAAGAAAGCTTCCCTCTCTCTCAGAGTCTCTCCCAAAAAAGAGGGAGCATGCAGAGGTGTGTCTGCGCTCTCTGAGCAAGATAGCTACAAACTCGGAAGATAGATTCGAGTACTACAAAAACAACTACGAGACAGCTTTGCTCTCTAGCATAATATCTGAGTTCAAACAGGACATAGAGACACAGCAGGAAGATCTGCCAGGGTATTTGGCGCAGTGCAGCCTGTGCATTTCCAGCTACATGGAAACATACGCTCCTCTGTTTCTTCCCATATCGCTTTCTGTTTTGGAGGATTCGCTGGAAAAGGTTTTGTTCCCAAAGCAGCCAGATGTACTGAAAGAGGAAGTGCAGAAAATACTCTACAGAAAAGACAAAAACGAGATACAAATCCTGTGCAGCGCAATTCGCGTGCTGAAAAAGAAAATCTTTCCCATGTTCCTCGTCTACTTGAGCGAGTTTTGTCTCAGCGTCTGGCCTGCGGATAAAAGCTGTGCCGCTGCCTCTGCTGCATACAGCGAGCTTGCAGACATGCTGACCTCTGAGAGCTGTGACAAAACACTGGGCGTCCTGCAAAAGACTCTCTCTATAAAAATAACACGGCCGGGCATAGGCAAAGAGCTTTCTGTCTATCTTGAGGCTCTTATACACAGAAAAGACTACGCAGAGATAAAAATGGCCAAAGTGCTCCTGGACTGCATCATGATAAAAGAAGAAAAAGAAATATTCTACACGCTGTACATTGCCAAGCTCTCAGAGCGCCTGTTTTCTCTGAGATTTGACCCTTCTATTGAAAAGTCAACATCGGACTCCTTGAATTTCCCGTGGGTGGTAAAGAAGAAAGTGCAGCGCATATTTAACGACATGGTGCTGAGCACAAAAGAGAACGAGCTCTTCAAGCAGAAGTATGGCTTTGGGCACTATAGGTACAAAACAAGCTACGGAGACGACATATTTTTCTATGGAATCATTGCAACGGCATATGTGTGGCCAATATCGGAAGATGCCGTGCAGAACATCAACCTCCCCGAAGATATCAAAGGCATTACACAGGTCTTTTCTGAGCAGTATCTTGCAAAGCATCCCAGAAGAAAGATTACCTGGGTGGACACGCTTTCTACCGTTGAGATAGAAATCGAGACTGATCGGATGTACTGCATAGAAATGCCGCTTACACACTATGCAGTTCTAAAGATGCTAGAACAAGAGCCGGGAACCCTTGATAAAATAACTCTAGCCGTTAGGCTCAGCACTAAATCAGCCACAAATATCATAGAATCCCTGCAGAAGGCTGCCATTATCCTGTGCGTTGATGATGTGTACTTTCTCAACGACAACTTCGCAAATGCTGAGCAGAAAATAAAACTAAAGGCAAGCGAGGGCGCAGCCAAGCGCATCGGAAACAGAAAGTCTTACTACCAAGCATGGGTGTCTAGAAAGCTAAAACAGGAAGGAGAGTGCGCCCTTAATGATCTATCTGAAAATATACAAAAGACGCACACAGAGATATTTGAATGGAATGTGCAGGAGTACACAGAAGCCTTGAAAAACCTAAATGAGCGCGGGCTCATTGAAATAGTAGGCCCGCAAATAAAATACGTTCCATAGCCGCCGGTCCTGTATCCAATGCAGAGTTTTCAGGTCAAGCCAATGTATAGCCAAATTTCTTAAATAAAATATGTTTTGTTGTTATAGTGTATGCCATTTGCACACTTACCGTTTAAAAAATATTTCACAGAAAGGCAGATAATTTATAAATGTTTATTTAAATAGTACCCCTGGGACCAGAACACACAGTATACTCGTATTTTAGAGCAACTAAAAGTTTTGGAAATAGGCGTTGTGGGAGTTGTCTATTTCTTCAGCAGGGCTCAGAGAAGGGCTGTTCTTTATCTGCGCTGATTCAAAGTTCATGCACGGCTTTTCAGTGGAGGGCTTCCATACCACAGGGAGCTCTTGTTTTTTCATTTTGTCCCAGTCTATGTCGCTGAAGTACGGATGGTTCTTTATCTCCCATATAGACTTTGTTCCAATTCGGCTGTCTGCACTCTTCTCCAAGAGGCCAACTATAAGAGAGCGCATGGGCTCTTCAATGAGCTCTAGATTGGCCGGTGGGTCGTTCTGTATCGCCTCTTTAGTCTGCTTTATGCTCCCAGCTATAAACGGCGATGTTTTAAGAACGAGCTGATATGCCAGCACGCCAAAGCTCCACCAGTCAGCTGCCTTTGTGTAGTGTTCATCGATCACTTCAGGCGCAACATTTGGGAAACTGCCACACAAAGTGTGCGCAACACCGTTCGGTGCGCCTATGGAGCATAGCCCAAGGTTAGTCAGCTTCACATACCCGTTCTTTGCGAACATGACGTTTTCCAGCCGAAGGTCTCTGTATATTATATTCTCTTCATGGAGCCACTCAAGCGCTATGGTCAGCCCGGCAAGAATCATTTTTATTTCAGGCGGTGTTATCTCTCTACTGTGGAGATGGTAGTACAGATCACCCCCTTCCACAAACTCCAGTATGAAAAAGATGTGGGTTGTTGTTTGGAAGCATCCCTCCATCTTTACAATGAATGGGTTTCCAGAGGACTTGGCTATTTCTAGACAAATTCGCTGTGTGTCCACTAGCTCTTCACTGTTGCTCTCAACAATATCCTTTTTCTTGATTGCCTTCAGAGCCACTGTTTTGTCTCTCCAGCTGCACAGATAGACCTTGCCGTTGCCCTCTGGACATATTAGATACAAGAACTTGAACTCACTGAGCGATATTTCACTTTTGTCTTTCTTTTTCTTTTTTGGCACGTATGCAACCAGCCCTTCCAGCAGCTCTTTGGTGATTCCGCACGACTTAAAGATCATGCCTCTGCACTCTGTGTGGTACGCATTTTGGCACACAGAGCACTCCAGAGCCACGGTCAGCATCCCTATCCTTTCTCCGCAGTGGCAGCACCAAGTTATGCCCAGCATTTTCTGTTTTACCAGATTGTGCTCAACGCTGTACCTCTTGACAGGCTTTTGTGCTTTATCATCGCTGTCGGAGCTGTCTTTCTCTGAGTCACTGTGCCCTTTTTTGATTATCTCTTTCGAGGGCTTTTGCATCCTGTTTGCCAGCTCGTCATAGTCGTTGGGCTTTTCTCGGATGTCGATAGCTGCAATTATTATGTTCAGCCGCTCTTTTTTCATTTCCTCAACCTCTTTCTCAAGGGCCTTTTTGTCGGACTCAGCCTCCTGTTTTTTCTTGAACTCAAAGCACTCGAAGAATATCAGGTTCATGCAGTGTGCATGGCATGTGAACTTGCACCAGTCGCATCTGTAGAACTGCGAAGCACGGTCTTTGCTCTCGTTGTGCCCACACACTCCGCACCGGTAGAGCGAGATGTCCTCGAGCTTTCGCAGAAGATGCCCAGAGGATCTTTTGGTTATAATGGACGTGCCATTTCTCTGGATTCCGCACTCTTCAAGTTTGCAGTTTCCAAACGAAATGCTAAGCATGCTCTTCTCTGCAATTGTGTAGTAGAAAGACTTCGAGCCAACATCCTCTGCATCCACAAGGTTTTCAATCGGAAAGTACACCAGGCCAGCAACCACATCGTTTTCTGTTTTCAGCATAAACTCTATCCGGTACACATCTTTAAATTCGATGCTGATCGACTTACTGTCTTCAATCTCGCCCGCCTCTACTTTTCCTATGAATGTATCATCGGTGTATATGTTTATGCTCATGTTCTTGTGCAGCGGGTTTTTGCTGAAAATGCCTATGATGGAGAGATGGGCTTTTCCGTTGTGCTTAACTATTTTTTCAGGCTCCATGCTTGTTGAGTCAAAAATCATGCTCGGGTTGTAGCTCTTGTCCTTCAGGCATGCATCTGACAGAAACCTTTTTATCATTGCGATCTCTCTTTCTATGAAGTATATGACTCTCTGGGACTTTTGGACCCTTTCCAGCAAAACATCCGTGGTGTTCTCCTGGAGAATGACTTTGTAGCCCTCGAGAAGGTTCTTTTCCTGATCAAGCCTCTGTTTTAGAATTTTGACTCTGCTTGTGTCTCGCGCCTCCCAGCACTCCAGAACGCTCCCGGGGTTTTTGTCTTTTCCCGAGAGAAAAGGGTTTTCATTTTTCAGCTGCTCTATTTGGTATCGAGCGGCCTCTGCTTCAGTCTCTGAAAGCTGCGGAAGCATGTCCGTTAGTTTTTTAATAATATTTAGTGTGTTTGGAACTTGTTCTGGCATATGTAATTTGTTTGTTTATTTTTCATGCAGGCTTCCCAACATATAAGACAATTGTCCATCCAGCTCAAACAGTACCTAAAACAGTGCAAAGAAAAGAACCAATTTTCACCCGAGCTCGCCAAAAATGCTGTTATGGACAGCCTGGCCCCTCTCGCAGAGCTTCCTTTGGACCAAGCGTGTGCACCTCGCACAGCTCCTCCAGTAGAGGGAAAGGCCAGTGAAGATCCATACATATACGCTCTGATTACCGAACATCTGTGCAGGAGTAATGCAATACAAAGTGCGCGCACTCTTCTAGAGGAAATGGAGGAGATGTTTCCGCTGAAGGAGGAAACAGAGAGGGTTGACATTCTAAAGGCATACTGCCCGTGGTCTGATGAGCTGGGGAAAAAGCCGTCACACTCAATAACTCGAAAGTCTTCTCGGTTCCAGCAAATATGCCAAGTAAAAGAAAAATGCGCTAGTCTCATTGAAAACTACAGGGAGAATCCTTTTCCTCTAGACATTGTTTCCAACATCTACAGAATAATCAACGACAGCTACATAGAGCCTCTGCGTCTCCCAGACAATTTTGAAAAAAAGGAACTTCTTCTACAAGATACCATAGACAATATTCAAAAATGTTTTATTGAAGAGAACGACACAATTCTTTACTTTGACGGGAAGACGGGGCATGTGTACGCAAAAAGCTCAAAAAGCTACAAAGAAGTGCAAATTGTTCTGAGCTTGCTTGTATTCCCGCACCGTTGCAAAGAGGTAGAAAGGCTCCTGCGCGCCAAGAGAGTAGACTGGCCTGTAGACGCAATTTCTCTTGAAACTCTGTACTATGTGGGAAAGGCGATGGAGTCCATCAATCTGTCGCCGTACAGCTGCGATGGAGAGATAGAATCAGCAGTTCCTCCTGCCCTTTCGTTCCATTCCACCTTTTTCTGTCCTATTCTTCGAACCGAGTGCTCAGTAGACAATGCTCCGTGCATACTTACATGCGGGCATGCAATTAGCATCCGCGCTTTAGAAAAAATTGCCTCTTTCAAAGGCATGGTTTTCAAATGCCCGTACTGCCCCAAAGATGCAAATATTAAAGATGTATCCAAAGCCAAGCTGTTTATATAGCTCTAGCTGCATAAATACAGTAGTAGAAGTGCCCATTCGCTTACTTTCTTCATGAGAGTGCATTGCAGCTCTGCACAAAATATTTCAGCCAATTAGAATGTTCTCCCCTTAATAAGGAGTATAATATATGCAGCCAGAGAAAAAATTACCAATGGAAGTTAGAAAGATAGTAAGAAGAATAGTTATTCTGCTTGTGATTATATTTGTTATTTTCATACAGAGAAGTCTCTCGGATGAAAGTGAGCAGATGCGCATGATAAACAGCTATAAAAAAGCGATAGAGCAGCACACAGATAGCAACATAGATGAACAGTGCAAAAGTATAGATGAAGTCTTAAAGATCTACGAAGATCTAAAGGATAAAAATGCATTCAATATAATACCTACGACAATAAGTGACACATTTAAGTCGCTATCCACACGAAAAGAAGAGCTTATAAAGATGAAGCATGCAATAAAAGAGCTAAAAGACGGGATTCTATCCTTTGAAAAAAACATATCCCATGAAAAGGCAAACAATAAGGATGAGAATGAAGAGGTTGCAGAGAACATCAAGGATAAAGTGCACAAGTTTGCTGAAGAAGTAAAAAAAAATACCGAGAACATTGAGAATGCGCAGGCAGTTACACAAGTAGAAATTGAAACTCTGAAAAACTTTATTGCGGGCACAGAAGAAAAAAAGTCTGATGCTGAATCTAATGCTAAGAACAACGATGATCTATGATGAAAAGCCCTGCTTATCTTCAATAAATAATCTTTAAAAATGCTTTTAATTCTTACGATGTTTATCATCTGTTCTTCTGCACCTACGTTTCAAAAGTGTACACGCTCCATCATTCTCTTCATAAAAACAAAAAGACTTATACTGTACCAATAGATGCTTTTAGTCTGTTCTCTGTGCTCTCATTAACTTGTTTTGTTTATTAGCACAGCCTTATGTTGTATGAGGCTCTGGTTTTAGTGCAGAGGTTTTCTACTTAGTAAATTATTTGTTCTTGGATTACATTTAAACACTAAAAATCTAAACAGGTACTTTTTAAATAATTTATTAATTCTAGCAGAGACAGAATAAATGGATAGAAGTTACTGGAGCAGTGCACAGTTGATAAAAAGAGGTTTATTAGATTATCACTTTGTATCTACACCTTTTGCTTTTTCATTCAGCTGAGATCTATGCAGTCTTATGAATCAACATGTTTTCTGTAGACCCCTCTCTTTAAAGATTCTTAGAAATTATACACTCTTCTTCTGCAACTGGCTTAGTATGAGCCTTTGTCAAGCCCGCAGGCTTCACATATTGTTCGAAAGGCTGCGTTTTGCAGTGTGCACATATTACAGCACCAGGGCAAGGACTCTTTGCAGTCTTTTGCGATATCTACAATTTCATCGAACTTGTTCTCTAGCACGTTTTTCTTGAACAGCTCACTGTCGTTTTTCTCTACGCATTCTAGAAGACTGTCTGGCAGAATTCCCATGTCTTCCAGCTCCAAAAGCACGTCCAGATCCGAGAAAGCCTGCAGACTTACCTGGCAGATTGACTCCTCAGTAAGACTCTTCTGGAAATGCTTCTTTAGCTTGCTCACTCCCATGCCCCGCTTGAACCAGTTGCGTTTGGTGTCTATACAAAAAAGCCGTTTGTTCTGTGTGAGTCCATGCGTGGGGCGAACCACCAGATATTCAACTGGTATTTTACTTCCTGTGTGCGCTCCCTCTTTATCACGCCATATCACGTCTATGGACTTAACCGACATTTCAAGAGGATTCTCAGATGCCTGCAGGAGGCCATCTAGCGCCAGCTCCATGCCCAGATGCGTGGCCATGCACTCGTATATTTCTGAAGAGGCCTCTACTCCGCTCAGAATCAAAGTTGCAAAGCGCGACCCTTTTCTCTCCCCGTCTTTCCACTCTCCAAATGCATTCTGCATTCTGGCAATAAAGGCCACCTCCAGCGCGCTGATAAAAGGCGACTCCTCCTTCATGATTCTTGTGTACACCATGCCTACAATCTGCATATTCAATGCCCTCAGCACTCTATTCAGCGATTTATCTTCTCCTTTAAGGATCGGGTCTGTTTCGTCTATCAAAAAGCCGTCTGTAAGCCCTTTCTGTCTTGGTGCTATCTTTGCAAACACTTCAGCTTTGCAGCCCTTAGGGACCTCTGTATACTCTGAGTATCGCCCTACAAGAAAATGCACAGACTGCACGTTCTTCTCCTTTCTCTCTATGAGAATTTGTTCTATTATGGCCCTGTCGTGGACTTCGATGTGGTCAACCGGGCGAAATGGCTGCTGTGCCAGGTATATCTCCTTTGGAATGCACTTATTGCATCTGTGCTCGGCTCTGTGTGTTCCGCAGGGAGGAGGCAGATGTGTTTCTATCTGCAGACATTTCAGCTTAGAGTGAAGGTACTCTTCGTATGCGCCCTGCGAGATAGATCTCCGCTCTTTAAACTGCTCTGAGACCCAGGAGTCTTCAGCCATGCAGTTACTGCACATCCCAGATGGCCCGTGGTGGCACACACCGTTTTCCTGTGCAGAGTCCTTGGATGCTTTCTCGGATGGGGCGTCTTCTGCCTCAGGCTCTTTCACCACTTCATACTCTGCTGTAAGTACTTCTCCATTCTCCATTTTGTTCTCTTCAACAGTCCCAACCATTTCTTTTTGATTGTGCAAAAGCGCTGTGCAGACACTTTTTGTTCTGCTGTTTATTTCTTCCTTTATTTGCTCTGCAGTCGTTGTGCCAACCACTTCAATACGCATAGTTCTGTCTCTCCCTTGGACTCTTATAATCATAAAAAAATAGTAAACAAATGCTAAATTACTTCTACTGGTATTTGCATAGCATGCATTGATTCTTCCCGGTATTTTGCACAGCAGACTCTGCTCATGGACTTATAGGAAAGGGTCTGTAAGTGAGATTTGGATGCATATGGTAATTTTATCACCGTAAACAATAATATTTATTTATCGCCCTTCTTTTTTCGGGCTGGTGCTTTTGACACGGTCTCCTCAAGCCTTTCTATCATTCTGTTGTATCTCTCCTTTCTGGCGCTTGCTCTTTCTTCCATGTCTTTTGCGAGCACTTCGGCTGCCTCTCTTTCTCTCTGTCTCTTGGCCTGTCTCTTCTTGTTCAGAATGAGGAGCTTGGCTTTGTACTTTGGAAACTCGGGTATTTTCTTCTCTTCTATCTCTGCGTCCAGGATCTTCCTGTATCTTTCTTCTTGCTCGTCTTCTCCTAGAAGAAGGCTGTCTATGATCTTTGCCATCTGTCCTTTGTGCTTTTTGTAGAGATCAATCAGCTCTGTCTTTTCTTCCTCAGAGCCTGCGTACATAGCCCTGAATCTATCAAACATGTTTTTTGTTATCATGTCTCTTTCTTCTGTCTGTGTCAGCACTTCGTATGCCTGGTTTAGTTGCACAAACTTCTCTTCTGAGCCGCCCGGTCTGTCTGGGTGCATTTTCATTGAGAGCACTCTGTATCTTTTTCTTATTTCCTCGGGCGTGCTTTTCAGCTCGCATCCCAGCATCTGTGCAGCCTCTTCTCTTCGCATATAAATTTTGCAGTGGCTCTGCATAAATGAAAGATAAAAGTCTGGAATGCGTACGCACTGGGGCTAAAGGATACTAGCAGCATGGAAGAGCACGTGTTCACAATGCAAAATACATTTATTTATCTTTAATCTTTTTTGCTTCAGCTTTCTGTGCGGCATCTGGGCCGGCTTCTTCTTCCTCCTGGTCCCATCCATAGAGCGGCACAAAGCTCTCCAGAATTCCGCACTCTGCGTACAGGTTGGGGAACAGCCAGAAGCTACGGCGCGTTGCCAGCCATATGGAAATATACAGGACAAATCGAACAACTGTGATAGATAAAAGAGAAATGACTATTCCTATCAGCACATAGAAAAGATACCCTGTTACAACCTTCAGACTTCTGGGCCAAATCGGGAACATGGCGATGGTTAGCGCAAACATCAGGCCCAGTATGCTCATTAGAAACAAGAATGTTTTTGACCCCTCTTTTATCCAGATGTACTCGTGGTTTATGTTAAAATCGTAGGAGATGTCGAGTGTGTGCTGGTCGCCGGAGGGCCTTACGCGCACAATGTAGTGGTTGTCCAAAAGGGTTGAAATTACGGTTTTTGCATCGCTCGTGGAAAGGTTTCTTGCGTTCATGAGGTATTTGACAGCATCGATGCCCTTGAACAGCGATATTCTTTTCATTCCGTTTAGTATTGACTCGCTTGTGGTGATTCCCCGCAGGTACTTCTCTGCCTGGTTTGCTGTGAATTGTCTTGGCTCAGCCTCTTTTACCATTATTTCTTTTGCTAAAACAAATAATTAATATGGAAAAAAGAGCATATAATGAGTGCTGTTACAAAATGCTCTCTATCCTAAACACGCTAAAAGACTTTTCGCTGGGAAAAACAGAGCTTGAAAACAACCTCACAGAGCTGAATAGACTTATAACTCTTGTGACAAATGATCAGGAGGTCTGTCCTGTGCACATAGAGAAAGTGGGTGATAAAAAGTACATAATTAAAAATACACACATAGAAGAACAAGACGGAGAGGTAAAAATACTAAAAACGGATATACTCCAGCTGTCTTCCTACTTTCAGACTCTTCCACTCAAAAAACAGCCGATTGAGGAGGCGTTGGAGTACATAAAAACAGTAAATGAGAACAGAGTATGCATGGTCTGTCTTAGAAGAGCAAGTGAGAGCACGCTTCTATCTCCGCTCGTCATGAGAAAAAAAGAAAATGAAATTCTCATGTACCATGTAGAATGTGCAGAAGAGAGCCCTAGCTACCTAAAATAGATTTTTATATGCTGTAGACAGCTCGTGGGAATGGATTAATTAGCTAGCGCAGTGGAGTGAGCTAGAAGGTGTACAAAAATTGAAAGAGAAAAGTTTCGAAGCAATCAGCCTCCATGGTAATTGGCGCAAAAGAAAACAAATAAATTATAGCAAAGAAAGAGTGTGTTTTGTTATTTTTATTAGATGGGGTTTCTTCTTTCCAAGCTGTACCGAGACCAAAGCGTTTTTATTCTTGTCCTTAGGCTGGGCTCTGAGAAGAAGTATGCCATTGTAGAGGACTTCTTTAGCGTCTTCCTTTCAAAGTTTAAGATTGTGTATACGCACAGAAGCGAGTATCTAACATACAACAAAATATCAGAGAAAAATCGAAGTCTTTCGATTGTGGAAATGCACGACAGAGACCACTGCAATCTGTTCTGGGACTGCATCACCGGCATGCACTCTATCGTGTATTTTATTGAGAGCCTGACAAGCGGAAACATGCTGGAAGTAATAGGACAGATAAAGGTCATAAAAGATGCAAACGCAGGGGCTTCTGTTCTGCTGGTTATTGTTAGTAACAAGATGGAGATGGAGGGGTATGTGCAGTTTAGAAAAAGTCTGAAACAGGCCCTGGATGGCGTGAGCTACAGGGTAGTAGATGGTGTGATCAATGCACCCGAAAAAACTCTTCTGACAAAGGATGAGATATGCCAGGGTTTCTCTTGGATTCTGAACCAGACGAGCTAAAGAAACACCTCATGCTTTTAGCAAATCTGAAAAAGATAGGTTGGCTTGTAGAAACTTTAACCGCCAACACATCTCTCTTCTGTTTTGGAATACTGCACAGCTCTTATCATCATTAGCTGTTTTTTCCTACCTTAAATAACAAGAACAAATGCATTCTGGATTCAGAACACAGAGATATGCCCTACTCTCCTAGTATTGCACTATTATACTTCAATACACACATAACTGTAGTTTCCTTTTTATTAAATCCTTTGGTGTGCAAATTCTTTTATGCTATTCAACTGTCTTACTGTCTGGAAGCGCGTTCATTCGGTATGCTACGATGTATCCTTCGCTCTCGCTGGGAGGAATAAATAAAGCCCCGGGGGCAGGCCAGATGTAGTATCCAGGCTTTTTGATGCTGCCAACCAGATCGCCTTCTGGATTGACTATATTTATATCCCCATTGTACAGAGACAAGACAACCAGAAAGTCGGATTTTGTGTTAAAAGGGTCATTTAGCAGAAGATAGCTCTCCTTGTTTATCCTTCCCACCATGCTGTCTACTGTCTTTCCTGTTACAGCTGTTACATTTAGCGCTATCTCAGTCAGGCCTCCTTCGTCTTCTTCGGGCTCGTCAATCGAGCCGTATATGCAGTTTAGCCTTCTTTTCCACTCCAAGCCTTCTAGCACCTCTTTTGTTTTTTGTATGTACTCACTGGTGTTGCATTCGTCCATAGAAGAGAGAACAGGAGCATTTTTAAGGTCAACATTTATCATGTACTCCATGTGGAAGAACCAGTATCGATTCCTGTGGTAGCTCAGCTCTATGCTCTTTGGTCTGTGCTCTTTTGACCGCATCCATCCTGTAAATGCTGATCTGCGCCCTGCGGTCATCATTTCTACCTCGTGGTAGGACTTTCCAGACACTTCAAAGATCACGAGTCTGTTAGCAGCTGTTGCGATTCTTTTGGCAACTGTTTTTCCGTCCTGTGCATACAGAACAAGTTTTCCATTTTTCTTGCAGCATGTCTCAGAATTTTCTTTGTTTTCTGCTGCGCTCTGGAGAGCCTCAGAGGGAGATGCGCTGCTGTTTGCTGCGCTATTTTCATCCTCTGTGCTGTTCAGATAAAAGGAAAACGCCAAAACACGCTGGCTCACACAGTCGTCATGGGGCAGGAGAAAGTGCCCGGGGGCATAGAAGGAGGCAAATAAATCCATTTCTGGGCTGTGCACCTCCTTGTTTATGTTCTGGAGGTCTTTTTTCATTTCATTTTTTACCATATTGAGAAAAGGCTGATACCGTTTTTCGTTTTTTAATTCGTTCGTTTGGTAGAAGTGAAACAAGTCTGAGTGTTTCTCGTAGAACTCGCTTTCTTTGTACATCTCCAGCACAGAGCTGAGGACTTCCTGGGGCAGAAACCCGTCTACTACTCTGTGGTAGAAAGGAGTAGTGGAGTACGCAGCCCCTTCATTTGTTTTCTCCTGGGTCTGCATATGCGGCATGTAATAAAAAATTTTCGGTGTTTGATAGTACATAAGCTGATTGGTTGCCGCACAGGGGGACTATGCAAGGGGAAAAAGTATAAATAAACATTGTTTTAGAAGATCACAATGCCAATACAAGGAGGAGAATTAAACTACAACAAAAACGAAAACAAAAAAGCCGCAGATGATAAATCAAAGGATGAGACCAACAAGGCAGCGGAGGCAAACAAAGCAGCCGACAGCAAGAAGCCATCCGACGATAAGCCAAAGACCGAGGGCAACAAGCCAGCAGAAGCCAGCAAGCCATCTGATGATAAATCAAAAGCTGCAGACAGCAAGCCAATGGATGGAAAAAAGCCAGCAAGAGAAGATACACCAAAACCCAGCATATCATCAAGCACTGAGAAAAAAGCTGATTCGCTCCCACCAAAAACAGAGCCCACAAAGCCTGCAGCAGAGAAGCTGGAGTCCAGCAAGCTCTCAGATGCATCCAAAAGCATGGACAAGACTTCTTCCGCACCAAAGCCAGGGGCTGCAGGAGTCTCCGATGCATCCAAGGCCGATGCGCCAAGCGTGCCCCCTAAGCCCATGACGATGGGTCCAGCCCCCATGGGAAACGGTCGCCCAGCAGATGCCAAGAACCCAGCACCTGCAGTCAACAAGTCCTCCATGCAGCCAAGCAATCCTGGCGCTGGCTCAAAAGAAACTGGTGCTGCTGCATTATCATCATCTGGTAAGCCCGCAGAAAGCAGCCAAAACAGCAATCTCAACAAAAACAACACCCAACTTCCACAGGAGGACGACGAACCAAACGCAATCGTAAAGTTCTTCAGAAAAATCAAAAACGCAATCACGGGATTCTGCTGTCAGACAGAGGACTCTCTAAGACACGTTGCTTAATAAATGGCGCTTTCAATCTATTCTACCTTTCTGGCTCTATCTCTTATTCTGTAGCAGATGCTATCTTTTTACTCACTACTGCTTTCTCTTTTTACTTGCGCAGCTATAGGAGACATACCGACCCAGAACATAGCTGTGAATTGGACAGAGTGTGTGCAGTACTGATCTATAAGTTTGTTAAGTTTGGTTTTAATTTGTGCTCTGCGGTTCTTTGTCTTGAAATTTAAATTATATTTTGGGATATTTGGGAGTACTTTTTATAAATATTGATGTTTATTTTTCTGCCATGTATTTAAAAACATATAAACACTTTTGTGTATTTTTTATTTTAGCCATTATGGAGACTTACGGGAATGAAAAAAGTGCATTCTACGCTTTTAAAGACAGGACAATAGAGGGCAAGGATGTTGACTTTTCTCTGTTCGAAGGAAAGATGTGTCTTATCGTGAACACAGCCTGCAACTGCAAACTGGCAAAGAACGGGTACTCTGTAATCAAAGAAATAAAAAAGAAGCATTCTGACTTGGAGGTTCTTCTCTTTCCAAGCGCGCTCAACAAAATTGTTGACCAAACGCTGAAAACCCCTGATGCAATAATCAGCAGAATGAAAGAAGAAGGGGTGTACGACATAGCCACTGTTTTTGAAAAGAGAACGATAGACAGTAAAGCTGGCTTGTTCCAGTGGCTTACCACGCAAAGCTACAAGGGATCGTTCATGGTTGACCTCATGAAGAGCATTAAGTGGAACTTTACAGCATTCATAGTTTCTAAAGAAGGGAAATGTGTTGGGCGCATTTCGCCAATCGATCTTAAGCTTGAAACTCTGGAAGAAGTAATCTCCCAGAACATGTAGATCTTCTTGAAAACCAGCACACAAAACACAGTTTTATCTCTTTACGGAATGCTTTAGGACACTACACGAAATGTGCAGATTTTTCAGTGCTGTATGGCAAATTATTGAGTGGCTTGCTCCATTATAGGAGTATAAAGAGTGGGGAAGTTAAACATATATTCTCGTGAAATAGCTGTTCTAAGAAGATAGCGTGTAAGTTTCTAATAAATGGTAGTTATTTTGTGTTTAGTTAGTCTCTCCAGTTTTCTTTATGTGCAAGTATATCCTTCTCTTAAATCTCATTTTTACTCTGCAGCTGTTGATCATCTTCTATAATCATTTTATATCCGATGGCATGCTCTACTTTTATTATCTCTGTTTCAGCTGTTTGATCTTCAGCACACACTGATTTACGTCAACTATCAATTCTGTTCATTTTATCTTAACAGTTGAATGCGCATCAGTGTGTTACACCACAGTCTTTGATGTCTCAGAGCATGAGACAGTATTTTTGGAATAGACCAATCAAATTAGCAATGCAGTTAAAAACTTGTAATAATTCCCCCTTATGAAAAAAAATTCTAACACAAGCGAAGAAAACAACACAATGCAAAACAACTCTGAAAGCACACAGTCTAAAGAGACTTCCAGCATAGGAACAGGCTCAGCAGAAAAGAGCACAGGATCAGAACAAAAAGAGAAAAAGATCAGCAGTAAAGCCACAAAGCAGCACGAGAAAGAGATGCACGATAAAACAGAAAAACAGATGGAAACAGCCACCACAAAAATCTCCAACTTCTTCTCAGTTTGCTTTGCAAAGATAAAGGGATGTGCTGAGGGAATACGGTCTGGGTTCTACAAGTCTGTCGACGACACCGAAGAGAAGGATGAATGAATGCTAGAAAACAGCGGTTCTAGAAGCCTCACAGCCGATAAAAGAGAAAACTTTTAAACAAGAAAGTGAAGTCTGCACACCAGTGAAGTGCACGGTGTTTTAATTAAAACACTTGCAGCAGTAGCTGTGGACTCACCCTTCTGAATTCAATAAAGATTTGAATATCATCTGTCTTTTGCCAATATATTATAATTGTATCGCATTTAGCCCTTTTTTAAGATTAGAGATGTAATGATGTGGAGTGTCTTGGTTCTCTCGCAATCCGAAGGCTCTGAGTGGAAACATATTGAAGCAGCACCGTACCTAAAAATAAGAGCTGTTCTATCTTCTGATGCGGTAGAGCTCTACTTGAAATTCTTTGGATGCGAAGAGAGGATTGCGTCGTTTTCTCTTTCTGATCTCAGCGTCCAAAAAAGATACTCCTCCGTGGCGATGTTCTTGTCCACACGGAAAGTGCAGATGAAGCTCCATAGCTCAAGCGCAGCAGACAGTATGGCTGAAAAGATAAGCTATGTGCAGACAATGAGAAAGCTTGCAAATGGCCTATCTGCTATTACTCTGAAATACGCACAGAATAGCACAGCTAGCCAATAAAGAGCATAAAATGCATGAGTAAAGGAAGAGACAAATAGTTGTAGAAAATACTTCACTAACTAAAATATTTCTTAAAACATCCTGGAAAAAAAGTATACATTTTATAATTCTGTGCAAATACAATTGAATTATTTAAAATAAATTATTTATTCAGTGTGCTAATTAGCTCTTTGTTGTACTGTGTCTGCACTATTTATCCGTTGTGATAGGATTAGTCCAATGTCTGTGTGCGTGTGTGAGTATCCTGTGCTCACTGCAAGCGGGTAGTCCTCTGAGCATGCGCACCGAAGCCACTTGTGCACAATCGATGTCCTCTGTGGCTGGAAGGTGCCTTTTTCTTCGTATTGTGAGAGCTGCTCTTCTATCTCTTCGGGCGGAAGGAGGCCCTCAAGCTGTTTCTGTATTTCGATCTTCTTCATCTGCACAAGGAGGATGTATTCTTCAATTGTTCCCATGAGAAAGAGTCTGTGTATGACAACAGGCTTTGTCTGTCCCAGCCTCCACACTCGCGCCATGGCCTGCAGGTCATTTGCAGGGTTCCAGTCTGAGTCTATTATTATCATTCGCGTAGACTTCACAAGTGTGAGTCCTTCTGCTCCGCACTTGGCAGATAGTATGATCACCTTCTGGCCTTTGCTTTGGAAGAGAGAAAGCGCCTCTTCGCGTTTTACTATGTTCATTTCACCGTGGAAATCTGTTACGTCTCTGGCTGTAATGGGCACTTCTCTATTGTTAGCCATGCTCTTAATTGCCTCTGTTGCCTTTCGTATTACCTCGATGTATCTCGACACAATGACCAAAGATTCTCTTTCCATGAGTATTTCCTTTGATAGCTTGAGAAATACGTCCCATTTGCTGGCTGATGTGCCTGCGTGCATTCTCAGCCTCTGTATGTCCTCTATGCCCACTTTATTCTGTGCACTCCAGTAGACAGAGCAGTACTCTTCGTACTCTTTGTTTTCTATGATCCAAATCATTTCGTCTTTCTGCGGTAAGCATAGACTCGTTCTTTCTATCTTCCTCCTGAGCACGGCATCACTGGCTATTCCTGAGAGCTCCTTTATTCCCTTTGCGCGTGCTGCTCGTTCGTCTATGAGAGCCAGAAGGGTCTTGTACTCCTGCACAGTGTTCTGGAAGGGCGTTCCTGTGAGAAGTAGCTTTTTGCTGGCCATTTTCTTCAGGGCCTGCAGTGCTTGTGATGTGCTCGTGCGCAGTCTGTGCGCTTCATCGCATATGACAAGCTGGAAGTTGTGCTGGGCCATGTCAACTGATGCGAGCTTTTCGTAGCTTATGAGCAGTACATTCTCTAGGCGTTTGTACTTATTTGGGTGCTTAAGCGCCCCGTTAAATACTCTTAGCTTTTCTGCCCACTTTTTTATCTCTTTCTCCCAGACTCCCACGAGGGAGCAGGGCGACACCACAAGAACAAGCCCTCCAGCCTGGCAGAATATGCGCATCACTGCCACTGCCTGGAACGTCTTCCCAAGGCCCATTTCATCTGCTAGCAGTGCGCCATTCGCAGAGCGCAGTCTTTCAAACATGAAGCGCACTCCTTCTATCTGGTAGTCTTTGAAGAACCGGAGATATGAGGGCTCTATGTAGGCTCGCTTTGTGAATATAAGAGACCCTGCAGGAGGAGGAGGCACTTGAGTTCTTTTGCTGATAGGAAGGATTGCTATCTGGTTTGCCTTCACGCCTTCCTTGATTACGTCTTTTATTCCTTTTTCTCTATCTGTTGATGCGAGATACATCGAGCCTTCAAATACATCAGGCGACTTCTGCATTAGCCTGTCCACTGCCATGCCTGTCGTGGAAAAGAGTGTGTATGCGCCTCCTGTTCTCCTTAGGAGGCCTTCTGACACATTCTCGGGTATGCCTCTTCTCTTGTATATACACTGCATTGCTGGTTTTTTCTTGAAGATATTTTAAATAAACAGATTGCAGTTAGTGCGAGCATACTAAGCACACTTTCTAGCTTAGAATGTTTTAGCATAATTAGCATGAGATAGATATAACTGCACTAAATAGACAGGTTTTATGCAGATCTCTGGAGTGTGTATGCTAAGACAGTAGCAATAAGCTTTGAACAGCACACAATCAGATATATCAGTGCTTATATGAGCAGATATCTATGAGAAGCACATAACAGTGCTGCATTAACATCTTTTGTTTAGTCGCCTTCTAGCTCTCATATTTCTATGTATAGCTGCTGTAGAGGGGATGAGATAGACAAATATTTAGTACACAAGAGAGAAAAATTAACAGCATGGTTTAAGTAATGCAAGCACTATTTATTATACAGACTTAGCAAATATTATGACATGCAGCAGAGCTCCCACAATTCCTCCTACAAACTGGCCAACCCAGTACACCCAGCAGTTCACCCACACGCCAGAGAACAGCACGGGAGGAAGTGTAATCGCAGGATTGAACACACCACCACTGGAGCCTATTCCCAGGAGAGAGAGGAATCCTAGCGTAAACCCAATCGCAATTGGAGCAAATGCTGATCTGTTTGGAGCCTGCGAAGTGACAACTCGAAGTTTGTCGTTGTCTTCGACTTCATCGGGTATTTCTATCTTCACCTGTGTGGGAGGGTTGAACACATTTATAGCCACAGAGAATGCAACGTATGTGAGTGCTCCCGTAAGAATCATTTCCGTGAGGATTGCCTCTCCTATGTCAGCATTCGGTGAAAGCGTCGACCGAGTGTACCCAAGGAGCTCTGAGGAAGTTCCAGGCTTTGTGAGGAGCATTGCTGCAGAGCCAAGCATAGCACCGGCACACTGCATAATTATGTACCCGAGCCCCATCCATATGGGAAGCTTTCCTGTTACTATGGCAGCAAGCGTAATTGCAGGGTTAAAGTGGGCTATGGTAATATCCATGAAAGCGTATATAATGGAAACACTTGTAAGGGCTATGGTCAGAGTAACTGCTATGTTTGCAATTCCTTCGTCCCCTGGCGTTATGTTGACTCCAGTGATTACAGCGTAGACAGCATATGCAAAAAGAAACGTGCACAGGCCCTCTGCGAGGAAAGAGCGTAAAACCATCCAGTTAAATGTTAGTGCCATTGTTTGCTACTCCAAGAGAGCCTAAATACCCCAATTTCAAAACAACATCGACAGGCCGAAATAGCAAACAAATAAATACAGCCCAAGAAAGTGTTTTTCATAGAGGCAATGGAAGACACTTATTCGATCTAGGGCTCATTTATCATCTGCTCCACTGGATAATATTCTATGTATATGCAATGGAGTGTAATAGACTGCACAATCTACCCAATCTGTATTTATTACATACAGTCTATGTAGTGTCTATACTAACTAAATGCATTAATGCAGCACTGTTAGAACTGTGTATATAGTTCCCTTCTGATTCTATACTGCAGAAGAGCCTGTACATCTTTGTTCGGCACTATTTCTACGAAGAAAGTAAAAATAGAAAAGTCTAACTTTTCATTCGATGACAGTTTAGTTTCAATAATCAGAAGGGCCTTTAAATCTAAACAGCAGACTCTACACTTTGCATTTAAAGTAAAAATTGCACAGGCCTTTTACAATAGTCTCTGAGTCTTTTTCTTTTAGTCTTGTCGTAATACAGTTGGTTTATAAAATATCTGAGAAATAGAATTAGTATGTTTATTGCGTAAAGTACTATTCTTCCTGCTCAGGCTCTTCTCCTTCGAAATCCGCATCCCCTGCTATCTCAGACGAAATCTGCCAAATCTGCAATATATTATCATTTGCCACACTCGCAATCTCCCACGGCTCGTGCGGGTTCCACGAGATGTCGCTCAGTGCATCCGTGTGTCCTCCGTGGATGAATAAAAGCTCAGGAGGCCCGTCCTCTCTATCCTCCTCTGCCTGCTCCTCGCCAACCTTTGAAAGATCCCATATTCTCACTCTTCTATCGCTGCTGCAGGAAGCCAGCACCATCTCGTAGTGGGGAGACCACTCCACCTGCGTCACATCGCTCTCGTGTCCAACAAGATTGTAGAGAGGCTTTGCGTCATTTCGGGTGTCCCATATGCTCAGCGAGCCGCCTTTTGATCCCGTTGCGAGCCACGTGCTGTTTTCTGGGGAGAACTGCACGCTCAGAGTTTCTCCTGTTTTCAGAGTCTTTTTCTCTCCGCTTCGCATGTCCACTAGAGTTGTGCCGTTTTTATCCAGTCCCAGTGCTATTGTCTCTCCATCGTTTGAAATAGCTATGTCGTTTATCTCTTCATTCTCCTGTATCTTCATCACAGGCGCAGTGCCCTGCCCCATTTTGTACACACAGACAGTTCCATCGTATCCTGCGGTGCACAGCTCGTTCTGCTCGACTGGGTTCCAAGCCAGGCCAAATCCTCCCTTCGTGTGCCCCTCGAAGATAACATCAGGCACTGCTTCTTTTCCAAATGAAGGATGCTTTGTGTAGTCGTATATATGTACTTCTGGGCTGTCGTACCGCACTGCAATGATGTTTGTATTGGAATGCATGTATCTCGCTCTGTTTACTTCGTACGGCATGGGTATCTTCTGGGTAACACGCACCTTGGACTCTCCCAGGCCGTATCCCCCATCTTCAAGAGTGCGCACAGCAGCATCTCCTACTGTATCAGGCAGAGTGACAGAGACAATCTGCAGATACTCGTCCTCCTGGCCCGATGTCTGTGTGGACAAAAGGAGCCTTTGCGTCGTTGTTTCTGTTTCTTCGTTTCTCACGGCATCAGGGAACCACTGCACGGTTAGGGAAGGCCATGTCAGGGCGTGCGATAGAAGCATGTCGTAAAGATAGGGCACATTCTTCCTCCATGTTTTAAACTCTTCGCATATTGTTATTTCCTCTGGACTCATCTCTTCAATTGCCATTTTAATTCAGAATAAAAATAGTTCTTCCAGAAATTTCGATATTTATAAAGAAGAAAAATTTAGTTGTATACCAATGGATATTAAAGGATACTACAAACTGCTTGAAATAGACACCCAGGCGTCTGAAAGAGACATAAAGGCTGCGTACAGGAACTTTGCAAAGAAATACCACTCTGACGGACAGGTTGTGTCTAATGCTCTGAAAGCATGCAAAACCGACAAAGAGAGAGAGGCTCTGAAAAAGGAAATGGACAAAAAGTTTTCAGATATAACTGCCGCATACGAGGTTCTTTCCAATCCGGAGAAAAGACAGATGTATGACAGAGGCATAGACGAGTCGCAGAGTTTTGGCGGTGCCTCCGGCGAGTCCTTCTTCTCCTCGTTCTTCGGAGGATCTATGGGGTCGATGTTTGGCGGAGAGAGAAGACCGCAGAAAAACAACCCTCGCGTGGAGAACATACACATCACTCTTTTGGAGGTCATTCTTGGGACAAAAATTAAGAGAAAGATCACGAGAAAGATGGTGTGCAAGCCGTGCAAAGCAACGGGCTCAATGAACACACAGACATGCACAAAGTGCAGAGGAGCAGGAGTGTACGCAGAAATAACGAACATGGGAGGCATGCGGCTGCAAAGAGAAATGACATGCAATGTGTGCATGGGCCACGGGATAATGAAGTCGGGGCCAAACTGTAAAGACTGTGCAGGGAAAGGATACATCTCCAAGCAAGAAGAGCTCGAGGTATCCATCCCGCCCGGCGTAGTTGACAGATTCCAGATCGTCTACGAAAAGATGGGAGATGAGGCATCGGGCGCCATCACGGGAGATCTTATCTTCGTAGTCAACGTGAAAGAGGACAAGCGGTTCACAAGAATTGCCCCAGAGCACCTATACACAGAGGCCAAGGTTCCGCTGGAAGATATTCTAGTGCAGAGGCCTATCAGAATAGAAACAATAGATGGAAGAATAATCTATGTGGAGTATCCGCCCATTCACACATGCGACATTGGCGAAGACTTCCTTCGTCTGGATAAAGAAGGACTCCCTACAAAGAAGGGCGGAAAGGGAAGTTTGTTTATAAGAATAATTCCTGTCTTCGTGGCTCCAGAGAAGGTGAAGGACCTAGGAAAGTTCCTTGCAAACTTTACAGGAGAAGAGAAGAACCCTGCAGTGCAGAAGGCTGTCTTTATATCAAAGAACGATATAGACAAGTGGTATAGCAAAGAACAGCAGAGATCAGAGCACTCAGGCCGAGGACACAGATATGCAGAAGAGGAGTCTGGACAGACGTGCCAAACAGCATAGTTTACCAATAAATTAACGATTATCTACGAGCTAGATTTTATTATCCACACGGTCTCTAAATAGATACGATATCTCATGGAGTGTATACGGTCTTACTGGCTTTATGTAAAAATACTAGTTGCACATTCACACACTTTCCATTGTTTAAATGCAGGGAGATTCTCAAATATTAGTTATCTGATCTTTTAACTGCCTAGAGAGTGTGCTAATTCTCTCTGAAATAGAGACAGATAGGAAGTGTATAGCATTTGAAGGTACTCAGTGGATGCACAGAAAAGTTTTATTCCTGCTATTCTCAGTATAAATATGCTGTAGCTCTACTACTGGTTTTATAAGAAAAGAAAGTAGATAGAGCTATAACAGAATAGCTGCGCTAAGATCCTGCAGAAATCAATCTGTGAGTGATAATTTATCTAATGATAAGATATGCTCCAATAGAGTGTAGATATAGCTACTAAAAGAACGTTAGTAGCAGTGTTTGTACAGTGCTGCAGTGGCTATAAAAGTTTAATTAAAATGACAGAGTGTATATAGTTTTGTGTATTTTTCTTTTTAGGGCAGGATGAATATTTCGTCGTACATATTTTCAATTTTACTTTCATTTATGCTGTACGAATTATTCTTCACAGCTCTCATAGGAGTCTCATGGGGCTCATTTTTTCTTCTAAACGGCCTGACCCACCACGGAAGAAGCTCGCACCTCCTCCCAAATGTCCCGGGCCGTCTCAACAAAGACCTTTTCATTCTCTTCTACTTAAATGGCATTCTGTTCTTTGGCGCTCTCTGGTATTTCAAAGCTGTTTCCACAAGCACTATCTTGCTGGGCGCGCACATATGCAGAAGACTCATTGAGTCCGCAGTGTACACCTACAACAGCAGAAGCAGCATGAACATCCTGCACCTTGCCACAGGAATTGTTTACTATCCCGTGCTTCTCGTCAGATCACTGGGCAGTAAGTCAGCGAACATTCCCGTCTTTGCAGTGGCAAGCTTTGTGCAGGGCGCTCTTCACTACTGTCTGTTTAAAAAGAGAAAAAGCGTTAGATATCTCCACTATCTCTGTGAGCTGATAATACACTGCTCGATAAACATGGACTACCTGAATGCTGCTTGGATTATCTCGTTTAGTGCAATAAATATGCTAAATAGGAATAAATAAAATTCTCTTTTATTTTTATTTAAAAATGTGTCCCCCTGCGGGTAGGTGGAAGCTTTCGATAGAGGTAGCAATATCTTTAGGAAGGTCTGAGAATAGCATTGCACAGATCGAAATGGTCAGGGGGAAACCCTACGTGGCAGCTGACCAGAAACTGTTCCCTGTTGGGTGTACGTGTATGCCCAACAGTTGAGATGGCTGTTGCTAGCTGGATAGTCAAATCGAAAGGTGGGCCTATGTGTACGCCCATAACTTAATTCAGACTACTCTCCAGATACCCCGTTTATTATTAACTTCCTTTGATGTTCTCTGTTGACTCTTCAGCTAGCTGGTGGTAGAGTAAAAGCGATTAGACTGAGTTTGTGCAGCTTGTTTTCCTGCAGAGAGGACAAATTGGTGAAATAATTATTTTATTTAAAGACTTTATTTTACTCAGCTCTTTTCATGCACATGGGATACACACTGCTGCCAGAGGAAAGTCCAGAAAAACTGAACGATGCATTTTTAAGCTACTCTTTGATCACAAATAGCATAGAGCCCACAGAAAAGCCATCAATTGCATCTCCAATGTTCCTCATAGATAGCTCTGTGGTGGAGATACTGACGGGGGGAGTGCACATAGAGTCTGCCCTGGGCTGTGGCATGCAGGAGATAGCTAGCCCATCAGATCTTGAAAGAGAAAAAAACACTGATGAAGTGGAGTACGAGGTGAGCATAGACTTTACGGCTCTTGAGAGGGAGTATGAAATGATAGGAGTAGACAAAGAGCACAGCGAGGTTTCCAGTATTGGGCATGCAGGGCAGTACATGTACGAAATAACAGCAGGAGAAGAGAAGTACATTGCAAAGTGTGCAACAGTGGATGAAAATGTGTATGTGGTGTTTTCAGAAGAAGGGCAGATATACAGTATAGACAAGTCGTGCACAGTGAGAAAGCAAAGCGATAGAAGACTAGAGGAATAGGTTTAGAATATTAACTGTGTGCAATTAGTGCATAGGTCGCACACGGGTATCTAAATGTAAGTAGAGATAGAAGAAAGAAAATAAGAGGCAAGTGTAACTCAAGGCATCTTGCATACACAAAATAAAATGCCGATTTACAATGCACTGCATCTGTGCCAGCTAGCAGAGCTGCATTGGATAGAGAGGGCTTGGAAGCACATTTAAATCCAAACAATAAAACTCTTTGATTTAGCTTAATAAAAATCGTTTTATTTCTTATCACTGATATGCTATTGCAAATGAGTTAATAGCTGGAGAAGCAGATGTTTTGAACAGCTTCCCATCTAGAGACAGATATAGTAATTCTCAATATCATAATCAGAGATAAAGTGTCTAGATATCATACTGTATTGAATTATAACGTATTACAGCTGAGTGTGAGCACAGATCTTTCTATGCTAGATTGCAGAGAATACAGCAGTTGATCTGGCTGTAATGTTCATTGTCTGCTAGCACTGCAGTAGAATAAGCAGAAAAGTTGGAGAACTGTGCCAATAAAAGATTTATACTGCTCTATGAATGTAAATCTATACACAAATACCTCCTCCTACCTGCGAGCTAAAGACCTCGAGTAAATCACCGCTCTCAAGGCCAACAGACTCTGGCGTGTCTTCACCGCTGAGAGTTACGCCTTTGTGCACGAATCTAAGCTTGTGCGCGTTGAGCTCTGCTCTCTCCGAGTACTCTTTAAAGAGCTTGCTCAGCTTTGTCTTTTTCTTCATGACAAATGTAGATGTTTTCTGCGTCTGGTCTGTGACTTTGAGCTGCAGAGTCGGCTTTGGATTCTCCTCTTTTATTTCTTGTATGTGCATTTATTAGTTTTAAAATTTTACCCCATGTTTAATGATGAAGAACACAAACTCGGCCTACGTGGGTATAGAAGTCATAGTTACTCTGAAAACATCTTTTATTCATTAATCTCTTTGTGCGCATCTGCACAGCTTCTGTTGCTCCAGAAACTCCGCCAAGGACCTATTCATTTTTGAACAGACAGGACACAATCTTCTTGATGCTTCTAACGATTTTATTTTCCTTTTTTTCCTGCTTGGCGGGCCCTGTGTTCATTTTGGACCACAGATCGTCTATTGACTTGCTGTTTACGCTTACTTTGTACTCAAGCACCTCCAGCATACACCTTTCGTATTCGTTCACAAGCGATCTGTCGATCATGAGAATGTTGGACCATGTCCGATTAATGTATGATCTGTCTATAAGGTATTTGGAGGAGATAATCAGAGAAATAGAGAAGAGCATGTACGTACTGCTGCACAGACTCTGGGCTGTTTCAATCTTGTTTTCCAGTATCTCTAGAGAAACACTCTTGTTCTCGCTGAGCTGTCTCTTTAGGGAGCCTATGTGCTTTGGAAGCTTTTCTTTTGCCGATAGCAGTAGAGATATCGCTGCCAACACGACTGTACTGGACAAATTAGCCCTTTTCACCACATAAGATATCTGGTTTGTGCTCGTCCCGTCTGCCGGCTGGAGCTTAGCAAGGGTGTTGTACAGTATTTCGTTGCGAATTACCTCTTCCTTCTTAGACGCCATTATGCATTCTCTCCGTGCAGCATTTTACTGTACTTTTTTGCAGCCTATTGGTCACTGCTTTTGATTGAATCGACCAATGAAAAAGAAAATAAATAGAAGATATCAGGGAGCGCAGGAATGTTCGGTGGTGCGAGAGATGCAAATACAACACACTGTTTATTTTATACCTTTTTGTAGTCCATACGCCCCTCGAGTTTCTTCTGGTCTGCTATCTTTCTTACGCTTCTAGTCAGGTCTTCCTGCATGATGAAGTCTCTCTCCTCGCGGATAGCAAGCATTCCAGCCTCGCTGCATATGTTCCTTATGTCTGCCCCATTGAACCCGTGTGACATCTTCACAATGGTGTTGTAGTCTATTTCTCCCTTTTTCTCCATCTTTGCGGAGTGGATCTTAAGTATCTCCAGTCTTCCTTGGCTTGTGGGGAGAGGTATTTCTATCTTTCTGTCCAAACGACCGGGCCTTAGCAGGGCGGGGTCGAGGATATCAGGTCTATTCGTGGCCATTATCACCTTCACTCTCCCAAGCTCTTCAAACCCGTCCATTTGGTTCAGGAGCTCCATAAGAGTGCGCTGCACCTCTCTGTCGGATGAAGTGCTATCTGAAGACCTCTTCCCTCCAATTGCATCAATTTCATCGAGGAAAATCACGCATGGCTGGTTATTCTTTGCGTACGTGAACATCTCCCTGATCATTCTGCTGCTTTCTCCGATGTACTTTTCTATGATCGCAGAGCTAACAACCTTCAGGAAGTTTGAGTCCAAAGTAGCAGCCACTGCACGGGCCAAAAGAGTCTTCCCTGTACCCGGGGGCCCATAGAGCAGCACTCCCTTTGGCGCAGAAACACCCACTCTGCTGAATATCTCGGGATTCTTAATGGGGAGCTCAATCACCTCCCTTATCTCTCGCACCTGCTCTGCAAGACCGCCTATGCTCTCAAATGAAATGTCTCCAGGCTTTTCTATGGACATAGCATGCACCATTGGATCTACTTCTCTGGGAAGATGCCGCATTATCGTGAGCGTTGTTATATCCAGAGCCACACGAGCGCCTAGGACCAGCAGCTCGCGGGGAATGCTCTTTCTTGCTCCTACGATGTACCTAGGGCCCTGCGAAGTTTTGACGATGAATCTTTCCTCGTCCAGCTGTTTGAGCACCTCGCCCACCATCTGTCCAACACTTTGCAGCGCGTTTATGTCTCTTTCTGTTTTCTCGTACTCCTGTGTTTGGGTTTTTATTGACTCGTTTATCCTGCGCATTGTCTCCATGGCATCTGCGTGGTCTTTGAGCGACTTGTGGTACTTTAAAAGCGCATCCTGCTTGTTTTGCTCCATAATATAAAAAATAAATTGCCAAATATTTATGGGCAATCATTTACTGCATTAGGAAGGTGCAGATTGCCAGATACTTTCTGTGCTTAGTAGACATACTGTGGCACTTTGCATTTCTCTGTCTCTGGATCTCTTTTCTTCTTTAGATCAAAATCTTCCATCTGCACTTCCTTCTGTGATAATCAGAACACTCTTCCATCTGCACTGGTGCACACTCCATCTCCTCTGTACAGCATATCTTATCTGTTCTATCTTTTACTGTCAATTAAATAGTACTCCTCTATTAATTGCACACACTTCCTTTAGTGCGGCTGTCCATGAGCATCATCTCTGAGTATCTGTTTGCACTAGACCAATGGAAGCTGCTCGAGCAATGGAAAGTGCACACTCTTGCTTCCCTTTCTCTGTCGCCAGAGCAGGAGCAATCTATATTGGACAGCATTGGCTATCGATCCGTTTATGATGCTCACATAAATCTGTACAGCAAAACAGCATACCACATTCTATCGTGCAGCAGTATGCACCTGAAGCACGAGATAATGGAGTACTCCCGCCTGGAGAGCAAAATGTTCTCAATAATCAGCAAAACACGAGCTAAGATCATAGAAAAGATCAGGCACGACGTATGCTACGTTAGACACTTTCTACTAAATACCACAGGCAGACCAAAGATCATAAACAGCCTGATAAGCAGCTATTATCTGCACATAATCGAGCTGATAGTTGTTGAAGAGCTCTCTCCAATGCACATAACGTCCATCCAGCCCAAGCTGTACATATATCTTAAAAAGGCTCCTTTTGTCAACATAAACATCCGCCACATTCTGAGCAGCACGAAAGAGGTGGTGGTGGTAACGTGCGCCAGAAGGAGACTCAGCAGCAGACAGGAAGCGCTGCTCAAGAACATTTTCAGCAGGGATGTAACCAAGATCACGAGAGAAAAAATGTGATTGGTCCTACCGAGAATCGAACTCGGGTTACGGGATTCAAAGTCCCGGGTGCTACCGCTACACCATAGGACCTCAACTATCTGTAGTGGAGAGCAGGCATGGAGCTGTCTAATAAAAGTGTATACAAATGCACAGCTTGCGCTTACTTCTCTTTATATTTATTTATTTGCAATGGGAGCATGTGCAGTGCTGCTAATTCCTCAGAGTGCTTATATGTGCATCTCTACACTTTAGTGTTGTAAAATGTTTTTAAATGGCGTAACTAGCTCTATTTTTATTGCAATTGCTGCTAGACTATAGAGAACTCTTGCATGAGCTACAAACCCACTTTTATTTGGAGTTTGTTCTGTAGTAGTCAAGAATTCTCTGGTGGTACGCCGCGCCTTCTCTGCAGATACCCTCTAGAATGTGTCCTGTGATGGGCCCACTTTCTATCTTAACATACTCCAGCGCCATTATGCACTGTGCCATTCTCTGCGAAGCAGCATAGTATTTTTCTTCTATATTGTACTTTATTCCCGTTAGCAGATACTCTTCGATACGCTCTGCCATTTCCTCTGTTTTTTCTGTGCCTAGTACTTCTTTAATCACTGCTATGTAGTCTATTACACTGTTTGACTCGCATATAGTCTCTACTATTCTCTGTATGCGAGGGTCTTCTGTTTCGATTGCAACTATTTCGAAGACACTTGAAGTGGCTGATACTTTTGTGTATGTTCCTCTGTCTACTATCTTCTCTTTCAGAAGATCTTTTATTTTTTTTGCCTCTTCAGTGCACTCTTCCTCTCCCTCAATGGCCTGCAGTCGCTGGCCCAGCTGCTGTCTTATTTCCTCTTTTCTTTCCTGCTTCCACTTCTTGAATGTGCGGTCATCGATGTTTGGATGGCCTCCTTCATCGCTGTCTTCGTCTAGTATTTCTCTGCAGCGCTCATAGTCCATTGAAAATATTTTTGTAAATCTCCAGCTTTTACTCCTTTGGTTTATTTTATCTCCTACTGCAGATGTTCAGCCAGTGCAGAAAGTTGCAAACCCTTCACTTCACGGATAAGCATACTTTCCATCTTAGGGAGCGCATTTCTTCTTTTCTTACTGGGCTTTGATAATATATATTTTAATATATTGTTTGATCTTTCACTTGAGCTATTGCACTGATTGGAGCGATGTGCACCTCTGGATATTTATATATTTATTTTTTTTCTGTCACATGGAACATACTCCTCCTTTTTCCTCTGTCCATGCTATAGAAGGAATCCAAACGGCAAACAAGAACATATACAGCTACTTCATGAAAAACGATAGCTCGTACTATGTCCCCCAGTGCTACAGATATGCAGGATATAAGAAAGACACAGACATCTTGTACATTGTTGTCATATCAAAGTATACAAGCACAACGGGCGACTTTTTGTACAAGCACAACAGCAACTCCATTAAGATAGAGTGTCTAATTGGGAAGAGTCTTTCCAATTTGCAGACAAAAAAAACAACACTCTCGGACCTTTTTGAAGTGGTCAGGGAAATAGAGTATTCTCTTCCAGGCATGGAAAGCATAAAGGCCAGCGATGTTTTCATAGGTCTTGTGTATCCAGATGGCCTGAACAGAGTGAGCATCATGAATATGGTGGACTGTGTGTTAAATCATGCAGGATTTAAGGGCATTTTGCTTCTGCCTATGTCGCTGAGCATTAGCCTGGGCTTGGGCATTTCAAACTCTGTGTTTTTCAGCTCCTCTGATAAGACTATTTCGCTGATCGAAGATAACTGCATTTTTGATACTTTCACTGAAGGCATGGAGAGCAGCACAACACTCTACGGCAGTGATATAGTGGAAGAGTTTCTGAAGAAGGAAGAGCCCATGAAACACAGGACAGTTGAGCTTGTCTGCCATCTGTGCAACCAGCCCTTTGAGATAGGAGAGTTTAGTATGCACTTTCTTAATAAGCACGCGATAAATATATACGACGACAAAAAATACAGTGATACCATGCTGCAGAAGTGCGGGATCAAAGAGGAGCCAGAGAAACAACTGGAGCCAGGGCCAAATGATCTACTAGTCGCTGGTAAAGAGATTGTATACCGCATGGCGCCTGCAGAGAGGGTAAAAAAGATCACATCTGCCGTTATTCTCGTTACATCGCAGGCAGGCACAACAAATACACACTTAAATACGCCAGAAGGCGATGCGCAGGATGCACCTGCTGAGACAGTTAGCGCTGTAGACATAGAGAGCATACCTGAAGACTCCAAGCAGATAGTCTCAATAATTGAGGACACTTCAGGCTCTTCTTTCCTGTATGTATCGGAAAGCGAGAAGACACAGGTCGCATGGAACGGCCTATTTGCTCTGACAAACATAGAGCCTTCGAAAGACATGTGGCTCACTGATAAAGAGTGGCAGTCGGTGGGTCTTCGAATTCTCAAAGAAAAAGTTCTCTTTCCTCTGTAGACGCGTGATACTGCTCGGTTTACAGCTTTTTCCGGGCTATTCTTTTCTGATAAATAAAAAATCTACCAGTATATTTACAGCATTTAAATACGCTTTGTCTTGGAGTCTGTCAAATTTTTATGAAAAAAAAGTACACGGGAATGGTCTTTACAAAAGACCCTGCGATGTCCGCAAGAACACAGGAAGAAAGAGAGGTCATGGCGCACCTGGATAGAAAAGTGCACAACAACGATTTAGAAGATGATTTTTTCACTCTTGGTGAGGGCCTTCGCGAGGAAATGAGCGAAGACTCAGACGCAAGCAGCGTGCTAGAGCTTTCAGAAGAAGAGAGCTATTCTACACACCATGAAGAAGAGAACATGGATGTATCCAATGTGCAGGTAGAGGGTGTGCAGAGCGTAGAGCAGAAAGAGACTCTGGGGAAGGACTGCTTCGCCAGTCTAATTGAGCAAATAAACGCACAAAGCGGGCGCGGATTTGCAATGCTGACAAGCTTCTCAGAGAGGAAAAAAAGGCCAACTAAGAAACAAAAAAGAGTGAACACGTCAATAGAAGCCTGCAACAGCATTCTCAATAGAATGGGGTCATACATTCCTCCTATGGATGATGAAACTGTCGTTCAGGTTTCAAAAAAACAGAAAATAGATGAGAAATGCGAAAACTGGGAAGATTCAGTGGGCGCGAGCAAAAGAAACCAGCCAAATATTATATAGCAGTGCCTGCTAGCAGCACCGGCATCGATAGAAAGCAGAGAATTATAGCTTACTGGAGTATGCTCAACGGTCTTTATCTAGAGAATACACATGGCAGAAAATTAAGCTCAATAAATCAATAAACTAAATTTGATAAAATTCTTTATTTGAATTCACTTGTGTAGCTGCATGGTAAATGTTTATTCGTTTTACGCAATGGTGTTGGGATCCCAGCAGGTTCTTTCTTGGACAGGGAAGTGGTCAAGAAACTCTTCGTCCTCGGGGTCTATACTCTGATCAAGTGCCTTGAAGTTCTCAATAATTCTTGCAGGGTGCACACTCTTTGGTATCACACAGCAGTCTTTGTTCATGGACCACTTCAGGATCTGGTTTGCAAGTGATCCTTTTTCTTTCATGCCTGCAAGAGCTGGGAATCTCTTTAAATATTCATCGGACAGAAGGAGACCGCGGCCAAGAGTAGAGTACGACTGAACAACTATGCTGTTATCTTGGCAGTACTCAACTACGTCTTTAGGGTAGCACAGAGGCGAAAGCTCTATCTGGTTTACCTGTGGCTTTTTGTCGAACTCTTCGAAAAGATCTCTCAAATGGCTCTGCATGAAGTTGCTCACACCAATATTGCGCACAGCTCCTTCTTCCTGCAGCTCCAAAAGAGCTCTGTATGTTCCGTGTCTGAGCTCTTTGTTTTTTTTGCTCTGGAGGTCTACTCCCTTCGCGCCAGGCCAGTGGATCAGAACAAGATCGATGTAGCTCTGCTCCATAACCTTAAGGCTCTTGCGCACAGATGCTAGGGCATTCTCGTATCCTTGATTTTCTGTGCTTACCTTCGTGGTTATAAATACTTCCTTTCTTTCAACTCCTGTTTTTGCAATTGCTTCGCTTACTTGTTTCTCGTTTCTGTATATTTGGGCTGTGTCATACAGTCTGTACCCTGCCTCCATTGCAGCTTTAACAGCTACATCTGCCTCCTCGCACTTTGTCTCGTACGTTCCCAGGCCAAGAATGTCTATTTGGTTGTGGTTGTTAAGTGTAAGTTTTCTCATGTAAATTGAATGCGAATTAAAAACTTTCTTCCTTTTATTTAGTGCACAGACAGCCCTAACATCTCTGAAAAGTGCTAATATCCCTTATACTGCATAAAGACTTACTGCTATACTCCACATAACAGAGTATAATGCTTTTTATTCGAACACCACATAATTGCACCACTGCTCTGTGCTTATTCTTGCACAGCCTACAGAAAAGCATCAAAACAGCTAGATATAAGAGAGCAATGACTCTTACTAGCTCTTTTGCTCTTAATGAGGCTGTTTTTAGACTGTGTTTATTTTAGAGAATATGAATTCATGCTGCAGATATTTGAATAATTGGCAATTGGTCTGGTTTATAACCATTCAATAATTTTTTTATACATGAATGAGAAAATACTTAATCTGCATGAGTCTGTTTTAGAAGAGTACATAAAGGAGATAATACCAAAGTTTGAAGAAAGGAAACATGAGCTTATTATCATGATAACTAACATGCCACAGAAGCACTCACTCGTAAACTGTATCGCAGAAGAGCTGGAGAAAGAGTACACGAGAGAAAAGATTGTGGAGCTGGAAATAGAAGCACTGGCGTACGCTTCAAAAGACTTCTTTCTTCTGACAAACGCTCTCCTGTACCTTGAAAGAAGATGGAACACTGAAGTCGTCAAAAATCTTCTCCAGAGAGCAAGTAAGACTGAAGAGCAGTTTTCAGTCCTTTTTTCTTTCTTGACTGATCCAAACGAAGAGGATGTGGAAGGAGAGTGCGATCTAAGCCCGAACATAACCATTCCAGAAGATTTTACAGAAATTCAGAAAGTGTACGAGATACTCCACAGTCTTCGAGACAAGAACATCATATCTTCCATACGAGACTCATTCACTGCGTACAAGATCATAACTGCCTATGGGCCCAATGTGGTCATGGTGACAGAAGAGCTGAACATACTTGCGCAACTAGAGTCTGTTGCTTTTAATGATCTACTTGGCGGCGTGCTCCTTGGGGTTTTGTACGAGAAGAGCCAGATACCCCACTTTTCCAACATTCTTGTCCGGCTTCTTAGAAGGAACAAGATATACATCCAGTCCGTTATACAGCTTTTTATCACGGCATACAACATAAAAGACAACATATGGGAAAGCATCCAGGAGATGATCCCACACTTGTACGTAAGGCTTGGGATAGATAGAAAAATGGCATTCTGTCTTCTGTACACTCTCAATCTAAAAAATGCCATCTTTTTATTCGAGCTTTTTAATGGCGAGGTTCCGCAAATCGACGTGTTTGACAGATGTGTGCAGGGAAGGGAGTCTATTCCCGACGAGGAAGTTCGGAGGTGCGTGCGTGCATCCCTGAGCATCCCAGATGGCGAAACCTACACGGCTGAAGACCCCTTTCTCGACACTTTGCCAGGACAGTTTACGTATAAGCCGTCAACTAAATACGCTGAGGTAGAGGATAAAATGTATTTCTACAGCTTCTTTATGTACAGAACCAATCCCAGCATTACGCACGTCAACAACGTATCTCTTGAGTATAAAGATGTAATTAAAAATTTGACAGAAGAGGAAATGGACACTTTTGTTCGAATTGTTCTTTCAGCCAGAAACTCTCTTGTGCACAAAGAGCTCACTGTAAACAGGCTGTACACTATGCGAACAAGATAAAGATAGAACAAGTTGTCTCTGGTGCTTCTGGATGTCTATTAGGATCTACAACTGGCAAAGATCAGCCTACCAAAATAGAAGCAGGAATGGATGCTCTAGCGCAGCAGCCTAGGACTGATCACACAGACAAAGCTAAATAAACCTTCTGTGCACTTTTAAAAATAATTGCAGCTGTTGCATGGACATTCGAAATGGTAAAAATTATTTTTATTTTTCCCCCTGTATTATGGATTGTTTACTAACATACAGATTATTAGAGTGCGCAAAGTCTAAGGCCCCAAATGCAGCAGAGATAGAAGACTTCATCAAGTTTCTAGGAGGAAAGAGCGATTCCGCAAAAATCCAAGCACTTCTTGCAGCCGTAGAAGGAAAGAACAGCAACGAGCTCATCGCAAAGGGTGTCTCTATGCTCCAGTCTGCAGCTCCAGCAGCCGCATCTGCATCATCTGCAGCTGCCCCAGAAGCTAAGAAAGTAGAGGAGGAGGAAGAAAGCGAAGAAGAAAGCTCAGGAGACATGGACCTCTTCGGTTAAAAAGCCAGAAACAGGTAGATTTTACTTATTTGAAATAAATATATTATTTCCGTTGAATACAGCATTTTTAATTGTGACCAGCACGAGATAGCAGTGTGGCGTAGATTGTTTACATTTGAAAAGAGTAGGCGTGCAGTATTTCTTGCAAGTATTTTATTTAAAATAATTTTTTGCGCATGATCGAAGTGTGCTTTATAAACTTCTTTGCAAACAACAATGGGCCAACGGACATTCTCAAAAAGAAAATGACGCCCACTGTGTGCGTGTCTTCAACCGAGGCCAACGCAGTGCTGAAGGTAAAGGTTGTGTATATAGTCAGCTCGTCGAACAATGATTACGACCAGATTCTCTGCAGCGAAACAGTAGAAGGGATTCCTGCGGGGGTAGCTGAGTTTGACTTAGAAACAGAAATCCCAGACATGAGCAAAATACCAAGGGAGCATCTCATTGGGCTCACATCGATACTTTTTTTGTTCTACACCGCAGAGAATCAGGAGTTTGTGAGAGTTGGATACTTTGTGAAGATAGACTACCCAGGCATTCAGATAATAGAGGCGCCTGCTGTGCCTGCTGAAGAAGAAGTTGCGTTTGAGATAGACGAGATGGAGTCTTCTAACCCAAACAACGAAGAGGCAAAAGCAGATGAAAATAAAGAAGAAAAAGAAGAGCTCGCAGAGACAGAGGACAACAAGCCAGAAGAGAAAAGCGACAATGAAGAGTCGATAGATGCAGAAGAGGCAGAGGAGGCGAACGAAGAAGAGATAAAAGCCGAAGGCATGCACGATGGCATTTTATTTATCACCGAAGAGAACTTCAAGAAGATGGATCTTGATCTGACAAAGCTTGAGGGGCAGGTGCTAGACCCCCCTCTAGTCACCGTCTTCACCGAGGCGTGGATGGGTCCAGATGCAGAGAAAAAGGATGTTTCAGAAGAAGAGGAAGAAGTGGAGAACGTAGAAGAGTAAGGAGGTATAGAATGAATTTTATTTACTATGTGACGAAAATATTTGTCCTCTTTTCTAGTTTCTAGCGTGGATCATGCAGAGAAAGCTGTTTGGTGATTCTCGCAGTGCGCGAGAGCTAAAGAGTGATTTTTCCGCTTTTACTTTTGTCATTAAAAAACCATGATATCGTTTTTTCAGCTTTTTCCTGTTTTGGGATGATTTTTGATGTTTTTGCGTCTATGCTCTGCGATGTCTTTGCGTATCTGACAGTTATATCTTTGCAGGTAGCGTGTATCTCGTAGGAGTCTTCTGTCTCCTTGATTCTCATTATAGACATATAGTCCCAGTCAAAGGCAACTTCACTGTACAGCATGTGTCCGTTGTAGGAAAAGGGAACTCTCACTTGGAGAGGGTTTCTGGAGACTATTGAAAACGGGCTGTTTATAAACTTTTGTAGATAGTGCTCTGTCTCCTGCTTTTCGCTGCTTTCAGTGCAGCTGACCCCTGGGACAATGCTCAATCGGTGTGATGCAATTTTTTTAGATAGGGGAACCTCCAGTACTTCCACAGAGATATTTACTTTTTTGCTGTACGACCGTCCTTTGTACTTTAGATACACCTCCAGAAGAGTAGACGTAGTGCTAATGAAAAAGCTGTACTTATTCTCCTGCGAGAAAAAAGGTGGAATGCACTGCACGCCTCTTTCTGCTGTGCACAGGGGCTGACTAGATACGATCACTGTATCTGAAAGAGGCCTACCCAGTAATATTCCCGTTATTTCTACCCCTGGGCTGGCAACTTGCAGAGTTATTTTCCCCTCAGTGTACACAGTGCACGTAGACTCTTGTGCATCCTTATGGACAGATGCGCTGGCTGAGTACAGATCTCTTGTCTCTGTCATTTCTATTCCCTGGTTTTCTTGGGTTAAGTACTCTCCTATTCCCGGGCGAATGATTATTTCAGGGTCTGGCATGGATCCTTTGCTGTGTATGTACTCGTCTAGAACTAAGTCACACGGCGTGCGCTCTAGCACCAGATCACTTTCCAGGGAAATAATGGACTGCAGAGTGCTATTGACACTGGCACTTCTTGAGCTGGAGCACATATGGCACTGCGGGCTGTCCATTGAAAGGCCGATCAGCGTGTACTTTGTGGTGTAGCCTGAGCCCATGTACAGAGATAGCAGATAGTAGAAAGTCGCTGATTTGTGCGGTGCAATGCTTATGCGAGAGTACATGTTAAGAATGCTTGGAGTTCTTCTGGCTGTAGAGTGCTGCAGCCCTACAAGAATCGCATTCAGCACCCTGTCCTCGTCACTGCTGCACATTGACTTGTCTAATACAGTTGAGATATATGCTATATTTCCCAATACGGAAGGATCTTCCCTATTGAGTAAAACAGAGATAAGCATCTCGTAGATGATGTAGGGAAGAATGGCGGAGAGAGAGTAGGAGGTGGGTATGTTCTCTTTTATGCACCTAAGTGCGTCCTTCAGCCGGTTTATCTTAACAAAAAAAACCACGAAGTTCAGACTAACCGGATTGTTTACCTTAAACTTTGCCTTTTCAGACTTTCGGATTGCGCTTTCCACGAGAAGATCTACATTCTCCTCCACGCACGCCGTTATCTTGGACAGAGGAATCTCTACGTTTGAAGAAACAAGATCAAACCACTCGGGGAGAGCAAAGCCCTCTGCTGTGCACGGGGTGATGCGCAGTCTCCCAAATTCGCAGCCCATGTACCCGTCTATGAAGTTCAGAGGCTCTGCTTGAGCAAACACTCCTATTTCAGAGATAGGGAATATCTCTACGTTGACGCTGATGGATGGCGGAAGAATGAAAGACTTTTGTATGCTGTGCTTAGGCCTGTACATCACAGTTATCGAGTTCCTTGTCTCGGACGAAAGGATCTTGAGAGCATTTAAAATAACCATATATTTGTTTACACTTGCAAATAAATATGAAGGTAGGCATAAATGGAGCAGGAAGAATTGGAAAAATGGTGGCAAGAATACTCCTAGAAAGAAACATAGAAATAGGATGCATCAATGATCCTTTTGTTGACGCAAAGTATCTTGCGTATCTTTTATACAGAGACTCGACACACGGCACTCTTAAGGGAACTCTGGTTGAGCACACAAGCAACTCTCTGGTGGTAAAAAGAGAAGGCATGCCAGATCTTTCCATAGAAGTTACAAACAAAAAAGATCCATCTGAGGTAGAATGGAGCAAATACGGCGCTGAGTACGTGATAGAAGCATCGGGGATCTTCAAAACAGTGGAAGACTGCCAAAAGCACATAAAGGGAGGTGCAAAGTCTGTCATAATAACTGCCCCTAGCAAAGATGCGCCCATGTTTGCAATGGGAATAAACCACGAAGAGTACGCAGGAGAAACCGTCATAAGCAATGCCAGCTGCACAACAAACTGTCTTGCGCCCATTGCAAAGGTTCTTGAAGAAAACTTTGGAATTGAAGAAGGGCTTATGTCAACCGTGCATGCTCTAACAGCCACGCAAAGAATAGTCGATGGAATGTCCATGAAGGAGTACAGGGATGGCCGAGGAGCCCTGCAGAACATCATTCCTGCGTCCACAGGAGCAGCCAGTGCGATTGGCCAGGTGATTCCCAGCCTCAAAGGAAAGCTCACGGGAATGTCCTTTAGGGTGCCTGTGCCAGATGTAAGTGTCGTGGATCTGACTGTGCGCCTGAAGAAAAGCGCAAAGCCTGAAGAGATAAAAGAGGCGATGAAGAGAGCAAGTGAAACCACTTTGAAGGGAATTCTCAAGTACACAGAAGATGCAGTGGTTAGCAGCGATTTTATTGGAGACAGTGCTAGCAGCATATTTGATGCTACAGCCTCTATTTTCCTTTCAGACCGCTTTGTCAAGCTTATTTCCTGGTACGACAATGAGTATGGATACTCGCACAGAGTAGTTGACTTGCTTCTTCATATCAGTAAGTTTGGAAAATAAAAGAATCTTGAGGGTACCTTTTTGTTCTCTATCTGCACCATTCTGCACTAAATATGAGTTTGTGATCTGTAGATAACGACTGATTTTTAACTTATGAATATTTATTAGTAATGTCTCCAAAGGGAGTGGATTCTCGAGATACTCTGAAGAATCTATGTTCCCATGAGACTTTCCTTGCAGACATCCTCTTGTCTTTTATTTTTGTGATTAAAGTATTAATTGTGCTGTTTTGCCTGCATGCATATCAGTGATGGATGCAACCTTCCTAATTCAAACAGTAAAGATGGTACCCGACGAGTATAAACATTCGTCCTATCAGAATATTGACTAAAAGCAGTGCAGCTCTTCTGCACTCCCATGCGCACAGGACAACTTCAAGATATACAACAAATGCATCTTTCATCACTCCGGAGCTACTAAAAATATGTTTGCATATGAGAATTAATTAAAGTGCAGAATATAATTAACTAGCGATTAAAAGCAGCGTGCACTTTCAGATACCTTAAGACACATTTACATCGCCTAGCAGAAGATACCTTCCGTTTATAATGGTGTGGGGGACCGGGTGCCCGTTTAAGTCTTTTACTATGTAGTACACAATGTCTCCGCACAGAATTGTAGAGACTGTGAAGAAAAGCAACATTATGGAGCCTACAAAGAGAGAGTACACCAAGAAGAAAAAGTTGCTGTCTGGGTCTCCTATTGCCTTCTCTCCCTTTGTTGGAATGCTCTTTATTCCAGTTATTCTTCTGTATATACTCGTTGCAATGCTGCAGATTGACTGTAGAACAATACAGAAAGTTGTAAAATAGATAAAGGACATCAGACAGCCTATGTATTTGTGCTCCATCAGTCTCACGTATAAAAATCCGAGTCCTCCGTATATTAGAACACCAACCAGGCTCAGCGCCACTCTGTTTATCAGCGCCACTGTCTTATCTTTTTTTGTTTTCAGGTCAACGAGCTTTTTTGTGATTGAGTGCATGAAAAACACAACATACGATGCCAGAAGAATGAAAACACCGGTGACTATCCCCTTTCTGAACAAGAAGGCGTTCTTTTCTGTTCTCTCAAAGTACAGTCTGTATGGATCGTTGTATAAAGACTTCATGTGGAGGCCAATGAAGAAAAGGCCTACGGTGTAGAGAATTAGGCGCGGAAACTCGTTTATAATAAATCCTTTTGTAGATTTGTAGATCGTGTCCCATTCGGTGCTGAATTTCTCTTCCTCTTCTAGAATCAGCTCGCTTCTTTCTGTTGTTGTGAGTTCGTTAACTAACACTGTTTGTTGTTGCATCATTTTCTTTGTTTATTCTTGAAAAATTAAAAGTTTTAATTATTTATTTAGTTTTTTCATGGGTTGTGCAGTATCTAATAAAAATATTTTTCATACCTTTTTTTATTGCTCTCGTGTTTTTCTAGCTATTAAGCACATGTCTCTTCTGGTGTTCTACTAGAGTGTGCCAATGGAGTAATAACACCTGATTTAATAAAACTTTTGTAAATATGAATCTGTGTGTGCTATCTGCAAGTTTTCTCATTTAGATATAACCCGAGAATATTCAAATATGCATACTTTTAAATACACAGGGTGCTAACTTTTGATGGAGGCTAAAATTAGAACTTGCTCTGTTTACAAATATTTTTATTTTAGTTTATTTTGCAGAGCTTTTCAACTACTACATATTTTGTCTGAGTGGCCAATTGCTATACACTTTTTTATTTTCATTGGAATATTCAAATATGTATTCTAAAGAAAACACACACATTAGGCTGGCTATATAATCAGATACCATTTGAGGTATGAAGATCTATCTAATATGAGATTGTCTTCTCTCTATAGATGAGCATAATGCTAAGTTTTACCCATGCTGTGTTGATAGCTCTTGAGATCACTTGCAATATGATAAAGATCGTATGTGCTATAATAGATAAAAAATGAAATTAGAAAGAAAATTATGAAAATGAAGGGAAAGTATGCACTGTGCAAAAGAAAGGCAATTATATCTATTGCAGTCTTAGCAATACAGAAAGCACTTGGAGGTGGTATGGTAGCCACTAGACAAATTCGCCTAGAGCCTCAGGAAAGCACGGTTGTGTTTAACAGCTCGTCGGCACTAGAAAGTAGCCACAGTATCTCAAATTACATTATTATGAGCGATATTGAGGAAAGAGGAGAAGAGTATGAAGACAGCAACCAAGCAGATGCTCAAGTAAACGCGCGAGAAGTAAAAAAGATAAAGAAGAGAAAAAGAAACCTACGATATTCACAAAATAGCTTAAAGATAGACAGAGAAACATACTCAGACTCTCTAGAAAGCTTCATAAGAGAAAGATCAAAAAGCACAGACTACAGTATTTATCTGCAGAAGCTGGCTGCTTCAATAGTAGAGGAGAAAAAAAAAGCAATAGGCACAGTTGAAGAACTAATAAAACAAGAGCACGAAGCAAAGAGTGTGTATGCCTGGGACAGATTCTTTTCCAATGAAAGAATAGAGTGTATTTTTAGAGACAGAGTCAACGACCAGTACATGGGAGCTCTTGCATGGATGTTTATGCCAAGCAGGAAAAAAAATGCTATCGTCCCAAGCAGAAACGCAGAAATGGTCTCATCTATCCACGTGAACTACATTGAGACATTTTCTGACCCAAAAAGCACAAACAGAGCAATAGATGCCATAGACAGATTGCTTGTGAACGAAATAAGCTATACCACAAACAAAGTCATTGATCTAAACAATTGGATGAATAGGCATACTAATTATGAATACAGCCAAACAAACGAAAAAATAAAAGAAAAGTACGAAGCTCTTTTTAAATCAGTCAAAGGTCACAAAAGCCAGATGCTGCAGAGCCAAAGAACATCAGCTGGCTCTAATATACCTGCTCTGGTGCTCGAGTATTACTCTGCCATTGATGCAGAGGTGTCAAATTTTCTATTAGAGCTAAAGAGATGCTATGGGGAAAGTATTTCACACCTGCGCTTGTCAATTACCTCGAGTATAAATCCCGTTAAAAGACTCAGTAAATCTACAACAGACTACTCCTCTTTCAAAGAAGAAAAAGCAAATATCGTTATGAAGTTTTTAAGGTATACCAAAGACATAATGGAACTTGAAATGCAAACACTGTTCTACATAAAAAACGTTGCTTCTGAAAGTGACAGCTCTGTCTCCAGACACACAGCCAGCCATTCTGTGCCAATGAGCTCAAAGCTGGATTTTTATTATTCCTCTGATAAAACAAAAAGAATCAGGAGATACGTAGCACTGGAGGACTTCAAAATAAAACTTGACAGCAGAAGCATTTTAGAAGAGCTTAATGAAAGCTCTGGCGAACATAGTGCAATAAATACGCCACAACACACACCGCCTCAAGTAAAGCAGTCTATAGTACATTCTTATCCTGCGCCCAGCAAACCTGTAGCATCAAATCCCCCAAATTACAGAGAGCATGCACAACCTGTAGCGTATGCACCGCCACAGTCACCGCAGAGAGCGCATTTGCAGCCTACACGCAGCAAGCCCACACTGACGCCACCAGTTACTGCAGAATCCCAAAGATTAAAAAAACTGAATGCTATTCGAACACAGCTCTACATCATTATGCAAAATATTCGGAAAAACAATCAATATGTTGAAATAGCCAAGAATATACAGGCTGGCGGAGAGACAGTGAGCCAAATGGCCAAAACAGAAACAGAATACAGCGATATTGCTAAAGATTTAGCACTGGGTGAAAATGCAACAGCAGAGAGTATTTTTAACACTCTACAAGCCAAAGAGTCTGCAAAAACAAAAGAATTACTTGCATACAGAGACCATGTGCAAAGAGAGAGCGAACAGCTGCAGCAAGGAAATGAGATTCTAAGAAGCATGCAGCCAACGATAAAGGAAAGGCTGCAAAAGGTAAAAACAAAGCTCACTGGCCTAATAGCCAGAAATAGGAGCAGTAGAGTGGACTATAAAAAGCTTGTAGAGGAGAGTAAAAAGAAAGAAGAAAATTTAGAAAGCCTAAAGCTAAAAGAGCTGGAGAAGAAAGAACACATTGACTCACTGAATAGCAGGATAAACAAAAAGAAAGACGAAAATGAAAGACTGCTAAGAAGCATTTCAGACATTGAAAAAACCATAAGCAAGCAGGGTAAGCTCGAAAGTACTACCTACAACCTAGAGAAAGTCAAAGAGCTTGAAAAAGAGCAGAAGAAGCTAACTGAAAAACAAGAAGAGCAGAAAAGACTGCTTGAAGTGGAAAATGAAAGGTATACTAAGAGCAAAGATCTCTCTACGCATTCAAAAGATTTAGAAGAAGCCAACAAGTTCATGAGTTCACTCAAGAACACTCTATTTCTGATTCAGAAAGAGTACAGTAATAAACAGGAGATGCATGGCGTAAGAGATAGTACACTTGTGCATAGCAATGCAACCATCAGCGAAAGTAGTGAGTTTGATACAAAAGGACAGAGTGCACTGGCAGAGCTATACAGCACAGCTGGAGTAGAATCTAAGAAATCAGAGTCAGAAGATGTCGGAAGCATAAAAGAAGCAATAAAAAAGAACAGCATGCACACAAAAGATATACAAGAAATGAGAAAATCACTTGCAGAGTGTGAAAAAGAGCACGAAATAAATAAGCAAAAGTACTTAGCTGAAATAGGGCATGTCAATGCAATGAAAAAAAGCTACAGTAATGCGCTCAATTTGCAAGAGCAAAAGGCTGCAGCAGCCAGTGCTATCAATACAACTATTGGAGAAAAAACAAAATCCATGAAAGATAAACAAAGAGAGTACAGGAAGAAAATGCTATTGCATGAAAAAGAGATGGAAGATAAATACAAAGAATCACTAAGAGCCTTTACAACCCTTAAAAATCACTGATATATAAAGTATGGCTAAATATAAACACAGCAATGGTACTTTTAATCTATTTTATTATAAAAGGTGCCTGCAAGTTAAAGAGTAAAAGTAAATGAAGAAAATGTCCTAAATAAATAAATATGTCTTAAGCCAAGTATTTGTTATTTTATTGCGATAAGCTATTATATTTTTTAACATCCTATTCTTCTGACTCTGAATTGTTTTGTTCTGAATTCTGCTCTGAATCCTGCTCTGTGTTTTGTTCAGAGTTTTGCTCTGTCTCAGGGTCACTTTCCTCAGAGAGCTCTTCGCTTGTTTCATCGCTTGCTGTCTCTTCGTCGTCATCACCTGAATTAGTGCCAGTCCACACTTCATTGACAACTTCGTTCAGGCAGTGCACTTCTTTCTTTGTAAGGTACGCCTCCAGTGCGTTGTATTCCACCTTTTGAATGCTGTTGAACATATACTCTTTTTTGTCCTGCATAATAACTCTAACATCGAAGGTCTTTGCGGTCCTTGAGCTCAGATTTACTCTGCTAAACTCAACTGTTTTGATCAAATCGTACTCAATGTATGCAATCTGCGGCACAAAGAGGAAGCCTTTCTTCAGCGGATACAGGAAGCCTTCATTAGCCTTCAGTGAGCACTTAAGCGCTTTGCTTCCCGTGGATGTGGTGAATGTCCCTGTGTGGATCGAGTTTATGCCTGAGAGCTTTTCAACCATTCCCACTACACACTCAGAGAGACTCCCTTCCTGCACGTACTTAAGACCCAGCTCTTCAATTTTTTCTTTGTCCTCTTCGTGCACGGGAAGCTCTTCCTCCTCGTCAGCGTACAGAATTGTAGAGTTTTTCCCCAGAGTCGCTTTTATCTTGTCCTCTGGAAGGAGAAGGTTCACAAAGTGGTACCTTGTCTGTCCCTGGCGCACCGGTGTGCTCAGCTCGAATATAAGATACGACATTTCCTCAACGCCTTCTTCCATGCTTCTTTCAAGGTAGAACATTCGGGTGATGCTGCTGAACAGCATTTGGTGGCTGTATCTTTTCCCAATTAAATACATGCACGTAGCCGTGAGGGAGAGCTTGGACTTTCCTCTGGGGAGGATGCATGCAACTTCGTCAATCGAGAAGACCTCTAGCTGGTCGCTTCCCGCAGAGGAGCTTTTTATCAGCTCAATCAGCTGCAGCACATTGCTCTCCTCTTTGAGACAGCCAAACCGTATTTCAGAGACTCCAAAGTATGTTTCGTCTATATCTATGATGCCTTCGCCTTTTCTCTCGTATGCATTAGAGATAAGCCCGAGCGGTACGTCAAATATTGCTCTATCCTGTGCCTTAAACTCCAGGGAAGTGTTCTGCACTTCTATCTGCCCGTGCACGCCTCCCTCAACGGAAAGAGCCTTGTGGTAGATGTTTAGCTTGTAGTGTTTTTTTGCATACTGCTTTATGTTCTCCAGGTGCTCGGCAGTAACTCCGTCCAGTATGCATACTGTCCCGTTCTTTCTCACTATTTTTACAGTGTGGTCAATCACTCCGTAGTGCTCTACAATTTCCTTTATCTCGTCTGCTGTTATTGTTGTGATTTCTGCAACTCCTTGCACCTTTATACCTATTCCAGAAGTTGCCATTTTCACCACCGACTTTTGTGGCCCTTCTTTCCGGGTATAGTATACATCATCCAGCGTCAGAACTTCCATTTTATTAAAAAATATTCGCGTGCTATTTTTTATATACGAAGTCCTCGCTCATAGGAAAAATAAAGAAGAATCACTGCAAGACTTCTGAATCTGATGTTCAGATAAGAGTGGTAATTTTATACTAACTTTATTTGAGGGCGTGGAAAGACCGGCTAAACTATGTTTTCTTCTCCAAGTTTTGAAATGAGATAGTCTATGGCCTTTTCTATCTTTGTGCGCTCTTCGACAATTCTTTTCTCTATGTCGCCATCGAATGCTGGCTCTTCATGGCTCTGCATGATCTTGTATATGGCCTCAGAGGGGCTTTCAAATATTATAGTGTCCATTCTCTCGTTTACTATTTCGTTTGCGTTGTACTCGATGTCTCCAATTACTCTGTTTGTCGGGTCGTTGTGGAGCTTTAGAGACACAATAAATGAAAGAGGTTTTTCGTGCGCGTCTGTGAAGTAGATTTTTCCTGCAATAGTAAACTCGCCCCAGCCGCACTCTTCGATTTCAAAGGGCGGGCCTTCGACTGTTCTTGTGGGGTTTGCAAATGTCTCGTGTGTCTTGAAAGTGATGCTTCGAATAAAGTAGCTTATGTCTGTATTTTTGTATCCTCGGACGTAGACCCGCCACCGATGGGTTGCATCAACGCCTGGCTCTGATATGCGAACGGCAGAGGTGCCGTATATTATTGTGCGTGAGAGGTTGGCATGATTTATTCTCATGTGCGCAAAAGAAAATGAAAAAAGAAACACAGCAGTTGCAGCTATATAAAGACAGCGACATACGAAGGGTATATTTTGCTACAGGCGCAGGGCTTGTGCTGGGGGGCATCATTGGAGGAGTAAAAGGGGTGGTGCAGGCACTCAGGCGAACAAAAGGAAAGAAAAAGGCTCTTGAGTATTTTGCGCTGGAAGGAGCGCAAAAGATGGGGAGCCACGCGGCTTTTGCAAGCTGTGCCTTTGCAATAAGTGAGTATCTCTTGTTGAAGGCGCCCGAGGCTACTTCATACCTGCCTAGAATGCTTGAGTAAATGGGAAGATGTGTTGTGGCCTAAGAGCATAGCCCGAGAATGGCCCAAGAACATCATTTGCACTGGTATAGATAAAAATGATATGATAGCTATGGCATGTTCCGTGATCTCTTTTTGTTCTGTAGTTGGAGTAGGAATTAAATTTATTTATGATTTGGTATTAGTGTACTCTCTACTATATGCTGAATATAGATATTAATATAACCCGAGAATTCAATGTTGGTAATCTTAATCATTTTGGTGCTTAGTGGCTCTGCTTTATGATCAAAATATTGTCTATAAATACAGAAGGAATTCTGCTATCATTCCCCGCCTCATAGACCCATACAATTTGGTACATATGTTTGTAATTGAGAGTGGCAATAAATCTTTATTATTCATTCTATGTTTATTTGAAGATTATCTAACAGATCACAAATATCTATGATTAAAAGTACAACAGAATTTGATCCAATATTTACCCAGTAATAACTATTTCTCTTTTTTTAAATCTGTTATTTCATCCTCCCATTTGAAGAATAAACACGGCTTGTAGCTCTTATTGCACTTAAAAAACCCTCTGTTGTTGTTTCGCGCAGTTTTAGAGAGAAAGTATTTCGCTGACATGTTGCAATCGCATTTTACCTTATCAGTGTGCATAGAACTCATGGGAGCTCTTTCTCTAGGGGCCGGTGCGTCTTTTTTAAGGAGTATAGCCCGCGCCTGTGCAGCATTCTCAGTTGCCGAGTCTTTCCATGCAAAGTAATCGCACTGACCTGCTGCACAGGCATAGAACAGTTTTCCCTTACTAGGCCCTTCTTTCATCACTTTCTTCTCTTTGGCCACTATGTTGCAGAGGCATACGATGGTGCCTTTTGGCAGCTGTGCTACGAATGAGTTATCATCTCCATCTTCTAGACCGTTATTAGTGTGTGCAGTGTCCTTTTGTCTTAAAATCTCAGCTGCTGACTTGTATCCAGGATATCTTCCCTCTGTCTGGAACGCAGGTTTGTCCTTTGCGAACGGTTTCTTTGGACTGTTTATCTTGCTGGTAAACCTTTCTTTTTCGTACTTTTTCTTTTTTTGCTGTCCATTGTTATCTGCAGAGTCTTCCATATCTATGTGATTTCTGTATACTTTTTTAGTGGTTTTGCTATCTTTATTCCGAAAAGACGGCTCGGGTCGAGAAAAGGTTTTTTTGTACGCACCGGTTGAGCGTGTGTCTTCTGTGAGAGCTTTGTTCTCCAGCTCAGAAGGACTGTTCCTATTTCCTGCCATCAAAGCTTCTCCCCCCTCCCCTGGGCCTTTTTTGTTCTTTATGAACTCCTCTTTGAATTTTGAAATGTTGCTCTCTATTACTCTATATATCTCTTCGTACTTCTTAAGCTCCTGCTGCACCAGCACACTTGGGCTAAACTCTCCGCTGCACACTTTTTTGAGGTTGCACTCAAAATCTTTTCTCAAATGCGGCTCGCTGATCGTAAGGCCTATGCTCTTGTACCCGTTCACTAGAGAGCGCCCAAGCCATGTGCTCTTCAGTGAGTTTGTGTTAACGACATGGATGTATCCTCTTTCTTTTATCCGGTGTATGTGGTCGTGTATGGTCGCATCTGTTCCTATCCCATTGTTATCCATTTTTGCGATAAGCTCTGCTTCGGTAAGAAGATGTGGCTTTTCTGTTTTGGACTCTTTCTGGCTAGCTGCCCACCTAGGCGCCTGCCCCAGGGATAGCCCCAGGTCAATTTCTGTATCTCCCCACTTCTCGTAGATAAATACGTCAAGATAGTTCTTTTTCAGGACCTTCAGAGTCTTTCTCCTAAAGCACTCGCCTTTGACTGTGCACTCAATCAGCTCTTCCTCTCCCTCTGCGTTCTCGCTATAGCAGGCAAGGAACCGTCTGGCTACGTACTCGTATACAGCCCTTTCCTTCCCCCTTAGATCAGATCCGCTCTTCATGGGATATATTGGCGTGTGCGCCTGGTCGTTGTGTCTTCCTGCTGAGGGTCTCCCTGGCCTGAGACTTGCAGCGTACTCCCCAAGCACTGAATCGTGTTTTAGCTTTTCCAGAGGCTCTTTGTAGTTGAAGGTAGAAGGAAATGCGTCAGTTTCTGTTCTGGGATAGCTGATGTATCCAGACGTATAGAGCGACTCTGCGATGTTCATAAGCTCATGCGAGCTAGAGACGCCTCGGCCTTTGGCAAAGAACTTCTGCAGCTCAACAGTTCGGAGGGGATACGGCCTCCATTTCTGCACTTTCTTTGTTTCCAGCCTGCTTACGACCAGCTCTCCGTCTTTTATCCATTCCATCTTGCTTTTTACGTAGTCTTCATCGTATATAGTTCCTCTGTCCCACTTGAACACTCCTTTTTTGCCGTTATTTTCTACTTCAACCTGTATGCTCCAGTTCTCTTCTTCGATGAAGTTCTCTATGCTTTCTTCTCTTTCGCACACAAAGCCTAGTGTGGGTATCTGGCAGCTGCCGTAACTGATAACTGACTTGTTCTCTAAAACGCTCTGCAGCTGGAGGGTCTGCAGCCGAGTTATTGCTGCGCCTATCCGAAGATCTATCTCTATCCTTGACTCAACTGCTTTCGACTCGTGTGCATTCAACTCTCCAAGATTCTCCAGGGCTCTGAAAATCTCGTACTTACTCAGCCCCGAAAAGCGCGCTCTTTTGACTCTTCTGATTTTATTCTGTACAAGATTGGAGATCTGCGTGCCTATGTTCTCTCCTTCTCTGTCGCAGTCTGTCCAGATGATAAGCATTGCGCATTGCGAGCTGAGATTTGCTATGGTTTTAGACACATCCTGCATTGCTGCTGGGATTGTCCAGTGCACTCTTTCCCCGAAAAGACTGATCGGATCAACTTCACTCCACAGAGTCTTTCTCTCAAACTCCAGGGCGTATAGGTGCCCGAGCACGCTGGTGAACACCATTTTCGTCTGTGCTCCGGAGAGTTGAAGGTCAAATTTAAAAACTCTGCAGTATTTATTGAATCCACTGCTTGAGTGCGCGCTTCCGTTTGACAGTATATCTGAAATTGCTTTTGCGACGGACGGCTTCTCTGCTACATTTAAAATATGCATCTAAAATTTATTAAGTTTTCTTTATTAAACATGTCTTCTTTTTCTTTCATATCCGCCGTAGTCTTCCTTCGCCTGCCCGCCCTTTGATCCTCTTCCAAATTGTCTGTTTTCGGCAAATCCGCTGTCTAGGTCGATGTAGATCGGGGCTCTTCCAATTGCGTACTTTGAGAAGTACTTTCGAGCCTGCATCGGAGACTCGTTGCTCTCGTACTGCACGAATGCAAAGCCGCAGGGCGTGTACTTCTTCGAGTCCAGGCCCATGATCACTCTTTTTACACGCCCGCACTGGGAGAAGAGAGCGTACAGCTGCGACTCTTCGATGTTTTTTGCAAGATTTCCCACGTATATTGTTCCCGATGTAAGCAGCTCATCAAAATAGTCATCCTCTGTGCCTGTGTATCTCCTGTCGAAGTACATCGTCTTTATCTCGTCTTCTTTCAAGTAGTTCAGAAGCTCAAACGCCGACTTATCCATAAAAAAAAGTAAAAATACTGCGTCTTCATATAGAAATATTCGAGCATCTTTTGTGCAAGAGCGTGAAATATCTGTGATCACGCTCTCTTTAGAATTGCTGAGCTATTCGCTGTATAGGAGCTCCTGCGTGCTGTTTTTTACACGCTTGGCCAATAAAGAGCTTCCCCAAAGAAGAAACTGTGCGTATTCATTTACAGACAGCTTGGAGCGCCCAGAGAGCCTTTCGTAGAACTTAATGGGAATTTCTTCTATTTTTTTGCTGCAGTGGAAGAGTATCTCCATCTGGTAGGCAAAGCCCTGCGCCTGTACATTCTGAATTGCGTATGTAATTATGTCTTTCTTGTATATGCGGTAGCTATTCGTCATATCTGTATTCTGTTTTCCTGTGAAGATGTGTGCAAGGATGTTTGCGCCCTGGCTTGTAAGCTTGCGGAGAAACGGCCAGTTGCACGTGCCTCCGCCCTCCCTGTATCTAGAGCCTATGACTATCCCAGCCTGTGTGTCTTTGATTTTTCTGAGAAGATTGGGGATCTCTCGGGGATCGTGGCTTAGATCGGCATCAAGAATAACGATGTAGCTTCCTTTTGCGTGGCTTACTCCTCTTTTGTATGCATTTCCTAGCCCCATCTTTCGATCTCGCACAAGAATCTGTGCTTCTATGCCTGTTTTTTCTGCAACTTTTGAGCACAGATCGGCTGTTCCATCGGTGCTTCCATCGTCCACTATTATCACTTCGTATGCAACTCCCTTCAGCACCTTTGAGATAAGGTGCATTAAAAGAGGCGCATTGCTCTTTTCGTTGTGCGTAGGTATTATTATAGATAGTTCCATACAAACAAAAACTCTGCAAATTATATGAAAAACCTTTAATTGGATACTCTGTGCACAGCCTTGCGTACCACAGGAAGTGGACCAAAGAATAAGACAAAAACGCTGAGATCTTCCAAATTATGCACAAAAAGTACACCAGTATATACAACTGAAATGCTCTACCGCACTGAAAGTAGTCTAAATCTAGATAAACAATTGCCATTTTATTGAATGTGTTTTGCAGTCACACAGATCCACTACTTAGCAAACACAAGCCCACAGTTTTTTATGATTTTGGCAATCTCTGGGATGGGCAGCTTTCCTTCCTCTGGCTTCAGCTCCTTCTCCAGAACACTCCACTCCTGCGGGGTGATTGCGCCCTCGCCCTGGAGAAGGCTTTCCTTGAGGTCCGCAATGGCCACCTTTCCCGAGCACGCAGGGTCAAATGTTCCCAGCGCCTGCTCAATTACATTCTGTGCATCGAGGTTTGCCAGTCTCTCGCACAGAGACGTAAGGAACTGCGTAAAGTTGAATCTTTCGCCCATGTCGCACATCATTTCACTGATTTCCTCGTTCGTAAGAGGAGCACCTATGCTGTCCAGGAAGGAAACAAGGTCTTCCTCTGAAATAAACCCGTCTGCCGTGCTGTCCAGAAGATTGAATATCTCCTTCAGCTCCAGTATCTGCGGCTGTGTGAAGGCCATGAACACATTTGAGCTCTGTCTTGCGGTTCTTCTTCTCCTATTCATAAAATTTTCTTTTGTTTTTCTATATATCTTTGCTTATATTTCCGAAAGAGCAGCTTTTTTCTTTTATGTACGAAAAGAGAGTGAGCTCTATCTCTGATGCCACCTGGTACACTCTTTCCTCGTTCTCTATGTACTCTTCTATCTCTTCTATTTTTTCGTCTGTTATATTTTCTATGGGCTGTTTAAGCGCATGCATTGCAGCTTGCATTATTTAAAAATTTTCAGTTCAGCCATATTCATGTATTTTTTTAGCTCTTGGATGACACCGCTATCTGACTCTTTTGCTATCATCTGAGACATGGGTATTGAAATGCACGGTAGATCTGCTCTGAGATTGGTCAGATGTGCTGTTTTTTGGGGAGGAACCACGTGCTCGCAGCTTGCACACTTGTACCCGCTCATGTTCTCCACAACTGCAGCTATCTCCAGACCAGACTTATTGCAAAATGATATTTGCCGGTTAGTGTCTGCTATGCTCAGCTTGTGCGGCGTGGTTACCAGGACAATCTTTATGTTTGGAATGTGCTTTGCAAGGGCAATGTGGACATCTGATGTGCCTGGCGGTGTGTCTATCACGATCACATCGTACTCTTCTATGCTGATCTTTTCTAGATATTGCAGGATTTCTACTCCCTTGGTGGGCCCACTCTTTTTTTCTGGTGTAAATACGTACAAAGAGTCAACTTTCGAAGGAATGTGTGTCTCTGCAATGATCTGCGAGCTGTCAACGCCTGCTACCCTCGCAATGCTTGGCCCTGCTATGTCTGCATCAATGATGCATGTTTTTCTTTCGGCGGAGAGCTGCAGTGCCAAACTAGCTGAAACTGTGCTTTTTCCCACTCCGCCTTTTCCGCTCATTACTCCTATTACGATCTTATCCATAAAACTTTTTTCTATCTTGCTGGGCCCTTCGCCCTCGTTCTTTATTGCGCACGCTCCTTTGGAAGGACAGCTGTTACAGTCGGTGATGCATGACATCTGTGCACTTTGTAAAAATTTCTATTTAAGAGCGGCGAGCTAGTAAATTTTTATGCTAATACCAGTTCGATGTTTTACGTGCGGAAAAGAAGTCTCCAGCAAGTGGGAAGAGTACATGGAGAGATGCACGGTCTCTGATGACAAAGCAGGCATACTGACGCAGCTCGGGTTTAAACGGCCATGCTGTCGGACAGTTATGCTGACCACTGTAGACATAATGCAGAAGATTCTCAAGTTTGAGTACCCGCAAGAGGGCCTTTCAAAAGACGAAAAGTTTTCATAGAGTTTGGTGCTGGATAGACAAACAGCTTTTTCTTGCAGCACATTTGCACAGCAAAGCTTTTTCTCTCATTGTCTGCAAAAGAAAAGTGGCAGCTAGAAAGAGTTTTATCTGCTCTCTTAGTAATAAAAGTACTTACCACTACATCTTCTGTTTTTCTTGGTGTTTATTCCACCCGGGAAGTTGTTCTCTTAGTTCTACTTTTTTCATCCTTCTTGACTGATGCATACTGTGAGTATAATCGAAGTAAAAATATTCACTGCTCCAGATGAAGTGCTGTTTTTCAGTAGGTCATACAATAAGTATAGCTGTAGAGCTCAAGCGCACTGTAGCCTTTCTGTGAGATAGATCATAGAGAGCAAAACTTTCTAAGCAGCACAGTTTCTTTGAAATGGGTGTTTCTCATCTATTTACTGCTGACTTGGAGAGCTTTAGCATAGAAAAATAAGTACACTGTGCCATAGCACTTTGCCAAAAATAAGATAAGCTGAAAAAGTTTTACTTAATGCTGTTAAACTGTACTTTTTTGTCTTTTCCGTCAATTATAGCATTTATAAAGTCCGGAATAAAAAGAACAGTTGTATCAGACCTGCAGACAGTTCCGCTGGGTATGGTTTTTCCAGGCACAATTCTTTCAGAATACACGGCGTTTCCGCCTTTGTTCGCCTCTTTCTCAGATGCGCTCACTTCCAAAACAAGAAATATGCCGGGATCTGAGACCGTTACTGCATCGTCTTTTGAGAAGTGCAGTATGTGCACGGACTGCAGGACTCTTTCCTTCTCTTTAGCCGATAGATTTACATACTTTTTATTCTTTTCAAGAAATGCGCATATAAGCTCTCTGTTTTTTCTCTGCTGCACCATAAGAATCGAAGTGTACGCGTCTGAAGTTACGACCCAAACCTGTGCATCTATCGTGCAGAGAACACTTGCGGTTCTGGGACAGCTGTACAAAAGAGATATTTCTCCAAAAAGAGAGTTTTCTCGAAGCGTTGCTCTTAGCTTTCCGTTCTTCCAGATCTGGAACTCTCCGCTTTCTATCAGATACATTGTTTTTCCGTACTCGTCCTGCTTTATAAGCTCTTCCCCGCTCTTGACCGGCTGCACGTACATTGTTGCTACGAGTTTTTCCATCTGCTCGGTGTCCATCGTCTGGGCTATAACTCGCGTATTTTTCAGAATATTCAGAAGCATTTCCGAGACACTTTTGTCCTTAGGATGCTCCTCCACCTGCGCAAAGGGATTTCCAGAGGCGCTCACGCTTCCTCTTCTTTTTCTCTGGAAGGGGCTGTCGTAGTCGATGCACGACACTGGTATTTGCGCCATAACCTCTATGTCGCTTTCTTCGGCTGCATCGGTGGAGAGAAGATCTACAATGGTCTCTCTGAAAATGCTCTCTGAAAAGCCAACAATGCTCTCGTTTTCCGCGTTTATGATGTAGTACGACAACACATCATTCGCAAACCGCAGTGGATCTTCTATGTCTTCGCTCCTTTCGTTAATATATTCGCATATAATATCTGCTGCCTTACGAAATGTTTTATCCATAAAAAGAAAAATTACCAAAAATCGTTTATTTGTACGCCTTATTCCTTTATGCAAGCCTCTGAAAAGTTCTGTATGTACGTCTCGTTGCACATCTGGACAAAGCTTTCAAGCGGACAGTAGAGCCCGTCTTTGATTCTAACAGGGTTGCATCTTGGCATTTCTGTTTTCTTCCCGTTGTATCGCATCTGCACGTATCTCTCCTGCGTATCTTTGTTTTTGAAAAGCTCAAAGATGACATTCGCACCGAACTTTGGCCATTTCTTTGTGTCTAATCCAACTGCCATGAGGATGGGATAGACTGTCACATCGTGTGCTGAGAAAATGGAGGCTTTGAGAGGCGATCTTTCATCAGTTGCTTTTACAATCATGTGCTCTGCTATTTCTTTCATGACTCCCCCCGTGTTCAGACTCAGCGCTTCTTTGCTGTTCAAGTGCTTGAACCACAGCTCAATCGAATACTTCTCCAGGGTGTCCATTATATGCTGTGGCACTCTTTTGAAGTGCACAAACCCGTGCGCTCTGCTGCTCACCACAAGATCGTATATTGCATACGGGCTGAGTGATGAGAAAAATGATGAGTGATTGTCTGAGAAGTATTTTCGTATTTCTTTTGCCTGGGGCTCGAACATCTTCTTGATTTTCTCGTGCGATACCTCCTTAAGCGACTTGAGCCTGGGGCAGTAGCGATTGCACGTGAGCGTATCCTGTGTCATGTCTACCACTTTTACGTCCATGCTGCTGGAGTAGTTCCTGTACATTCCCTGCATCAGAGACTGCAGACTCTCCAGGGTTCTTTGGAAGTTTGTCGATCTGAGGTGGAATTCGTTCTTATCAAAATTGGGCTTTATAAGCCCGTGTGTGTCAACGTACTTCTGTCTGAACCATGTCCCTAAACTAAAGAGATTTGCGCGCCCGGTATCTGTCAGCTGCCCAGGCGCACAGTTGAAGTCTCTTCCAGAGTTCTGCGAAATCTTGAACTGCAAAGGCTTAGCAGGCCCAATGTGCATGTAGCTCAGCAGGCCCTTGATTTTGTCCATGGCAGTTACATTCCTTTTAGGAATTGTGTAGTCTATCTTGGACACGCGGTGGCACAAATTCCATTTTGTTTTATCATGCGGCCCAAACATCAAGGGCGTTCTTTCCCCGTGTCTGTGCACAAGATGCACATACTCCAATTGTAGTCTCATAAAAAAAGAAAACTTTAAGCATAAATAAGTTTGTGCTCCAATGTCTGCAGAGATTCCAAAAATAAAAAATACCGTTACACAGATAGCAGGCGTGTGTCTCTTTTTCACCGCATAAAATATTCTGGCAGTTGTGATCTGCGTATTCTCGGGCTATACTCCGCTAGAGACAGCGAAATAAACTGCAGAACACTCGAAAATGCATTTGTGTCTACTGGCAATCTGCTGCCAATGGCTGCCCATAGAAGAGCACGGTTGACCAGTGTACTTTCCAGAGGATCAGGTTCTTTGCAAATAAAATACCTATTTTTAGAAAAACTCTTACACCTACAGAAGTATGCAGGAATGCGTAAAACTCGTGAGTACCTTAATCTCCTGTCTTTGCAAGGATTTGGCATACAGACCCTCTCCTAGTGCGAGTCCATTCTTTCTCCCAGGGATAAAACATATTTCGAAACTCTGCAAAATAAACAGAATGGCAGAAGAAGGAAAACCCCCCGTGCAAAAAAGACACGCCTCCTTGGAAATAGTGTCCAAGCCCAGCCTGCTTGATGCAGACAACACAATTCGTCTGGCTCTTGTCTTTCAGCTCGGCATTTCTTTTGCGATCTTTTGCGTTTTTATCTTTTGTCGGAAAAAAATACCGTGGATGTACTCAACCAACACAAAACGGTACAAGAAGCACCCTGCTGCAGTGTACAAAGGAGCTCTCGACTGGATTGTTCCCGTGTTTAGAATATCAGACACTGTGTTTTTCGAGCTCGTGGGCTTTGATGCGTTTCTTTTTGTCGAGACTCTTAAGCTTCTTGGGACCATCTTTCTTTTTCTTTCGATTGTTCTCTTTCCGGCCCTTGGGGCGTACTACTTTTTCTTTGCGCAGAGCAAAATCAGCCTCCAGATCATCATGAATCTTTCTTTTCTCTCCACGTCCTACAGTCCTCGGCACGTAAACTGCATTGTTCCGTGCCTGGGTGTTTGGTTTGTAACGGCTGTGATTATATACTTCCTGTACATTTTCTACAGGAAATACGTTATTCTTCGGCAGCTCCACATAAGAGACCGCGTGTTCTCCAAGTCCACGCCCTCCATAAAGAAAATGACCGATGAAATGAAGTCTTTCAAGAATGCGCTGAACGAAATCAACATATGCTCCAGGACAGTTCTAATAACGAACCTGCCAAAGTTCATCGTCAACAAAAAAGATCTTTTGTACTATCTGAAAGTGCTGGGAGTAAGTGTTGAGCCTGAAAATGCGCACTTAGTGACAAACACAAAAACCCTCGAAGAGCTGAACAGCATGAAAAAGGCTGCCATCATAAGCCTGGAGAAAGAAATGCAGAAGTTTTTTATGCGGCTCAACTTCCTTTCGATTGACACAGGCTTTTTTGAAAAACACATTGAGAACTACGACTCAACAATGGACCTTATTTCCAACGCGATCGCCTGGAAGAAAGCACACCCTGTGCCCAAGGAGCAGTACAAAGAGGAGCTGGACCATCTTGTGGACAAGGCATTTAACGGAAAGTTTTTTGACGTGCTGCAGAAAATAAATGAGAGCGCTGAGCCTGTTAAAATAGCAGAGTTTGTAGCAAATATAAAGGCCCTGACTGAAAAGATCGAAATTGAAAGAGAAAAGGCTTCAAAAGCGAGCATTAGTGACGAGCTTCTGTTCAAAGCGCAGAACAACTCCGAGCTACACGATAGATACGATATAGACGGCTCTGGATCGATATTTATGTCAACCATGTCTATTTTGAATGTGAAGCGAGCATACATAAACTTTATCAACAGCATTCCCCTCGGTGCTCACAACGGATTTGTTACCTTCAAAGAGACAAAGGATGCAAGCTTTCTGCGGATGTCTCTGATAGGCTCCGGCACTTTCAGCTGCAAAGCCATAGAAGCCCCTCCCCCAGATCTGATTATTTGGACCACGCTTACAGACACTCGGGTGCGGCGGGTGGTTAAAAAAATACTCGGGACAATAATCACCGTGGTGTTTGTCTCTTTGTTTATTCTGCTTGTATTTTTTGTCTCAACAATCATCAATATAGACACGTTTGACTCGATTGTTACAGCAATCAATCCAGAGCTGAGCGCCATAATAGGAAACTCCAACTTTCGAAAAACTTTTCAGGGTATCATTGTTCCCACTGTCTACTCGCAGTTCATTTCCATTGCGCCCTCCATCCTGTGGTGGATATGTGTCTTTGAGGGGAGCATCTCAAAGATTGAGTTTCAGAAGAGTTTTACAAAAAAATACTCGATCTTTCTTTTTTTCAACGGATTTCTTGTTCTTATTTTTGGAACAAGCATTGCCGGGCTGGTCTACAGCACCAAACAGACAACCTGGACAATTGAACACCTTGTCTCCACCCCTGTAGTGTCTTCTTCCATCTTCTTTCTTAATCTTCTCATCCACAAGACCTTTGGCGGGCTGATGTCTGAGCTTCTGCAGATTCCCAGGCTTCTTTCCTGGGTACTAGCATACATCCTAGGCGGAGTGTTCACGCGAAGAGAGGAAATTAAAAGATTTGACTCGCAGCCGATAAACTTTGGGTCTTTGTACCCGCAGGTATTTCTCCTATTTCCGATGATTCTCATATACTCGATCATATGCCCGCTGTTTATGCCAATTGGCTGTCTGTACTTCTTTGGCGCTTTTGCTGTGTACAAGTCTCTCTTCCTGTATTCGCACGAAAGCCAGCTGGAGAGCGGGGGAGAGCACTGGCCGTCCCTCTTCACAAGCATCTTCTACTCTCTTATAATCTTCCATGCTATAACGCTTGTGTACTTTGTCTCGCACAAACAGTACATCACTCTGCTTCTCATACTTCCCCTTATAGTAATAACGATAGGGGTGTGGAAGGGGTTTACAAATCTGATCTCAAAAAACTGCTATTTTCTCCCAAATAACAACTCAGAAAACATACAGAGCAACGAGTCCATAAAAAAGCTGTTTGAGCTGAGAAAAGAAGACATTCAGCACTGGAAGGAGTCATCCAACGTGGAAAAAGACATATACTACCTGCAAGGAGAGAAACTGCACAAAGACAAAGATGTTCCGTATGTCTACAAAGACCTTTCCTTTCTGCCGTCCATCTCTGCCATTATTCTCCCCAACTGGTTCTACATAACGCTCCTGTACCTCAGGGACAACGGAGAGTCTGATGTTTTTGGGCTGGAGAAGAAAAAAAAGAGTAGATTTTTCTGAAAATGAAGGAGTGCGGAATATAAAGCCATAAAAACCGTACAACAGAGCATACTACTGACTCGTGATTTAGAAAAAGCAGAACACCCACAATCCTGCTGAATAGTGCTATTATATGCACATCCAACCAAGGAATAAAACACACACTAAAAGCCATTTAGCCTGCTTCTAATATTTTATTATATTCTCCCACGGCCCTTGAAAGAGAAGAAAAACAGCAGCGAATGAAAAGTTTGCTCTAAAAAAGAATGGATAGCACAGCTCACTTACAGTGCAGGAATGCATCAGAAGAGAAAAGAAAAGCATCCCAAGCAGAGAGAAGAGCTAAAATGGGCAGAAGATGCATGCCCACTCTAGAAAGAGCTAGGCAGCCAGGGCTGTTCAGTCTTGTGTGGTTTGGTGGCCGAGTGGTCTAAGGCGTTCGACTTAAGATCGAATCTCGATAGAGGCGCGGGTTCGAATCCCGCTCAAACCATGTTTTTTCTTAAACAGAATCTATTTTTTTAGCTCATGGCGCCCAGAGAAGAGAAGAAGAAGAGCCCAAGCTGCTCAGAAATATCGCAAATATTCATGGAGGGGGAAACTCTCCTGAAGGGAAGCAGCCTGATAGACAAGGAAGAGCCCATACAAGAGTTTGCATCTGTGCCTGACAATGGCCTCGACCAGTCCTTTGGCATAGAGAACAAGAGCTACCACTTTCTCTCAGACAATGAGTCGTTCTACGGAGACTTAAAGAAAGGCCCTTTCCACTCCAAGGCTCCCATAAACAAAGAGTTCACAGACAACATACTCTTCAAAGAAATGAAGTTCTCAAGCCCGCCAAGGAGAGGAGGGAAGTACAGGAAAGCCTTTGGAGCTCCTCAGCTGATGGATCCAGACGACAGCCTGGACATAGAAACAGGAACCTTCCAGAGAAAAAGAAAGTTCACTGAAAAAGCCATTAAAGAGACAGAGAGTGAGAATATGTATCTCTTCAAAGAAGAGCTGGGAGCACACACCGCAAACTCTTCATTCACAAAGCTTCCGGGATTTAAAACAGCTGAGGGATCGAGTGTGTACGTGAACGAAGAATGCACAGCAAAAGCAAGAAGAAGTTTTGACTTTCTGCAGAGCAGCACAATCTCCCAAATATCTCCTCCGAAGCCCAAGGTTATCTATCCAAGGGAGAAAGAGATACAAGATGCCCTGCAGATGTACAGAAAAGTAAAACAAGAAATATTCCCGCTAACTCGCTCAGATGAAGAGGAGTACGACATGTTCTCTCTGTTCAAGTGGGCGTGGATCTCTCTGCTCCCGCAAATACAGGAAATTCAGAAAAGAGGAGGGGAGCTGCAGAACTCTGAAATCGAGCGGTTGGTGCTCCTCGAGTCAAAGAAAAGATGGAAACTCAACCCTAAGTCTGTTCTTCAGCGCATTGCAGAGCACGATGAGAGCCCAGCAGTGTACATGAAGGTTCTTGTTGTAGAAGGGGGCACAGACGTAATAACCATTACAGACGGGATATACTCTCTTAGAGCCAAGCTGGATGAGGGCCTGCAGTGTATCTCCAGCAAAATAACCGTGGGAAAGATCCTGCAGGTGGCATGCTCTGTGCTGCTCCAAGGCTACCCCATGTCCATATGGCAGGCTAATGCAGAAAGAGTCCCGGTTATAGAGCTTAAATACAACGGAGTAAAGCCGTGCTTGTCAGGGCCCCTTGGATACCAAAATGCAATGGGGTACATACGGGCGCTCTCTTCCATCAGGCTGCAGGGAGGGTTTATAAGCTGTCTGATGCTGAAGGTGGATAGGCACATAGACACTGCATACATTGTCAATATAAAAGGCTCAAAAACCGTTATAGAGGAAGACCGGATAGAGAGCACAGTGCAGAGAATAGAAAAAAGCATAGAAAGCCTTGGGCTCTCAACGGAGGAGAAGATGAAAGAGTTTGACTCTGTGAAGCTGCACAAGTACAAGAGATACGAGGTTTCGTGTGACTACTCCCCGGGAGGAAGCTCAGCCATACTTTCTCTCTGGGAGTCCGCTCTCAACGACAACAATCTGGGGATAGGCAAGCGGTATCTGTTCTTCATGCTCACCACGCCTGCAAAGAAGAAAGAGAGCGACAGAATTCTTCTGTCAACAACCTCAAGGACGTCTTTTAAGCTTATATAGGACAGTGCTCTTTCTATTTGTAAATTGCAGAATGTGCGCTCATTTGTTCTGCTCTCAAGACATAGCATACAGCTCAGTGTGTAATAATAAATCCAATGTTCTTCTTTTTATATCTATTAGTGCAAGGAGGAGAGAAAGAAGGGGAATAGCAGCGTGTAAACTATTGCGCTCTCTATCTGCGCCTCCAGAACGACGAAAATATGCCTGTATTTTCTCCAAGTCAGAGTTAAATAAATTTTATTTTTAGTACCCCTGTGCAGTGAAGATGACGTTCATGGCTAGAGTCTCTGATTGTGATGAATGAAAGCAGTCTGAGCACATTGTAGATAAAGTCCTAAAACAAAACAAAGTGATGGTTATAGATGACGAGTATGAATGTTTATTATGAATTTAGATTTTGCTGATTGTTTTGTTTTCTTAATACCTTGCATGTGATGATTCTATCTTTCACGACGGTCGTCTGAGCCATGATGATTTTTAGTTCTGATGCTTTTACTTTTAAACGCTTGAATGATCCTTTGCCCTTTTCTTCTACGATGTGTGGATGGCCTGCAAATTAGAGCTATCTTGTCTCTCATTTCTTTTTGTTTATAATTGCACTTTGTGCTGTTTTTAATTTGTCTTTGTGCACTGTCATGTTTGTTTGTTTGGGCTTATTTATCATTTTTTTGGGTGTAAACAGATTAAATAAGATATATAAAGAGAAGAAGATTCTGAAATAATGAAGTTTAAGATGATGAAAAGGACAATACTTTCCGTGCAGCGTGTTTGTGCAGTGGGCTATGTCTTTGTCTCTGTGCTATCCACGGCTAGATGCTTTCTCCTAAACGGCAATCCTGGGGTATTCGTAAGCACAAAGGTAATTGGAGGTGCTGAAGCAGCAGCTGGTTTTGTTGAGGTAAACTCCAGTGAGTTCTTGGGATCTGATGAGCGATCCAGCACTTTCCATGCTATCTCAGAGAAGTGTTTGAGAGACTTGGATGAGTACATTCAAAGAGACCAAAAACAGGAAAGCAGTATTTTGTTCGATAACAGCAGAAGACTCAATACCGACTTAGCCTCTGTCTACAGAACTCTTTACTTCCTGGAACTCTACGGCATCACCGACAAACAGAGAAACAGCCTAATGAATGCATGCATGGAGTACGACAGAGAAAAAATAGCAAAAGCCATGGTTGATATATACACATCGCTGGTTGCCAAGGAAAGCTACTCCATAAAAGTTAAATTGGAGGGAAGCAATGATCTTATTAGCACAACGCCTTCTTTCTCTGTTAAAGACACCGATTTACAGAACTTTATCTGCAGAAAGATGCTCTTGAACTATTCGCAGAACGGGAAATGCATAGACTTTATCGAGAGAGCGGTCGGTCTTTATGCAGAAGAAGAGAAAAAGGTAAAGAAGACAGGCCTCTATGCATCTGTAGAAATTAAAAAAAAGTACTCTTCAGTCTTTGCGGATGCCAAGAGCAATACTTCCAAAGAAGCTATGCCAAGACCGGAAAACAAATCTGTCTTTAGGCCCGTAAACAGGCTCATATGCCCATTTGAAGAATGGAAAAAGACCATTTTGAGAGATGGCTATGATGTAGCAACAGTTGAAATACCCTGGAGCTACTTGGATGCAAGAATTTTTGCTAACACTGATCTTAGCTTTGACATGGCCGTGCTTGAAAAAATAATTAACAGCATTATAAGACTTGAGAACTTCAAAGAGCTTGCTGAGCTAATCGACAACCCATTCGTGGAGAAAAGCGCAGGTTCCATAAGCTCGCTTCTTTTCTTCTTGAAAAACTGCATTAGCATCTACCACTCTTCTCTTGCAGAGAGAGATGCTGCATTTACTCTTGTAACTAAAGCAAGGATCTGCAGCATAGTACTAAGCTACATTAAAGGCACTTTAACTCCAACCATTTTGCAGAACCATCTGGAAGTGCTCCTTGGCGACATAATGCACAACCTTATAAAACTGCAGATTGTGAAGCAGATAGAAATAGCTGAAAAGTTCGCACTGAGCTGCCAAACAGAAATCTACAAAAAAGAAAAAAGCATCTTTAGCTACATATTTTCTATCGACTCTTCACTTTCAAAAGACCTTGCTCCAAGGCCATTGCAGCTCCCTCTTCCTTCTCTGATAATCAGCTCTTACTTGGGTAGCAAGTGTTAGCTAGACACCCATGAAAAGTGCTAATCTGTAGATTTGTTTGTAGCTGGATACTAGTCTACGAAATAAAAATAAATGTCTATAGTTTTGTTCTAGTAGTATGCTTTGGATAATTTTGTACTTTTTTATTAATGTAAAAGCAGAGCTTGCTAGTCGAAATATTCTGCCATTTATTCGTATTTGGTGCAAGTTCTCACAACTGAATATGCTCTATACATAAATTACAAACATTCTCAGAATGTAGAGTGTTTATTTTTATGCTGGCACTAGAATATCTCTTCTGTGCATATATTTCAGTAGATGTCTTGAATGTACCTACATTATGTGATGATGTTGCAGTGTATTGTATATATGTAAATGTTTTTAAAGAATAGGGAGCAGTGGCTGTTTATCTAGCCCAACTGTGAGTATAGCTCTACAGATGTATGCGCATACGCAGAGGATAGTGTGTTTTTATCTGGTAATACAGCATGTGAGAGATTCAATATACTGTTTAATGGCAGCCTATTGTTTGAGAAGTAGCAAACAAACTAAAGTGTCTTTCATATGTCTCAATTAGTGCACATGTTTGTTTGTTGCTGCTAATTCCAATGCTAATTGATGAAAATACATTGGAAAAATATTTACTATGCACCTTTTGAGTAGAAAGCTTGTTTGTTTATTTATTAAATTGGCAGCCTCTGCTAAAATACACAAACAAACAAGCATTTGAATTAGCTGATAGATTTGAAGTTTTTGTTTACTAATCAAAAATAAAATCTATAAATAGGAGATAGGCTGGGCAAAATATGAAAGTCATAAAAACGATAAGTATAATAAGTTTGTATCTTACAGTTTTTGCAAAGTTAGCATCTTCGCGTGAAGATACAGGAAGTGCAGATTTTGAGTCGAGCGAGTATGAGACCATGGATTCTCAAAGAGTCAAAACAGCAAAAACATACAAGCTCAACTTCGGGAGCGCTGCAATTCCCACCAACTTGTCCAAGAAAGAGCTGCACGAGCAGTCTAAAAACTTCGCTGCAATCCAGGAAAAAGAAAGAGAAAATGTGCTTAGATACCTGGACTTCAGCGATAGAAGCAGCTTGTTGGATTTAAGAGGCGAAAAGCTCTATGTCACCAAGAACATTTTTGTTGAAATGGCGGTGTCTAAAACAATCCTGCACAGCACAGGCTTTTCCAGCACTAAAAAACAAAAAAAGCAGAACAAGTTGCAGTCTTTCCTAGGCTTTTTGTTCTACCCCAGCGCAGAGAGCGTAGAGCGCACCGGCATACCCATTGGAGATATTCTCTCAAGCAACCAAAAATATGAGAGTCTTTCTTCAGAAGATCTAAAAGACAGAGTTTTTGATTGCACAAGTGCAACAGCACACAACACATGGGTGCTGAGCAACATTCTGAAAACCGATGAAAACAAAAAAATAAGAGAAGCCTCTTTCATCAGCAGTGCCATGAGGTATATACTGCACTCGGTGTTTAATCTGGAAAAAAAAATGATTCTGAAGAATCAAATAGGTTTAAACGCCCTAGACGCGGCTGATAGGGAAACTGCCATTAAAGTGCTTACAAATGAGCTGGACTCAGCACTGCAAAACGTCATGTCTATAACGATAGTTCCCATCCTGAAAAGCCTTGATGTCTACAGATATGCACTGCTCAAAAAGAGGGCAGAAATCCTCATTAATTCCATCGTAGAAAATAAACCTGCGAGGGCATTTAGTGTCTACAAGATGCTTCTTGGCTGCACCAGCAACTCTTTCGGCTTATTTTCACAAAACAACGCAAAGATGAATGTGCATAGCAACACCTGTGTAAATGCCACAGCCAATGGATATGTTGAAATTATCACAGAAGATTTAATTGAGAAAGCAATAGAGCACACGTATAAGGAAATGGTAAGAGTTAGCTCTGGCTTGCCTAATATCTACAATAGCAGCCATACTGATCTGTACATAACGCTAGAAGAGCTGGCTGTTGTTTTTGGCCTCTACAAGATTGCAAACTTAAGAGAAGGCAACCCCGTGCAGCGTGCTGAAATAGAAACACTAATTGAAAACAGCCAGTGGGACAGAACAAAGAGCGTTGATCTGGAGCTCTTTGAAAGTTTATCAGATATGAAAAAAGCTCTGGAGGCCCAAAGCGGCGACATTAGGCCATGCTTTAACACTACCGTGTCTATCTGTAATTCCAATGAAAACAATAGAAATTTCATGTGCGAGAATGGGCATCTTTCTATTGAATACTCGCCTGTTTCCTCTGCAAATAAAATATGCAACACGGCAGAAGTAGCACAAGAAAAACTGAACCTGCACACACTAAAAGTTGCCAACGAGATTCTAATGCCTAAAATGCAAAACCGAATTCACATCAAAAATGCTCCAGAAGACGATCTTGTGTATGAGATAGCTTGCAGCATCGCAGAACAAAACTCTTTCTACTACAAAACAGGTGGTACCGAAATGGCAGTGACATACATTTCTCCTTTCATCGAAATGAAGAAGTGTGCCCAAGGCCAGATATCGCACAGTAATGAGTATACCTATCAGGCCATATACCAAAATGAATTTTTTGTGCAGAGCCCATATACCTCTTACAAATACAAAATTACCACTGATGCAGATGCTGGGAGATTCGATGTAAAAGCATTGCGTTTTAGCATTCCAATGGAGAGCCACCCATCAGATCACATTGATGTATGTTTTGAAAGCAATCTTAAAACAGTCCTGCAAAATATAAAAAAGGTCATAAAGGATATAAAAAAGAAAGATCTTAAGGAACTCAACTTAAATATAACGGTTAGGGATTTAATTAAAAAATATATTCTTGGCCTTACAATGGGATGCAATGAATATAAAGAAGTTGATCCAATGGTACTAAGCAAGTATTCTATATACAAATTCCAGCTAGTTATGAATCTACTTATCAACTTAGAGCAATCCATCAATTCATTAATACAAGATGTTGATATTAGTCATAAGCTTAAAACTATAGAAGAAATATTGAATATTGAACTTAGCATACAAAAATATGAATATAATAACCCAAAAGAAACTTATATCATTTCTATAAATTCCATTGAACTGCAATATGATGTACTACTTTATAGTATTCTTTCAGCAATCAGCTACACTATAGAAAGATTCATAAACGAAAAAAAAGCTCATTTAAAAGTGTTTGAAGGTGTTTCAGAAAAACTAAATGCTTTAAATATAAAAAATAACTTCAATGAAAAAGATTTAGAAAAAGACGCTGCAGATTTGCATAAAGTTATAATTGGTGAAAGAAATAACCCAAAAAAAAGTTATATATCGCTCACTAGTAAAAAATATACTATGAATGACTTCTTTAAAAATACTGATCTAAAAAAGGCATTCACACATTGGGGCAATAAAAAAAACAAAAAAGAAACAGATATGGAAAAAGACTGCAATAGTTTCTGGAGCTACATGTATATAGACGATTACCCTAAAAATCTCAAAGGAATAATATTCCCACCAATTGCAGTCAGCTGTAAAAGTGCACTACATCCGTACATCAACCTACTTTCTGAAATAAGCAATGTAACACTTCTAAACTACTAATGGGTGATTTTAACTCAAAGGATACAAATTTCTATCTGTTCTCCATCTTTGCGGAGTAAGGCTCTTTGCGAGCACCTGAAAACAGCTGCAAGGCTGCAACAATAAAGACAATTTGTTCATTTTTTTCTAGGATTGGTTACTTCGCACATCTTGGATTTTTAAACTTGGTGAAAACAGAAACTTAGTATGGACTCGGTCAAAAAAGAAGAAACTCCAGAGGGAAGAAAAAAAGAAAGCAAGGCAGAAAAAAGAGCACAGAGCGCTCTAAAGCAGTCAGCCTCTACGCTGTCAGCTCCCCCGCTAGACCATCCTCTTCTGAACCAGATGAAAACAGAAATAAGAAGACTTTATGGTGAAAAAGTAAATATGGCAAATACAAATTATATTGTGAAGCCGCACGAGTTCAAGTGTTTGGCAAAGGCGCTTTCAAAAGCCCTGTGGAACGAAGAAAAAACCCTGGAAACAGTGGATGACATCATATACGCAGTGGATTACCTCTGCAGCAAGAAACAGAGCGCGGCAGAGGACGGCGTGGATGCCTCTGTAACAAACAAAGAGCTTCTTACAACAATTCGATTCATAGCATCTTCTCTCAGGGCTCTGGTGCCACAGGTCGAGAACAGAACAACACCTGCTAATTCTCTGCTATCTGCTGATCTAAAGTACCTGATGGAGTCTAAGGACGTGCTTGAAACTGCGCTAACCTCCACAGGGCACTCTACCCTTGAGTCGCTAGCCGCGGAAAGAACCCGATTGAAAAATATTATTTCATCCATCACCCAGACATTCTCCATCTCTCCTGCAGAAGACATCCTGGCGTCGCTGAAGAACATGCAGAAACAAGAAGAAAAAAGATACAACAATGAGCTTCTTCAGAGAGATAGAAATGCCGAGTGCCAGAAAAGATATTTTGAGGAAACCATCCAACAAGCCAAAGAACGGATCGCTGCTCTAGAAAGTGAGAACAAAAATCTTGTGCGCCGCCTGAACGAGAGAAAAGACCGCACGGCTGAAGTCCTTGAGAGAGGCGATGCTCTGGAGCAGAATATTTCGCAGATAAAACAGGTTCTAGCCGAAGAAGAGACAAGAATACAGCAGGAGAGAGAGGAGTACAAGAAAGTCAAAAAAACTCTCATAGACTACAACAAGAAAATGGCTAAAATCGTCCAAGAGCTAGTGGAGAGAATTAAAAAAGAGCAGAAAGAGCGGGATAATCTGATGGCTCTTAGGGATGGGATGGAAGACGCATAGTTTGATGAGAGCCACACACTTTTATCTATTTAATTTAAAAGTATAAATTTAGTAATAAATAAATCATCCATGAGCAATGTCGAAGAGACTGTGTTTAATCAGTCTTCAACTATTTTGGAGTCTTCTTCTCGTTCGCTGCAGGATGTCTCTTGGCTAGGGAGCATACAGCAGCCAGAAACAAAAGAGCCTGAAAAGCCTCTATATCTCCCCGAGTGGACGGACAGCGGTGCTGCAGTCATTCACGAAAATGTTGTTAAAATCCAAGTAGATGGCGCATACCACGTATTTCCGATAGAAAAGTACCCGGTGGACAGGAAAGAGACCAGGCACATAGAAGAAAGAATTAAAAAAGCGCAGAATGCAAATAAAGTTTGCAAAAAAGAGAGCACAGAGGAGGTAGCTCAAAAGAGTATAATATTTGACTCAAGCACTTTGGAAGTTATAGATCAGTCCAGCTTGTATGACTGTTCTACGGGGGTAGAGAATGGTGGCTTGATTGGCACTGATAAAAGAGCCGATTCATTGAAAAAAGCGAGTATGGATGAGAATAAAGCACTCAAAGAAAATCTGTTTTTTCTCTGGGAAAGAGAAAGCTCTGAGCAAATTATAGCCCAGAATAACATTACAGTGTGTACAAAGGCAGTAAAAAATAAGCCAAACAAACTTTTAGTAAGGTCATCAAAAATTGCAGATGTTCTTACTGTCATGTCGCTAAAATACAAGATCTCATTTGTACACCTTACAAAGGAAACATTAGACACAGCACTTTGCTCACTGGAGAATAGCATTCGCAGAAATGGAAGCGACACAGGGCCTGCTCTAAGGCTTAGAAAAACACAGAAGCCAGATGATCTGCTAGAAACAGTGCTTCGGTCGGTGTCCGGAATTACTGTTGATGAAATCTCCATTTTAAAAAAGAAGTTTGGCTCTCTTGCTGGAATGTCTCAGATAGGCTTTTCTGTAGAGGGAGTGCAAAGCCATACAATCCTCCAAGTTAGGAACTTATTCTCCAAAGACAGCTAGAAAGAAATGCATGTGCCATACAGAACTCTCTACACATTAGCTGTTTTTTGATGTTTTTCAAAAATTGCAGTGCTAATTCTTTCTCCTGAGTGCTTTACTCTGTTTTCACAGTAGTTCTTATAGAAAAGATAGAGCATTGAGATTCTCTGAAGTTTATTACAATCCTGATGCAAAAGTTGTGTACAAGTTAAAATAAAAATAAGAGTGTGTAAAACAGATAAAGCAACTATACACTATTCTATTCAGGTTTATTAACTATTTATGAAGGAGTAAAGGAAATGTCTCTTCGCATCATGGTATCGTATGCTCTTGAGGCAGCAGATGCAATGCTCTCATCTGAATGCTCTGAAGCCTCTTTTTTCTTCTTCAATGATGCAGACTTTTTTTTCGAAGAGCTTTTCTTGTGTTTTCTATCTGAGGCTTTGTACACAGGGCTCTCGTTCGGGTCTTCACTGTCCTGCGATAATGAAGACGCGGTGTAGCTTCCAAGTATGTTGATGATTTTGCTTTTTGATCTTTTTTCAGAAGATGGCTTTTTTACCTTCAAGATCCTCTTTATTTCTTCCACGCTTTCCACCTTCTTGTCCATGTTCTGCAGTAGCTTGCTTACCAGCGGTGTTTCTCTTGAGGACCCCTTGATCTTTTGGGCCATGTCCAGGCTTGCAGGAGGAAGGGAGCTTGTGATGGTTTTAAGAGTGATTTTAAACTTTGGGCTTTTTCTAGGGACGTATGTGTGGACTATTACTACGTCTGAAAAGGTAACCGTTTTTTCATAGTCCTCTGAAAACTCTTCTCTCTCTTCAACAGCCTTTTTGCTCTTCTTCTTTCTTTTGAACAGTTTCTTGGACAGCTTGTACGGAAAGCATACGATCTGCGTTAGAGCGCGTATGAGCCTTCTTTTTGCTGATTTTTTCTTTTCAGCTTTACTTACAGAAGTTTCTCTTTCTCGCCTTTGAGAGGACTTTTTGGACGCCATTGCAGAAGAAGATACTGTCTTTTTTGTCTTGGATGTTTTGGAGCGGCTGCTGGAAGAAGAGTGGGCAGTGCTTGACCTTCTGGGAGCCTCTTCAGAGTCAGAGTCCTGCTGATCTCTGCGGCTGGATTTTGCGCTATTTTTACGCTTTGCCATTATTCCAATGGGTGTCCACGAGTTATATATTCTTTGCAAGTTTCATGTGTTTTTGTTTCAAAGATCAAAGTCTGTTTCTTCTATTGGTGTAAGTGTTCTTGAATTACATAGAAGAAAACATTGCATGCACTCCAAAGACACAAGGAGTCTCGAATAAAGGAAGTACAAAATCATTCGTACTTCAAGTATAATACTCAACTCTCTTGTACTCATATAACTATTCTCTTCTACATTGCTCTATGATAGATGAAACAGTGCACAACATGTCTCTTCTTAAGATAAATAAGTATGGCTCCTAAGCATAAATTTTATTTTTATTTTAACTTGTACATATTTTTACATTAGGACTGTAAATAAATTTGTAGAGAATGCTCACGACTTACACAATTATTTCTTTTGATATTAGCATATTTTCCCATTGCATTTAGAGTCTAGACAGGAAAGTAAAGAAAGGTTTCATGATGAAAAGACTGAAGATCCGCTTGCAAAGGCGATAGAAAACACTACAGCATTAAGAGAGACAGAAGATAACCCTAATGCTTTCGCAGGATAATGAATGCGTGTGCTGTATTGATGCATCACAGAGATAGAATTCATCACACAAACAAGATAAAACAAAACAAATTGCCATAGAGATAAGAGCAGCAGACAGAATAGTGATAAATATTCGAGTTTTATTATTGATAACTTCAAATCAAAGTAAAACCTTTGTTTTTACTGTTCTCCTTCTTCAACTGTTTCTTCTACTGCTGTAGACTTAGTGCTTACTGCTGCTGCAGCTGCAGCTGCGGGTCTGGAGCTGGATGAAGAGGAGCTATCTGTCTTTGTCGTGGTAGTGGTAGTTGTGCCCTGTGCTACTATGGTGGCATACTCGGGAGGTAAATCGCTGTAAATAGCATTAGGCGAGTCAGGCTTAGTGTTTCTCAGAATTCCCATCAGCTGTGTAAGGAGCTCCAGCTTTATGTTGGGCCCAAACCCATTTAGATTGAACTCTGTTTTTTTGGGAAGAAGGAGTGTTATTCTCCAGGCTGTGTACAGACCTAGTTTCCTTGCCAGAGTGCTCGTTTTTTTCACTTGGCCCCAGTTGTTCAGAAGATATACCTGATTGTTGCTCAAATTCTGTCGCTTATTTACTCTATTGGGGCTGTTGCTGGCTGTGGTACCTCGAGAGGTGGCTGTTGCTGCGGCCTTTGAGCTGGCGATGATAGACGACCTTGCATCTGTTGCATTGGACATTTCGTCATAGTCATTCTGTTCTGCCAACACATTTCCTAGCAGTGCTATTATAACTCCGAAAGAACCTAAAAGTCTCATTGCACATTTACACTATTCTGGGTTATATGTGTATACCTAAAACAAATACTCACACTCGACCAATCATCTGCAGAAGAAAACTTTTAAAACAATCAATATGTTACACACTTTGCTATTACTTCACAAGAGCATCCGATGCTATTCAAGCACCGCGGGCAGCCTGCTTAGCTTTCTCCACCAATAGCACACATATTTTTGGAAAAGTTTGTACCTGCAAATTCTTTCATTAAAGAGCTTCTATATCCAAGTTCCAAGTTTCAAATAAGAGCGCATAATACAGTAGATACCCCACTCAGTTGGCTGTGTGCTGTCTCCAAGCGAAGACGTGTAGCGGGTTATAATGTCCCTCACCTTCTTCTGAGCAATCTCAGCCGCGCTTGGGGGAAGCGTAAGGTACACATCTTCCATGACATTGCAGAAAACAAAGGAGCACACAAGAATGTCCAGTTTGAGAACATCTTTTTCTTCGTACCGCACTGTGCCTGTAAGATACGTAATTATTTCTGTAGATATCTTGGACTTTACTCCTTTGCATGCTACGGCGGGCACTGAGCTTCCGCTGGCTCTGCTGGTCACAAAGTCAATAAACTCGCGCGTTTTGCTTTTCTGTTTTTTCAGTATATTTTTCGAGATAAGAAGCTTTCCTATTCTTTTTCTTGCGTTTTTTACGTGGTACTTGTCCTTTTTGAGCGAGTACGACTCTCCGTTGAGCAATAGAAGCCACTTGTCAACCGCTTTGAGCTTTTTTGAATTTTTGATCTTCGCGTATACTTCGTCATGCACTTCATCAATTGGCATGTAGGAGTCCACTGATGTAAGTATCTTCTGCGAGTCAAGAGAGACGCCGGCTCTCAAAACCAGCTCGCACAGGAAGAGTGCCCTCAGCGAAACAGAAACAGGATCGTACAGGCCAGGGAAGGCAGGGAGGGCGGATGTTGTGGTAAAAACAATAAGAATTTCAGCAAGATTTAGGTCTGTTCTCAGTCTTTTCAGGGAAGAGAACGCCGCTTCTCTTTTTACATCTCGTCGCCTAGGAGAAAACTCGTCATCCATTTGGATTAAAAGAAAATATTGTTTATTCATTCTAATGAAATGAAGCTGGAGTTTTCCAAAAAAAGAAAGCACCCCGTGTAGAACACCTCGCTTTCTTTTGCGCTTCCTGTTCGCACGTCTTTTGCGTTTCGGAAGGTGTGCACAAGCGCGTGGTTTATTTTTTCATCTATTTCCACCTCGGCGTGGGCTCGTATGTAGTTCAAGTACTCAATGATTCTCCGAAACTTTGCTGGAGACTCTCTGTCGTTTTTGTTGCAGCTCGCATCGATCAGGTGCTTTTCAACCGACTTAACATCGCGTATGTAGAGTATGTTGGATGTCTGCATGTCTTTTTCTGTTTCCTGCGAGACTGCATCTGCTGATTTTTTTAGGAGATCGGATATTTCCTCTTTTAGAATGCGCGGTGGATCTGTTTTCATAAGCCCTTTGAACACGGCGTCTGCGCTGTTTCTGTTGTTCTGCTCCACAAGGGCTTTCATCACGTCCACCCAGTGCTTCTGTGCAGCTGTTTTTTCGCTCTGCGCATGAAATTGGCGGTGGGCCTGCACTTTTTCTGTTTTTTCCTCCAGACAGTCTAAAACGCTTGTTGTAACGTAGGAGGAGAGGCCCTTTGTAAACTTTATGTATCCAACAAGCGTGGGCGATGCCTCTTCCTCGCTGTCATAGCTGAACTTGAGAATTTCAATGGGGGTTATGTCCATTAGGATTTTCACTTCGGTGGCTGTAAGCTCTTTTGCGATCTTCTTCGCTTCGAGCGTGCACAGGTCAATGGCCTCTGCTTCAGATATGTGCGATTCCAGCTCCTTTTGGTCCATCTCTTTTTTCTCTGCGTCTTTTTTATCCGTATCTTTTGAGCTTTTACTGGTATCTGCCTTTTTTTTCTCTGACTTTAGCTTTTCTATCTTTTTTTCGTACTCCGAGTGCATGTCTGCGCCCAAAGTGTCTTCTTTAAAATTACTTTCCTTGTTTTAGGTGTAACCAATATATTCTCAGAAGAAAAACATTATGATCCACTACAAATCTTAGAAAGACACGAATATACACTGATGGAACAGAAAGAATCGCATACCAGTAGATGTAACTCTTCAATTACAGCGGGTAATAAAAAGGTTTATATTTATTTACTGGGTTCGTCTGCAGTTTTTACAACTGCCTCTTTTCTACACATAGGGCACTCATTTGAATACTTAGTCAGCCATTCAGAGACACAGCTGCTGTGGAAAATGTGTTTGCACAGAAGCTTGCGAATTACCTCCTTTTCTTCTATATTAAGCAAACATATCGAGCACTCTCCTTCCTCTCCGCTGGCTTCTACCTCTGGGACGTCTTTTTCCAGATCTTCAGGGGACACAGTTTTGGGGCGCAAAGGACTGTCGTTAATATAGTACGTGATCGTAAGAATGATGTTTGTTATGGGGTTCGGATTCTGCTCAAAGGAGCTGATGTTTGGGCTTTCAAAGAAAAGGTCGATTTCTGTGAGGTTTACTTCTTCATCGATTTCGTTCAGCTCTCTTCCCTGCTGCATTGCATTTGCAATGGCTCTAAAGGGCTCAAAGGGAATGACGCGCATGTTATAGAGCCTCTGGCTGGCCTCCCTCATATTTGCCAGATTTATTGTCTGCTCTGTGTCTCCTCTTTCAGCTGCATCTTGCTCGTTTTCCTCTGTGCGCTCTCTTGCTTCTGTTCTGATCCCTGCAAGAAGCCGCAAGATAGAGCTCCGTGCTGCGGCTATAAGCGATAACGGGCCTATGCTAAATGAGGAAGGCTGATCGTCTGCTGGCTCCTCCACCTCAGGGGCCGGCTGTGCTTCTGGCTCCACAGGCACTTCCTGTGTAGGCGTAGATGCTCCCTCGTTCTCTTCCTGTTTTCTTTCTTTTTTGTGCTTTTCTACGCTATTCTTTCGTTTCATACACTAATTAAAACGAAATTTTATTTATGTAAGTTCTTTTTCTGGAACATTTTTTTCTTCAAAGTATCTAAAAACGGAAGTTCTGGTCTCTGGTATTTTGCACGAGACATACACAGTTTCCTTTTTTATATCTTTTTCCAGATCATTTGGAGAAGTTGTCTTAGGGACTCTTGGAGCCGTCTTTCTTTTTTTATTTTTTTTGGGAGCAGGCAAGTGGTCTTCTATGTCTCGAACTTCTTCTAGGAACTGCACACTGCTGGGCCGGTGCTCCTCCTCCACAGTGTTCTTTTTTCTTTTTTTCGCGTACATCTCGTACAGTATTCTGCAGTATTTATACTTTGAGTTTCTCTGTGTGTTCAGCTGTGTTTCTGTCTCGTCCTCGTATTCCCAATATCTCTGTTTAATGTCGTGCAGAAGATCTGGGTAGTTGTAGAAGGCACATGGCTGGGCCAAAAGAAACTTTTTCAACTCTTTTAAAGAGCGTCTGGTAAACATCCTGCAAAAATATAAAATTAATAATAAAGAAGTGGTGTGAAAGAGAAATACTGGGGTGAAGACAATCAGTGCCCTGGAGGTGCAACCGATAGGAGAGGACTATCCTCCATTGCCTCTCTGGTTTTGTAGAAAAGAATAAGAAAGAAAAAAGAGTGAAACGGTAAAATCTGGTGGCATAAGTGATTTACTTAATTGTTTTCTTCGCTTGTCCAATCCATAATAAGATTTACTGCTTTTGTTAAATCACCTTCTGAGCAAACTAATGCGATCAGGTTGAGCTCAACATTGTTGTATCCTATTTGCTGCAATTCTGAAAGCTCGGATTTGTACTTGCTAAGGGCCTCCTCCCTGTTGAATGAAGGCATCCCAGGCATTCCACTGGGTATGTTTGCAGGCATGGAGCCCGATGGCTGCTGTCCCGGGAATCCTCCCTGGGGCATTCCTCCGCCCATGGCCTGGTTCATATATAGATCAGATAGGTTTGGGTTGTCTAAAATGTGGTTTACAAACATTTCAAACTGCTCAGGATCTGTTTTTGCCATATCAGCAAACTTGTTGATGTTGTCCATCATCATTTTTTTTGTTGGCTCTGGAATGTTCTGCATACTAAGGGATGCCTCCATGAGAACTTTCATCTGTTCTGGGTTTTTCATAAGCTCTTTCATTTTGCTCTGCATCATTGCGTGCATTCCATCCTGTCCCTCTGCGCTTGAGAAGCCTTTCATCATGCTTGGGTCAAACTGTCCAAAAGGGTTGCCCGGTGCTCTGCCCATGCCTGCTCCTCCGAGATTGGGAACACTCGATGATGCAGATCTTGTGCTAGTAGAGTCGGCTGATTTATGCAGTGCAGAGTTCTGCTCTTCTGGAGAGCTTTTTTCAGAGGACACTTTCTTTTCCGTATTTGGAAGTACCAAGTGCACAGTGGAGCCCTCTTCGAGCTTGTATGTCTTGAGTGTTTCCTCGTCCTTAAGAAGCTTTCCTATGTGGATGAGTCTGATTTTCGAAACAGAGACATTGGCCTGCTCAGCTATCTTTTCTTTGAACTGCAAGATTGTGCAATCTGGGCTTTCCACCTCTATGCTATACACTTCTCCTTTACTTGTCTTTACACCAATCTTCATTGTTTGCTTCGGAAAAAAAAAGGAAATACATTATGTACCCATGTCTGTAAACAAACCCAGCACAATAAACAAAGGCGCAACTCATATAATGCATTTGGACAAAGTGGGGTATAGTTTCTCCTTTTCCTGCTATTAGCGCACTTTCCATTTTCTCCTCTAGATGGGTTTTTACGTTATATTTACAGCTTTTGATTTTGCGGTTTTCTTTTAATTAATGTGTATATTAAATATTCACTTTGGACAGAACAAAATAGATACAGATTAGAATTACTTCAAATTGTTTATTTATATCACACGCTGCGCATTGTACAGCAGTTAGCTCTTGCATTGTGATTGAGCTATAAAAGATCTGGCAGAAGACTTCTATTTTTGGGCTGTTCTCTAAAAAAGACAATACGCAGCTGGATACTTTCATCTAGAATTTGAGCTAATGAGCTATCCATCATTTTAAGAGATAGAGAAGCCACAGAGTATTACATTACATACAGGAAAAGTGCTTGGAGGCAGGTAGAATGCCCATGCAGAGTGGTATTCTTTCATCTGTCAAGAGTTTAGGCATTTATTAGATGAGTGTAGTACTCTAAAGGAATTTCAATTGTTATTGCAAAGTTCAAATCATCTTTTGTATCCCCATTGAGCTCAGCGAAAGACTCTTTTTCACCTGTACCATTCTCATTCTTCAAATAGCCATTCTGTTCATTTATGCCAAAAAGTTTCTGTAGTTCTATTTCCTTTTCCTTTTTATTTTGTTCTTCGTTTGTGCTGCGTGTTAGTTCTTCTCCCTCTTTTTTTTTAGAAGCGAGAATCCTTTGAGAAGGTTTTTCAGGGTGCTTTTCTAGAACAGGCTGAAGTTTGGAGGGCTGTGCTTGATTTCTGCTTTTTTCATTGGGAGGTTTGATTGCAAATTTATAAAATGCATACCCGATAAGGCCTGCAAAGGCGCTTGATAGGATAATTAATACTAAAGTTCTCTTTGTAGAAAATATTCTGGTGTCTTCTGTGTACATGTATCTTCAGCTGTGTTTTTGCGCTTTTATACATTAGTCTGTTTGTTTTTATTTGTATGGCAAATGAAACACTAACAGTAAATAATCTCTGCAGAGTATCTGTTTGTTTTGGCGTGTAAGTCTTCGCATTCAATCAGCCAAAGAAGTTCTGCTAAATAAAGTAAATCTCTCTTGTTCTCTTCTTTCTTTGCCATCTTAGATGCACTATGGGAATAAAACTGTTTTATACATGAATATTTCTATACTGAGACATATCACTGTACTACATTCATCTACAGAAGTATATAGCATATAAGAAACACATGTACATACCAATAAATGAAAAACCATGAGACAACAACTATCAGGCATCTATAGCACCGCATATGTGTGTAGTGTATATGCTGTATAGAATCCAGGGGATACAATACCGAGCTTAATTCCCTAATAAGACATTTTATTGTTTATTTTGAGTCTAAATCCAAGATCTTTTATTTTCAACCAGGCAGCTCATGCACACAAGACATTCTCGGGCTATTCTCTGCATTTTTAGAGTGTTTAGCTTAACTTCACACATACAGTAAAATTTATATTTCAATGCAGCTCATTGTCCTATTGCGTACAAATAAAAAGAATTCTTTTACAGCTTCTGTGCATCTGCATGCGTACACAAACGTAAGATATTCTCTTCTATAGCAGGTGTCTGTATATTTTTCCAGTAAGAATCCAGTGAGAATATGGCACAGTTCTTAATTTTACATACAATGGATGTGAGGTCTGTGTATGCCCTCAGATTTTCTTAGGCGGCAGTTAACCCCCAAATGCTCTTCTCCATTGTGGAGGACAGTGCCCTCTGAAAAGATGCATCTTTTGTTCCCGAACAAGCTTGTAGAGACATTAGCGTTTCTACTGTCATTGGCACACACTGCTATTAAAACACCCACAATGATTAGTATCACAACTATTGCCAAAATAGACAATACTATCTTAGCACTTTTACCTAACACCATACTGTGTTGTGTTTATTTCTATTTATGCTTTGCAGCAAATCTTTTGAGCACAAAAATCAAAGTATACCCGAAGTCTATTGGTTATTTTTTTTTGATGAATGAAGAGCAAGAGGAGACATTTAAGCTTATGGACATAATGAGATATGCGGCGCCTATTGATCCTCCTGAGGGAACCCCTCAAAAAGTGCTGGATACAATTTGCGAGCATTCTTCTGAATACCTCTTTGACATATATCTGCTGGCCAACGGGGTTCCTATTCGGGCTCTTCTGCACCCTTCCATGTATCTCCGCGTTCTGAAGGGATGGCTCAGAGTTGGAAGCGTTGTCAAAATTCTGGAGCTGGAAAAGGACATGATTGTGCAGCTGGAGCCCACAGGCGAAATCTCAAAAAGCGACCTGACAAAAATCAAAAAAGAAGCATACATAACCCTGCCGAGCCCTATATACAACCCCAAAGCCTATTACATGCCATTGCTCTCTGACGAAGGATACATGAGATGGGATAGACGGTGGAAAAGGTACCTAGAGGAGTACTCAAATTCCATAGACGACAAAGAAATACTCCTTGAGAAGGACAATAAGTCTTTAAAAGACGGCCACAAGAAAAAGGCAAAAAGTAAAAAAGATTTAAAAAACATACCAGTGGTTGTATGCAGTGAAGAGTCAGAGGAGGAAGAGCGGCCTTTCAAAAGAAAAATGCCAGCGAATCGGCTGGGATACTCGAATACATCCAACAACTTTATCACAGGGCAGGTTATTCTTAAAAGCAAGCTTTTCAAGTACCAGGGGCACAGCCCCTGTCCGCTAATGTTTTCTTTTGTTCTGCTTACTAAGTCTGGGCTTGTAAAGGCGTATGTGTGGGAAAGCGCAGTAAGAAAATTCTTCTGTGTAGACGAGGGAAACTACATTGCAATCCGCGGGTTTAAAATCAAAAGAAGAACAGGAAGCTTTTTCGCAATAGGAGACAGAATGAAGACAGATACGGACACAAAGTATGCAAATATCCCGGAAATAAATGTTAACATAACAAGTCCTGTCGGCCAGATCATGAGAATTGATCCGATATCAGATCTTTTTTGTCCAGAAAAAGATAGCGAGTTTACAACGGTGGTAGGCACGGTGGAATATATAAGCCCGTTGATGCGAGAAAAAGAAGCATGGAATGCTGTGAAGCTTAGAGAGTACGTGCTTTTAAAAGTGTCAGGAGTAGTTGTGAAGCTTGTGTCCAATGGGTGCGCAGGGATGATATTGGATATAAAGGCAGGGCTTAAGCTAGAAATTAGACACCTTCGAAAGGCCACTATTGGATCTTTTGTGTTCTACATCTCGTCAGTGTATACTCAGTTTTACATAGATGGCACTGATGCCCCGCTCTTTGATAAAACAGTTATTGCAAAGAACTGCACAGCAATCGCAGAGGAGAATGCCATGGGATACATTCCTGTGTGTTTTTCCACTTTTTCAGAGCACATGCACGCCTCTAAAGAAGGCGTGGGTGCTTTATCACTCAACGGTGTTCCCATAGAGAAAGGATCTTCGAATGCAGGATACATAGCCAGAGATCTAGTCTACTTTGGAGAGCTGCTTAACCTAGCCAGTGCAGAGCAAAAGATTGATGCTCTTTACATGGACGAGACAATACGAATAGTTATTTATGGAAAAATACTGGCTGTTAAATACAACTCTCTTGGAGATACTACGATAGGAGAGAACAGCTTTGATGTGTCGTATGTAGCCACAGAGGCTACAATGAGCGAAATAAAAGAAGAAAAAACAGAGAAATGGGACGGAATGGCAGGAATGGCATTTAATGATAAGATAGAGGAGAACATTGTGATTCGAGTTGGAGATGAGAGTTCGAATATAGATCTGCAAATATTCCAAAATCACCTGGTGCACAGCACTTTTGAAGAGAGTGTGCAGGACTTTCTTAAGATGGGGAGAATAATGAGTCATTCCATCTACAACGAACTGTCTAAAAGAGTAGGAGAGAAGTACTATTTTGTGTTTGATGCGGTTCGTGTTAATGAAGAGGTGATATTGAAGATAGGTGTTTCTCTGCTGGCACCGCCTACGGGCATGTCTTAGTGTGCACAATAGAGACCAGTCTCATCTAGGCTCTACTCGGGTATATCTATGCTAACTGTATGAAAAAAATAAATGTTGAGTGAAAATGAAAGAAGTCTTGGAAGAGACAGAAACACGTTTAAAAACGGGAAGGGTGAGAGCTACAAGGGAGTGTACATACCAGAAGCCTCCGTGTACGACGAGCAGCCTGCGTTTGCGGCGCCTAGAGAGTTTACTATTTCGCAGAAGACCGTGACTGTGTTTGGATACTCGCCCTCAAACTTGGAGCACATACTGAGAAAGTTCAGAGACATTGGAGAAATAAAAGAGATCAGCTACGGGAAAAACTGGATGGATGTGAAATACGAGAGGGAAAAGTGCATGTTTCTGGCTCTTCAGGAAAGCGGAGCCATTATCAATGGCGAGATGATAGGAGTTGTGCAGAAGGCAAGAAAAAACATAAATGTTGGAAAGATCGAAAAAAGCAATCTTCTGATACACAAAGAAGAGGGAGTTTTGGGGAGGATTCTTACCTATTTATTTGGATAGATTTGGCATTCTATAAAGTTAGCGGTTTATACTGTCTTTCCAGGGGAATGTATGCTCTTATATTAATGTTTCAATAAAAGCACTGGGTTATACGTACTTCTACCAGAGGATATTTTCATACTGGCTACAATTCTTTTTGCTGCAATCTGGTGGTCTGTGTAAAATTTTAATAGATTTGTCTAAATGCTGGCATGTTTATAGTCTAATGCGGGCTAGTTTCTAAGGAGATCTATCAGGTCTCCACTCAGCAATATCTCATCTAGGATTTGGCTGTTCTCTAAAACATCACCATCAAACTCAAAAAAGGCTTTTTTTATGTTGGGAAGTGCTGGAAGTTTCGCAATGACTGTTTTCAGAAGATCGCCCACTGTTTTTTCTGTGCTTCTTTCTATTTCAATGCTCTCATATTTTTCATAGCGTATTTTGTAGACAACTTTCTCCTTCTTCTTTGGGGGCTCTTTTGGCAGTGCTATCTTCAGTATGTGTCTCTTGTCTTTTCCCTGCAAGATCTTGGCTTTTGCGTATCTCGACAGTGGAGCTGCATTGTGCTCCAGAACAAGCGCCATTTTAAACCGGCTTTCATACTCTTTGTATATCTCTTCAAAGGTTTCGTTTGCCAGAAGATCATAGTCCTTTTCTGTCCCTCCAAAGACCACCTTAACAGGAACAGTTTCCTTTTTTGGCGGTTCTTCTATCTTACTCGGTCTTCTCAAGAACTCCCAGTCTGAGTCTGACATGCTAAAACACAAAATTAAAATCACGGATAAAACATCTATGCATGTGTCTTTATTTAAGCTGTAGGGAAGCATGTAAAGACATGTGTAAAAATTCTGCTCTTAGATATCTTGTGCAATATAAGTGGATGGCAGTGATAGAGCAGTCTCTATCAATGCATATTTTTACAATCATTCTAATCTTTTTTAATAATAGGTCTAACGGTTTATAGCCGTAAAGTAGTGATTGGCTATGGCTATTTTCTATGTCTTAAATAATCTTTTCATTCACAGAGAAATAGATAAGGAGCACTAGCACGCTCTCTGGATCAAAAGCTGTACGAAAGTGCTGAAATGTCTGCTACAAAGTTGTTCCAGAATCCTACGGTTGGGGGATCGTCCTTGAACAGCCCAGCTTTCTGAGCCAGCTTGTCTGTTTCATCCGCGAGTTTTTCTGTGACTTCTTTAGCTTTGCCAAGGTACTTGCTGATTGTGTCCATGCATGCCTTAAACAGATTTTTCAGGCTTTTTTTGCTTATGTCCAGCACCAGCTCCAAAGGATCTGCACAGACCTTGGATGCTACATAGTTTATGCACTTTACGTCTTCCACTATGCTTGTGTCCTGCACTGCTCGTGCAATCGAGTAGTATGTGTACAGAAAGCTCAAAGACCCCAAGATGGCCATTGTGTACACCATGAACACTATGAGCGGTTTTTTCAGCTCAAACACGTCTCTTCTGGAAACGAGAAGATTCTTCTTTTTAAAGGGCGTCTTTGTAAGCAAGTACTCGGTGTGCAGGAATATCATCCGCACTATCGAAAATATAACGAGAGAAGCTGCGCAGTCTCGCATGTACAGATCTGGGATGCTTCTGCGCCCTGAGATCGACGTGATGAGGTGGAACTTAAGGCTGTAGAAGAACATTGCAGTGCTGGCACCATACAGCAGAGACAGCGCGCAGGCAATTGCATAGGAGTAGTTTTCAAATCCATACGCCTTAAATCCAAAGATCCACAGCGTTCTTTTTGTGCTCTCTATTGTGATCAAAAACACCCGGGGAATGTAGACCACAAGGTAGCACAGGAGAATGTACACAAGGGAATATCCCCACCACCCTGCGCTATCATAAGAGTCGATGGTCTGTGCGAGAATAGCGGGAAGAAAAATGAAAAAATCACACAAAGGCGTCAGCATAAGGTGCATGGAGTGGAAGTATATTGAATATAGGTCGTATATGCACATGTACAGGTAGAAACATGCGACATAGAGAAACTCTTTGAATCCAAAATGGAGAAGATTCCTTATGAACTCAATGGGCCAGTAGATGCAGTCTCTTATGAGCGGAAGTATAAAGTAGCTTTTCATTTCGTCAAAAATCCTTCCATCTCCCATGCACTCGTCATCAAGGCCTGCTTTCTTTAAAAATACGTCTTTATTATGGTAGATAAACTCAGCGCCCACTCTGTAGTTGTTGATGTCGATCACTTGCTCTGCTTTTTCCATGTGTATATTGTTCTGCATCTGACTTAGTATATACCTGGGGTGTAAAAATAATAGCAGACAAAGCAGAGAATATTTTTATGCAATTGAGTAGTTTGTGTTTTTTAAATAATTCTCTACACTTTACAGCCTTCTGTTTATTCTATGCATCGCATATGTACATGTATGTATAAAGAAAAATTTATCTCTTCTTTTTTCATGGAAGATTACATATTGAGCACGCTCAAGGCCATCAAAGATCGTCTAGAAAACCTGCAGGCGCAGAGAAGATACATACCCAATGCAAACAAGCCGATGTTTCCGTTTGTCTCTGCCATGGATGTTCTAAACAAAATTTCAAACGAAGAAGATTATTTGCACAGAGAAGCTTCTAAGCTGAAAGAGCAGCTGCCACTGCATGGAGGATCGCTGGGAAAAGACTCGCACTCTCTGGAAGTAGACACTCTATTTTACTCTGAAAGATAGATAGGGAGCTGATCAACCCTCGTGGTGCAGTATAAGAATGTACATAGAAGTGGTAGAATAAACATGTACTTATCTCTAGACAAGATAAGAGAATAAACAGATCATGAGTGAAGTAGATTGTCTGTATGGCAGAGACAGGATGTGTCAAACATTAGGACATTAATAGCACATATCTTAGAAAAGATAATAACACGCAACTATGACATATAATGCTTTTTTGTTTCAATTGTTTGGAAGAAGTGTAAAAGAGCTGTAAATAAATAAATAGATGCTTCGATGCGAAAATATTTTAAAAGATATAGGAGACAGTTTCCTGGCAAGCAATGAAACAAGGGCACGAGAAGAAGAGCTATCTGAAAATAAAGAAAGAAAGCCCTGTGGAGGAGTACCCTGAAAAACACTCGCCCAAAGATGTATATTTTCTAGCTAACGAAGACTCTGCAGAAACACAGATGGCTGCGCAGGCCATAGTATCCATCAGAAGAACAGAGGTTGAGAAAGAAAGAAAAGAGAAGAACCGAATAGCAGCAAAGAGAAGCCGGGAAAAGAAGATGCACTACATGCAGGACATAGAGCACAGGCTGTACTTTGAAAACAGCAAAAACCAGAAGCTGCTGCAGCACATTGACACTCTTTACGCCCTTTTGGAAAAGATTTTACTAGAAACTGAGTCTCTGCTTGCAGATAAAAAGACAGAAGTGTCAGAGATGGCGTACATATTCGTCAGGTACGATGAGTACTTCAACTTTCCCTTCCAGCACAAAAGCATCATCGACAGTCTAAGATATTTGCTGTTTTCTTCAAACAAAAGCTCTGACATATAGAGAACAAATATTTAATAATAAAAATAAGATGAACAATAGCAAAAACAAAGAGCAAGAGGACTCTTCTTTTCTACTGAACGACGACATGCCAGAATTTGACCAGATGAACATGCGCCTAAACAGCTACGGCTCTCCTGATGCGAATAAAGAAGTCATTGTTATCCGCGAAGTTGTGGTGGTGAGTGTGGGAGATGATGGTGCGAATGTAATAAACAGCATCATAGCCCTGGCAATTGTCTTTGTGGGAACACAGATAGCATCTGCGCTGTGGAAGAGATACCACAAAAAATCCTTTGCTGCGGTGAGTGTGTCAACGCTGCTGTTTTTTCCTTTTGTCACAGGAATTCTTGCCAGATCGTACGTGTTTATTGCAATCTGGCTCGCCATTGCGTTTGTGCACTTGGTTGTTTTTCGCGATGTGCTTGTGGGCCGGCGGCCCAAGGTGCTTACAACAAATGTGTACAATGTGTACAGAGTTGTGTTCCAAGCCAGCCTCATATTCTCTACGATAAGCTACATTCTTGTGGCGTATGGGTTCTTCAAAGAGAAAAAGAATATGTACAAGGGAGGAGTGGTGTCTCTTCTCTACATCCTGTACTTTACGCTTATTATTCGAACATGTCTGGACATTATAAGCGAGCGCGCGTCTGGCACAATACTTCCGTCAAAAGCAGCAAAGATAAAGGGGAATATCTGTCCAATGTGCCAGAGTGAAATGAACGGGGATACAATTACGCTGGGGTGCAAAGAGACCTTCCACAAAAACTGCCTTAAGAACTGGAAAATCCTGGGAAAGAAGGATACATGCCCCTCGTGCAAGGAAAAGGTCAATCTGTCTGAGATAGAAATGAACCCCTGGCAGAAAAACGAGTATCTTTTCACGAAGTTCCTTGACTTCACTGGAAACCTTATCCTTGCGTATGCAGTTATACAGGGAATTATTTTGTTTCTATAGAGAAAGTGAAGAAAGGCTCTAGAATGTGCAGTCAGGATCCAAGTATGGCTGTTTTGGCTGGCACAAATACCTATTGATAGCAATTGTGTAGGTGCAATGGCAGCAAACAATGGAAATGCAGAGAGATAAATCTAAAATAAATGAACGCACTGTTTTACCTAGCTACGAGAGATGGCCTTTCTAACCAAAGAGTGCCCACAGTTTTATTTTCTTTCTGCTATTTTTTATCCTATACGGTAGTATGCACTTAATTGTAACAGCAAAAAGCTGTTCTGCACTCCCTTTGAGCTAGTTTTAATGTGCTTGAGATCCTTGCATTGTGTGCATATGTGAATATTCACTGCATAAATTATGCAGATTATCATGGCAGAAATGTACAATTGCACAGCTCTTACTTAGATCATAATAGACTCTAACTATTTCCATCTCTATCATCCTTAGGCATTCATCCATATCAGCTAATTTTTATGCAATATACTCTTCACTATACAAATGTTTAACCTAGAAAGTTGGAAATCATGATTAGTGTAGAGTATATCCATAGCTGCAAAAGTAGTTTATACACCACATCTATACTGTGTGTATCTGAATGTTACAAAATTTTTAATGATTTTTGACCACATAATTTTCTTCTGGGTGCCAGCAGAACATTGCTCGATCTACATAGACCCGATAAGCCACCGATGCTATCTTCTAATGGCTAAATAACCGCTCTTTCTATCTCAAACCGCAGATGAAAATAAAATAAAATTGGAGCTGGTATAAATAGCATTTCTTTTCAATAAAAGCAAGAATTTATTAATTTGCATGACGAGCATAACCAAACTATTTAAAACACTTAGAAGTGCGCCCAGCAAAGGAGTAAAGAGGCACATAACAAATGAGATCACAGCGATGTACTGCACAACCCCTGCGCTAGTAGACTCTCTTCTGGAGGAGATTCTGTTTCTTTCAGAGAGCAGTGCCTGGGAGGATAGGCTTGCTGGCTCGCGCATTCTGGAAGAGATGGCTCGGCTAGGCACCATCTCAGATGCCTTCGCGAGCAGCGGATATGAGCTGGCAGTGGAGATAGACGCTCTTCTCAAAATGCCAAAGTTTCTTGCCACCCACTACACCGCAAATGAGGCCGTTAAAGGCGGAAAAGAGTTTATTGATCTGGAAGATCACAACGTGGTGCTTAGTCTGAGCAATATAAACATCCCTGGGACAAAGGCAAAGGAGGACAGTCTTCTTCGCCGAAAAAAACAGCTGCAGAAAGCGCAGAAGATAGAAGAAAAAAAAGAATTAGAGGGAAAGGAAGATTTCTACCAGAACGTTCTCAAAAATCTGGAATCTTTTGTGTGGGAGAGAAGACACGGCGCATCGCAGCTGCTTCTAGGGCTCTTCCGAGGAATCCATCTAAGAGAAGAGGGCGTATTGTCTCTGAAAGTGCTTGACTCAAAGGAGTATCTCCAGCCAATGCTCAAAGTGCTTATTCTAGACCGGTTCAATGACTACGAGATGGACACTGCTGTATCGCCCGTTAGAGAAACAGTGGCAAAGGCGCTTAGAGAGCTTGTCCATTTTCTCACGCCCGGAACAATAAAAGACATCCTTGTTCTGCTTACCCAGCTGGGAAAGTACGAAGATTGGCAGATAAAGTACAGCGGGCTGCTGGGCCTCCAGTACATGCAGGATGTAATATCCCCTGATGACCACAAAGAAATAGTCTTAGAGATAGGCTCAACCTGTTTGAATCTCCTGAATGACCTGGATGAAGATGTAAAGAGGATATCTGCAAGCATTCTCACGGGCATTCTAGACCAATACGGTCTGCACTATGGCTCTTCTGGTGCTGAGTCTGAAGAAGATGGTGCAATAGTATCGAAACAAACTGTTCAGGAAAAAATAAACGAAGTGCTAGATGTGGAAGATGTGGTAGAAAAGTGCTGGGAAGCCCTGGAAGAAGAAGAGGATCTTGCCCTGTCAAAAGCAAAAATCATGGGACTGTTGGAAAAGATAGCATACCAGCTGGGCTATGGGCCAGGCGAGGTTACCAAAGAAAGATGGAATTCTGTTTTGTGTCTTGTCCGAAACCCGATAGACACAGTGCGCCTGGCCGTTCTTTCTCTTCTGAATATAATCGATGTGCAGAATCCTGAAAGTCTAGTGGCTTCTCTTCTCTTCAGCATACTGGCAGAACAAGATGCAAAAATAAGAGAGTCCACTGCAAATCTTCTAAAAGAGAAATCACACAGTGTAGATTCTGCGCGGCTGCAGAGTATTGTCCATTCATTTTTGAACGTAGTGTGCAGTCCGTATACGGTGGGTGCTTCATTCCCCTCCCTGAAAATGCACATTGTAATGGGCGAAGGCGACATATGTGCTACTGATGACGGATGCAAATCCCTTGGTGAAGAGGCGGTTCTATCAGGGCGCACTGAGCTTTTAAAGATACTGATATCCAGCGATAGTGTGATCAGAAACAACGTAGCTTCTTTTTTCCTAGATAAGAAAAAGAATCTGTACTATTTTGTCTTTTTTAAGACGATAGTGTCCATGCTCCTCATGAAAGAGAATGCAGGAATAGAAGGCGCAATGTCTCTCGTGGATAGCTTGCAGGAGGATACTACGGAAAGGAATAAGAACGATCTATCTCGTTCTGCATATAGCCTAGTAGAGCATGTAAGAGACAGCGCCAGCAAAGAAGACGCAGAAATACTTGTCTATCTGTACAATATTCCAACACCGGCTGCGCTTCTAAAGATTCTGTCCGAGGCCATAGGAGCAGCTCCCGAGAAGTTTACAGAGTTTTTTAATCTGGCAGTTGAGTGCGTCTGTGTGAAAGAAAGCACTGAAGAGAAAGAGAAGGAGCCTATAAACACAAAAAAAATAAAAATGACCGAAGAGATCGAAAACGAGGAAGAAGAGTGGGGGATGCTTACGCTGTTCAAGGTGCTCAGCAACAGCTTTCTCGAAACGAAAGTATTTGACGATCTAAAACAGGATATGAACAAGTGTGCTATCTTCCTCCAGAACACGATAGAATGTTTCAAGTACACAGAAAAGCTACAGTTTATTTTTAAGTACGCAATCGAACACAATATGAGCAAAATTATTTCGTACATGATCAAAGAAAGCATGCAGAACAATGAAGAGTTTGTAATGATCGCAAAGAAAAAGCTGGAGATGATTGTAGAGGATGAAAGCATAGACCACACAGAGTTTCTCTCTTTTATATCCAGCACAGTTGAAAGCTCTGAGCTCTTCCTTCTGATTGTTCTTGTGTTTCCCCTTGTGAAAGCTATGAACACGCCGTATAAAGTGCCAGGACTGCGCGAAATGGCATCCAGAGCCTTTTCCATCGCATCACCGTCTATGTGGATACGCCTCGAGGGACACGCCAAGTCTCCTGGGCTGCAGAAAGAGATAGAAAGTGCGCGCGCTAGAGTTGACTCCCTAATGCAGCCAGACGATCTTTCAGCGATAAACATGAAAGTGTCTCTGAGAGAGTACCAGAAGAAAGGAGTTGAGTGGATAGGATTCTTGAAAAAAAGCGGGCTTTCTGGGATGCTGTGCGATGATATGGGTCTTGGAAAAACAATTCAGGTTCTTGCGTTCTTATCTTCCCAGGAAAGCATTTCGAAAAGCTCCTGTGTTCTCGTTCTGTGTCCATCCGCTCTGACCGGCCATTGGCACATGGAAATATCTTCACACTTTCCCACGCTGTTCAGCACGACAATAAACGAGTTCAAAGGTGTCGGCGTGTGTGTTGCTTCTTTTGACAAGTTTCGGCTTAACTACGAGAAGTTTACAAAGTACAGCTGGTTCTACCTGGTGCTAGACGAGGGCCATGTCATCAGAAACGCAAACACTCTTTTGCACCAGAGAGTGAAAATGCTCAGAGCCGAGAACAAGCTGCTCCTCAGCGGAACGCCTGTGCAGAATTCAGTGGGCGAGCTGTGGGCACTATTTGACATTTTAATGCCAGGATTCCTGGGAAGCGAAAAAGATTTTTCTCGGGACTACATTCGCCCAATTGAGAAAGCACGGGAGGGGAAAGGAACCCTGCGGGAAACAGAAATAGCCAAGATAAAGCTAGAAGAGCTGCACAAAGCTGTCCTTCCCTTTATTCTAAGGCGAATGAAGGAAACAGTCCTCTCTGATCTTCCTCCGAAGGTTATATCAGACGTGTACGTTGACTTGGAAGAGGTGCAGCAGAAGGTGTACGAAGGGCTTACATCAGAAGGCGAAGCAAGCGGAGAGTACGGAAAGATTTCTGCATCATCAGGAAACTTTGCTCTTCTTACACGCCTGATCAAAGCGTGCTCGCACATATCTCTTCTCTCTGGGAACGAAGTTCCTCTGTCCCTCACTCTGAAAGAGAAAGCATCTGCGCCATCTGGAAAAGTTTTGGCTCTTTTAGACCTTCTTAAGGTGATGGTGCAGAATAGCAAGATTCTCATTTTCTGCCAGTACAAAGCAACAATAGACAAGCTTGTGAAGGAAGTAGAGAGCGTTCTTCCAGAAACAAAATGGGTGCGTCTTGATGGCGGGGTAAAGGGAGATGAGCGGTCTGCACTCGCCAAGCGGTTCAACACAGACGCAGAGCTGAGCATCATGTACCTTACCACGCACGCAGGAGGGCTGGGGCTAAATCTCACGGGCGCAGACGTTGTGATATTCTTTGAGCACGACTGGAACCCGATGATGGATCTGCAGGCCATGGACAGAGCGCACAGGATAGGACAGAAAAAGTCTGTGAATGTTTTCCGGCTTATTTCCAAGAACACGATAGAAGAAAGCATTATGTCACTGCAGCGGTTCAAGAACTACATTGCAGGAACAGTGGTAAATCAGCAGAACGTTGAGATTGAGAGCATGGACACGTCCAATGCGCTTGAGAGACTTTCCAAGGAAAAACTGCCGCAAGAAAAAGTGGCCCGCGAGGAAGAGTACCACGACTTTATTTAAGAAATTGCAGAATAATTTAAGTGTAGACTTGTGTTTGAATAAACTATTATTAAAATTAAAGCTAAGTTTAGGTGCTGTCTTTCGTATCTCTGTTTCTGTTTGTGAGTATGTATGTGCTATAGAGCACATGTTTGTCTTTTGCTAATTAGCTCTTACTGTTCTCTATCTTATTTGCATTTCATGGATTTAAACTGTGAAGATAATGATGTGTCTGGTTGCAACAAATTTATTTTTAATTTTCTGAAGCAATTGTGCAAGTGAAAGTGCAGAACGTAAACTCTACTTTTATAAAAGAAAAAGAAAAATGTACAGTTCCAATATAAAGTTTCTGCTCTTATCTCTTACGAAAAAGAACAGAAAATAAGAACAAACTGAACCAGAGACAAAACAAGGAGAGCAAAAGAAGAGAAAGAACAGCGCTAATTCTGGCACAGAGAGAAGTTGAAAGATAAAGAGAAGATTGATAAAAATTGTGAAGATATTAAATGTTTGTTTGTTGTGACGACGTATAAAGTCTTTTGTTTGGACTTATGGATTTAATTCAGGCCCTAATAATACTATTGTTTATTTACAAACAATGCGGAGATTTATGTTCTTTTCCGAACAGCCTCCTATTTCGAGCAAGGATCTTTTAAGTAAATATAGCGCATCCCAGCAGTCTCCCTTGTTTTCTGAGGAATACGAAAAAATACTGAAAGATGACCCAATAAGCTCGCAAATAGAAAATCCTGTTGAGATCTCAGCTGAAAAAAAAGCCGTTCCCATCCGAACCACCCGTGTAAATGGCCTGGCAGATGACTTCTACAGCAGCTTGCTCGACTGGCAGGGAAGCAGCATCGTGTTTGCCCTCGATGAGAGAATTTTTGTGCAGAACTTTTTAACTGGAAAAACGTGTTTGCTTGCCAGACTAAGCAGTGCGTACATAACATCTGTCAAAATATCTCCAACAGACAACACGGTGTGCGTGGGAACATGCACAGGAGACATAGCTATTATAGACATGGAGGGAAAGATAGTGGCCAAAAGACACTTGCACAAGTCCCGAATAGGCGCGATGGAGTGGAACGGCAAACAGGCACTCACGGGGAGCAGAGACAGAACAGTTAAGACAATAGACATAAGAATCCTGGAGGAAACAAGGAGCATATCCGTGCACACACAGGAGGTCTGCGGCCTGGCTCTTTCTCCCTCAAAAGAGTATTTAGCCACGGGAGGAAATGATAACAAAGTTTTTATAGTTGACAACCGATCAGGAAACCCACTGCACACTCTTTCAGCGCACAAGGCTGCTGTGAAGGCAATGAGTTGGTGTCCGGAGAAGCTAGACAGTCTCGCAACAGGCGGAGGCACTGCAGATAGAACAGTAAAGATATGGAAAACCTCTGGGTCTAAAGAGCAGATGGTAGACTCCATAGACTACGGCTCGCAGGTCTGCAATCTCCGGTGGACAAAGAGAAACGAGCTCATAACAACACACGGATACACGCAAAATGATGTGCGCATGCTGGACATAGCAAAGAACAAACAGAAGCACGTCTTCGAAGGGCACAAGAACAGAGTGATCCACTTTGGAATGAGCACAGACGAAGAGTACTTTGCAACAGGCTCGGGCGATGAAACAATATGTGTCTGGAGAGCACAGGAAAATGATTTGGCAAACTTTCTGGTTAGGTAGCGCACCATTCAGGTATTTGTTTGTTGTTTCACCAATTAGAGAATAAATATCTTCCTGGAGGTAAACTCATGGATAAGAACAACACCTTTGAAGATCGAAACACAAAAAAGTTTGATATTTTAGATCTCCCCGAGTACGACTATCTGTACAAGCAAGACAACGTTCCCTTTGACTGCAACTTCAACTTCTCTATAACAAACGAGTCTAAGTTTCCTGCTGTTTCTCTTTCCTCCTCCGCTGCTCCTTCCGGGAATAATTTGTTCTTCCACACGGAAGAGTTCGCGAGCCAGCAGGAAGAGGCTCTCAAGGTCAAAGAAAAAAACATAGACTACTTCAGCGCAAATGTCACACACCACACAGCCGAGCCCTCTTCTTTCATGCCGTTTAAGAAGGAGAGAGAGCAGCCCATTCCCGAGCAGAGGGAGACGTACAGCTACCCCTCGTACTCGCAGGGAAATGAGCACGCAGTTTTTGTGAATGCGAATCAGTACCAGTACATCAAAAGAAGAAAAGAGAGAAGAGACTACCTAGACTCCCTTGAGAAAAAGACTAATGCGGCATACCAGCACGAGAGCAGACACAAACACGCCATGAAGCGCCCACGAGCTCCATCAGGCCGCTTCCTCACAAAAGAAGAAGCATTCCTAGAGGAGTCCAAAGGCAGTTAAACAATAAACATCCAAAAAATTTTAATGTCTTTTGTGTTGGAGAATGACTCAGTCCAGGACAAACAGCTGTGCAGTGCGATTTTGCACTACATGCCTATCCCTTACTTCAGCAACAACACGTGGTATCTCTCGCTGTGGAAGAGAGTGTATAGTATAAGGCCGCAGGCAGAGGTTCTTTTTCTTATGCACATGAAGGGCGTGGGCCTTTTGAGTGCTTGGCTCTATTTGCGAATGCACGAGCACTTTTTACGTGCTGGGTGTGACTCTTGTGCACATGCTATTTTGGTCGAAGGGATCAAGGCACAGGCGCATCCAATTGAGGAGCTGGAGGAGAAGGTGGATTACTCAGTGGTGAAAGCGCATCCTTTGGAGAAGCCCACGAGAATAAAAATATTTGGGAGAGAGTGGATACACACAACCTCGTATGCACACCCAGAGGATTTGCTTAGAAAAGAAGGAGCAAACATTGCGTACATGGAGTATAAGATCATACAGTACATACGGAGAGCAAAAAAGAAAGAAGACGAAGAAACAGAGAAGGGGCTGAATGAGGTATCTCTTCTCTTTGGAGATGTACGGTCTGCCAGGAAGAACACAGAGGCAGAATTAGAAGAGTGCCCCCCAAAAAAAGAAAAGAAGTCCTTTGGAGCAGAAAGTGCAGATGGTGCGGTGGAGAACACTGCCAATGCATCCCAGAACATAATAGCAGAGACTACAGAGGAGTCTTTAATCGCCAGCGAAATAACAGGTGCGAATAGTGTGTATATCCCAGGAGAGATAGAATCTATCCACAAGAGCCAATTAAATCTTGCTGCAGAGAATGCACAGGAGATGCACAAGGAAAAGCTATCAGAAATACTAGCAGAGACAAGTGCGCAGGAACAGGAAGACTTTTTCATGGACAAAACAGAGGTAGAGGAGATACAGGGGCATGATGGCTCCAGGCTCTCCAAGGCAATAGATGAAGATATGGCAGAAGGAAGGAATGAAGTATACGAGAAACAGGGAATTACTGTAGAGAGCTCTCTATTTGGCAGCCCGGTGGTAGGAAGTAAGCTAGTGATCAAAGAGATGCTGTACATCGTTAAAAAACAGTTGGGCAGCAGATCTTTTTTGGCGACAAGAATAGCAAGTCTTGGCGATGGCAATGTTACTCTTAATGCCAAAGACTATGCGCTGCGCACTGTGCAAAATGCTTCAGAGTATGCAGTGTCAAGAGCACTGGAGCTCTCTGGGTGCACTGTTCCCATAGAAACAGCAATAAAATATTCTGATAAAATCATAGTCCTTTCTCCATATAAGGAAATGGGGTCATTGGATAGAGCCATTAGTCTTATGGTGGAGAAAGCAGGGCACCTATCTGAGATATTAGCTGCTCACTACATCAAAGAGATTCTTCAGATAGGAATGCGTCTAGAGAGCTACGGGCATAGCATAACAAAGTGTCTAGTGCGAGACTTTGTGCTGGTAGTAGAAAATGGCAGAATTTCTTTAAAACTAGCGGACTACAAGCACACCGAAACAGAGAAAAGCTTTTCAGTGTATAGCGCAAGCATTTTTGCACATATTATGCAGAGCATGAAGATTGAATCCACGCAGACTCTTCTTACACAGGTTTTAGCGCCAAAGGCCTGGGCGGAGAAAATAGAGAGATATCTGTCGCAGAAAAGAGAGACTTCTCAGCTCCAAAGCCTTTTCATCACGCAGGAAGTAAGCATATACGAGGAAAGCCATCTAGTGTAGAATAATAAATAGCCTAAGAAAATCTTTTAACGCGCTAGAATAGAAGGCTGGCCTGCTACTCTCGGTGTAAATTCTTTTTTGTAGTAGAATGGCAAAATATACTATTTCTTCTATAGATACATGTAAATATGAATGAATGTTCTAATTTCTATACGTGCAGCTAAGATAGCTAATAATAGCGCATACCGTTAAGAGAACAGAGATAGAAGAAAGCATAAAAAGTACATACAACAGAAGAGTACAAAACAGCTGGTAGATAAACAGAACTGTATACACCCATAGCCAAGTAAATATACAGAGTTTTTGTAGATGTGGGAGTAAGATGTGCATTCTCTGGCCTGCTCATACCTACTCTTATTCTTGTACTTTTCCACAGACAGCCTCAATCTCGTAGAAAGTCTTCAAATAAGTCTAAGTTAAATAATGGTGCTCTCAAGCTATTTCTGGCTATTCGTATATACACCAAAGACCTCTTAAAAATAAATAGCCATGTGTTAGGAGCTGACTATGCCAATCACTCATTGTCTTTAGCTATCTCTTTTCTGCTTGGTATGCACCAGTGTGCCACTTATATTTGGGAACTACGAGTATTTTTTAATATACTGTGATCCCTTGTGGTCTAGTGGCTAGGATTTCGCGTTTTCACCGCGACGGCCGGGGTTCAATTCCCCGCAAGGGAATCTTTTTGTCCACGTGTGCAAACAGAACACACAATCAGCACAGTAGCTCTCTGCTCTCTTTTTTGTGCGCCATTAAAAGTGTCTGCAGCACTCCTGCAGGGCGCTGATGAGGTCTGAAAAGAATGCCAAGATAGAATCTGCCTATAGAAATAGAAATAAAAGATTTTATTATTCGGCTGATGCCTTTACGCTTTTCTTGGCAGTTCTTCCGGGCTTTCCAGTCATGAGTGCAGAGTTTGGCGAGATTTCAATGTATCCATCGCTCTCGGCGTTGACCAGGAATCCAGGCTTGTCCACAATGGCGCCGTTGACAGTGATGTGTCTCTGGTAGATAAGAACACGAGCATGGTGGATGCTCTTTGCAAGCCCAAGGGAAAGGACTTTGGTCTGTAGCCTTCTGTCCAGAAGGGTGGTGATGTCTAGGTCAAGAACTTTCTCAAGCTCCATTATGATGTGTTTCTTTGACTGGTAGTTTATTCCGCTGATGATTCCCTGCTTCTCTAGTCTGTGGAGCAGCGCTCTTCCTTGCACGATTTGGTACTCTTCGTTCGTGTGGATAAGAAGATCCTTTGCTCTTCTCTTTACGTCGTGGAATATCTTTTCAAGGACTCTCAGCTCTCTTTTTGACTTCAGTCCGTATACTCCTACGTACTTCATTTCGTTGATGAGTCTTTGCTTGTCAAATGGTCTTCTCACAGATCCGGCTCTCTTCGAATATGTTGGATTTGTCATGCAGGGGAAAAAAAAGAAAAATGAAAATACAGTATGTTATTGTAAGAAATGACACCGGATTTTCAAAGGGCTCCACAGCAGCGCAGGCTGTTCATGCAGCGGTGCTGTGCTATCACGAACACTTTGATGAAGACTTTAGTCTCTATGTGCTCCTGGGCTCTAAGATGACAACTGTCGTTCTGCAGTGCACAAAAGAAGAGCTAGCCAGAATATCCTCCATACTTGACGAGAAAAAAATAAAGCACAGCAAGTGGCTGGAGATGCCTGAGAACGAAGTGACTTCTCTGGCCATCTACCCGTATGAGAAGGAGTTAGTGCAGAGCATACGAGAGATTCGATCTTTGCGGCTATATTGATGGCTGAATAGATGAAAAGATAGGGACAGATCCCAGAAGATTCCATGCTGTGTGGAAGAGAAAGATAGGCTGTGGAAGGATGGAAGAGAGTGTGTGTTTATTATCCATCTGTGTGGAGTGAATATGGGCTAGTATTTGTCTTTGGAAATTCAAGAAAATAGTAAAGTAAAATTTAAATTTTTGCCCCAGCAATGAGAAGCAAAGGATACAGATCTAACACCAGAAGTACTTTCAAGAAAGAGTACAACCAGCAGAGAATACCGCAGACAACCACCATTCTTAACCAGTACAAAAGAGGAGACTATGTTGACATAAACGTTGACTCTGCCATCCACAAGGGAATGCCCCACAAGACTTTCATTGGAAAGACAGGAAGAGTGTACGCAGTCTTCAAGACCTCTGTGGGAATTGCCCTGACAAAGAGAATTGGAAACAGAATGCACGTCAAGCAGGTCATTACAAGAATAGAGCACGTGAGACCCAGCAACTGCCAGAAAGAAAAGATCGCAAGAGACAACTACAGAGAAGAGCACGGCGTAGCTCCACCAAAGCCTCTTCCAGAAGGCCCCAGACAGGCATTTACTCTTTCGCTAGAGGAGAACACTCCAGTTGTGCTAAAGCCAAACACTCACTATGCTATGTAAGTGGTGCTGACTTCACAGATAGCTAATATTTATCAGTCTAAAATAAAGCATAGCCTACACCATGCACACATTTTCTTTTTACACTTTTTACACGCTCATTTACACTTTGACTACTGAACAAAGGATGCATGTGCATACACGTACTAGCTAGATCTATTTGTGATGTTTATTTATTTACTGTTTATTCTACTGTTTTATGGTCTTATGGAAGATTGATGTTCTTTCTGTGCTTTTTTGCATTCTTTTGCAGTTCCTGCTATTTACGGAATTTAAGAACACAGATAAGCACAAATGTGGCTAGGAAGACACTCCTTGCAGACAGGGCACTCATCAGCTCTTCTGCTCCTTCGCTGAAGAGCCTTAGGACAATCTTTCCTATCTCCTGGCGCACTGGGTCCTGGTTCATGCACTCCTCCCAGGCCTGGCACTGTTTCTCCACGGCGGGCACCCTTTCCCCGGGGCTGCACCGATTTAAATTGTACTGTCTCCTGCACTCTAATATCTTGGCTTTCTGGCTCTCTGTGGATGTGTGTATGCGTATGCTTATGTCGTTTTTCACCATCACAAATCCTTTGATAACAAGAAGAATCATAATCACCACAGCAAATGAGTTGAATATTAGATTCAGATACGCCTGCATTACGAGATTTGCCTTGAGAAGAATCTCGTGCTGGCTTCTGGCTGGAGGGCTTGGAGGAGAATGGAGTATCTGCGGCTTAGTTGGGATTATTGGAGGAGGAGCTCCCGTGTGCTCTGAAGTCTCTATCTTTCTTTTTTTGGGGTTGGAGAAGGACACGTATTGGTACGGGTGCGTTTTGTTTATGGGTTGCTTTGTTTCTTTTTTTCCCCAGTTTATATCGGACAGAGAAGCCATTTAAAGAAAAAATTTGTAAACTCCCCTACAAAAGGACAAAGATTTGTGCAGAGAATGTGCTCTTTTTCTTTCTGCACTTTGTGGGCAATTTGCGATATTTCTTTCTTTTTAACATTTTCTGGCTCTCTGCTGTCCTCTACGTTGGTATAGCTGGCCTCCTCTGCATTAAGTTTGTGCTTTTATAGGTATGAATGAGTCAACAGAGGTACATTTAAATTCTAAACTCTTCGATACTGCAAATAGCACTGCATCACTAAAGAATATCCATCTCTTAAGAGAACAAACACAGCGCATCTTTTAGAAGTTGCAGTGTGTACTAAATATACTACTCTAATGAATACTAAACGTCTGTAAGCTAGAATGCTGTTTATTCTGTAGTAGCATTGCATCCACTGGTATATACCCGAGATAGATACCCACAAGAGACTAATAATAGCTATACAGTGTAGAATAATCCAGATAAGAAATAGATAACAGAGTAAAACAGACGCAAAAGTATTTGAATATGGGCTATTTATTGTAGTTGCGTGCTGTAGAGTAGCACAGAACAACAGGATTTCTTCTTATGCGTGCATCTTGGCAAACCTTTCCTGGAAGTATGTGTAGGTAACGTCTACAAATGGCATGGAAATAGAGGTGGCGTTGTATGTTTTATAGTAGGCCTGCAGCTGTGTTAGAATGTCTTCTATGCTCTTGAGCCTCTGCCACAGCTCTGTTTCTCCCATCCCGCTGCTTCTGAGTATCTGTTTGACGTTCTGATCGATAAAGTACCTCAGAATGTAGTTGCTCTTTTTCGTGTACAGATAGGGAAGAAGTAAGAAGGACTTTGATACCGGCGTGTAGTGCACTCGCTCTGGCACCAGCGCAAGCCACTCAAGCTCTTCTGGCTTCATAAACCTCTTTGTGATCTTTATAGACTCTTTGTAGTATCTGTCAAGGATTGAAAAAATAGCTGGATCAATCGCTGGGAGAGTAGGGAGCTCTGACGTGCTTGGAAGAGGATAGATTTCAAATATGTACGAGACCAGAAGGATGATGTCTCTTGCTATTTCTTCCTTGTCTTTTTTCTGGTTGCATATTGCATCTAGCACTCCTTCATTCACCAGCGACATAAACACAAACGACTCAGCTCCGTACGAAAGGCTGTTCAGGCCCATGTCACAGAGACTCGATGTGTGTGCGAGTTTTCTCTCCATATTCTCAGCGAGTGTGAGAACTTCGGGGGAGAGGAACATCTTCTGCACGAGGTGCTCTTTTTGCGCAGCGAGTATGCTTTCTGTCTGTTCTTTCAGTTTCAGCGATTCTTCAGCGGTTTCTTCTTCACTTCCCTCTTTTGGCAGAGAAATTGACGTAAGGGGGCAGGTTACTATGCTTTCAATCGATGAGTCTTTCACTGTGGGCCTTGCTGACTGTATGGCGAGCAGACTTGTGTACGGATACTCGCCCTTTATGTACGGCAGATAGGAGGTGATAAGACTTCTTACCTTCTGTTTTGAAATTCCAAAGAAGACCACGTTCCCCTGTGTGTCGTACCCTCTTCTTCCAGCTCTTCCTGCCATCTGCTTGAAGCTCATGGAGTCGAGAAGAAGAGAGTCCCCTGCAAAGACTGCAGTGCGGCACGGCATGTTGATACCCAGCGCCAGAGTCTCTGTTGCAAATATCACTCGAAGCTGTTTCATTCGGAAGAGGATTTCAACCATGTTTCTGTACTTCTTTGGTATACCGCTGTGGTGCACGCCAATTCCTCTGTACAGCGCCTGTATAAGCCTGGGGTCCAGCCTTCCTGTTTTTCTCAGGGACTTTGCGTACTCATCGAGCAAATACGCCCCAGACGAGGATATAGTAGGGTCTGTGAAGCAGAATCTGGGGTCTTTTGCATTGGGGTCTATGATCCTTCCCGATGCCTCTTCAGCAACGATCGACTCGCTGATCCAGGAGTCCTTTCCTGTTGCCACTGTTGCATCTCTTGCCCTTCTCATTTCTTTCAGAATCTTTTCGTTTTCTCTGAGATCGGTCTTGGAAAAGGCAGGCGGCGCGCACTTTTCAAACTTTTCGAGCTCTTCTGACAGTCTGATCGCAAGCGAGTTGCAGACAGTTCGCTCGAGATTGAACACAATGCACGGGAGCTTGTCTGCAGCCTCGAGCTCCACCACAAGGTCAAGCACGTTGTCCAGGAGATAGTCTGTGTTGTAGAGGAGTATGTCGGGCGATATTTCTGTTTTTTTAATTTCCATATTCTCAACGCTTTTTGTGAGTTCTGCTTCCTCGCTTTCTGCAAAAACTTTCTTGCAGTCCACTGTTTTCTTTCCCCCTGCTTTCATCAGCTCTTCGTTATTTTTTTCCTTCTGGGCTGCTTCGATCATCTGTTTGTCCAGTCTGTTCTTCAGATCGTCGTCTATTTTCTGGAATCCTTCCTTTGCGTCTCTGACCAGAATCTCGTATATCTGCGTGACCTGCTGGGGCTCTAGCTCGTTTGTCTTGATCATCTTCTGGAATGTTTCAATGACGTACTTCTCGTACTTTTTTACATCTCCCTTTGTTATGCAATTTGTTTTGAAGAACTTTCTGGGCATGAACTGTTTTGCAAGGTGCTTTCTGGCGCTGTCATTTTTCAGCACAGCATATACGGCGTAGTACAGATTGAGAAGCTCGTCGGGGAGGAAGTTTACATCGTTGCTGAATCCTTCTTCTTTGATTCCTCTGAAGGAGTATGCAAAGAGAGAGTGTATCTGCGCAATTGCCTTCTCTCCTGCCTCTCTTGTTGTTTTGTGGCAGTTTTCGAGGGCTTTGATCTCCTTTGGCACGAAAATGTAGTTTTTTATCTCGCAGTATCTTTCTTTGTGCACAACCAAATTGCACACTCTGTTTTTCTTTTCTTCAATTTTCTTGATCCAGTTGAAGAACTCGTGGAGATTCCCAATGGTGGCGCTGAGGAGGAGGAGAGGGCACGGGCTGAAGTGGATGATTTTCTCCATGCTAGACCCTATCTTACTGTCGCTTATTTTGTGCACTTCGTCTATCACGATGTATCTTATTCTGTCGAGATACGGATGGCCTTTCTTAGACGGCTCGGGAGGCATGGTGAGTATTTTCTCCAGCACGGGAGGAACGGTAATGAGCACCTGGCAGGTAAATGGCGATATTTGGAAATCGCTCATGCAAATACCCTGCAGAATGTTGCTCTGCTTGATGTACGGTTTTGATCCAAATCGGGCATACACATCTGCAGCCACCTGGTTCACAAGGGCCTTTGTGGGCGCAACAAAAATGACAATCCCGTCATTGCTTTCTCTGAGGACCTTCTCCATGGCATAGTAGCAGATAAATGTTTTTCCAGAGGAGGTAGGAGCACATATCACTGCGCTTTGGTTAGCATCAACAATCTCCAAAAGATCAAACTGCCATCCGTCTGGCTTGAACAAAAGTCTTGGGTCTTCCTGCGAGTTAAGAGACCTCTTCAGCTTATCCCCTGCGTGCTGCATAAGGAACGAAATGTCGTTGTCATTTGGCTTCCCGGTGGCTCCTGGAGTGAAGCTTATGCTTACGGGCGCACAGCCATCGTATATCTCTGTGCAGCTTGGGTCTTTTTTGTTTATGTAGCTGATGCTGTACTTCTTGCACATCTCCAGAACTGTGGACTCAAACGAGTGGTCGAGCAGACGCTGCATGGCAAACTGCAGCTCTTCAATGGACGACTCTTTTGCATACTTTTCAATAAAAGAGACACAGTTCATGTAGAGAGAAACGAGGTCTTTCTTATTTGGCACTTTTTTTCTCTTTTCCAGGCTCCACAGATTGTCGTAGAACTCTATGTTCAGCAGGAGCACTTTTCTGCATATGAAGGATGAGTGTATTCTTGGGAGGAAAGACTCAAGGTGTCTCCTCTTCTCGTATGTAACGGAAAATGACTCGTACTTGGCTTTGAAGCTCTTCAAAAACGCTATGTCCTTCTTTTTTGACTCCAGCTCCTTCTGTTTCTTGTTTTTCTCTATGATCTCCAGCTGTTTTTTGCTCAGCTTTTCTTTTGTCTCTTTTTCTTTCTTTTTCTTTGTTTTGTCGGTTACGAGTGTTATTGGGTTGTGGAGATGCTTTCCCTCGTGGAGAGACTGCGCTGTTTTCTTCAGGCTCTCAATGTACATCTGCTCGGTGCGGAAAGATCTCTCCTGCTCCTCATTGTAGAACTTTACAGACGAGAGAGATGTGGGGATAAATACGCTCTTTCTGCGGGGCTTCTCCTTTCCCTCTTCTACACTCTCTGCCTTTTCTGTCTGTGCTTCTTCTGGGTTTAGAAGACAGCCATCTATCATATCCTTCAGACTGCACACCTCAGCTGTCTTAATGGCGCTCGCTATTTCTTTGATCAGCTCTGTGCTCACTGGCTCTTCTTTTCTTGAATATCTCGAGAAACATCTTTTTTCTGAAAGCACTTCTTTGTGTGCTTCGTAGACACTTTCGCCCAGGTGTTTCTTTATGATGGTCTCTGCTGCTTCCTGTGCTTTTTCAGCGCTTTCCATCTTGACCACTGGATACTCTTTTGTGATGTACTCCACTCCGTATAGATAGTTCGAGGGGTTTGTGACAAACATAAACAGCCTTGGAGCACGGAAGGTTTCTTTGTCCAGAACACCTGCGTACAGAGAGAGTCCCAGGATTGTGTTTAAAAATACTAGAGATCGCGTATTTTGGTATGCAACTCCTATGCAGATGTGCTCCTCCTTTAGGAACTGCCTGAACTCTTTGTCCTGCAGAGAGTGGAACCAGATGGTCTTGATTGAGCAGCTTTTTTCCAGAGCAGCGATCACCTCTCGCATGCATATGCTTCGCTCTGCTGTTTCTTCCTCATCGTGGAACAGAACTATGTACGAGTCTTTAAAGCCCGAGAGCTTGAGACTGTGTCCAATGGTGTCTGCTATGGTGTCCAGAAGCTTTAGAGGAAGCGTGCTGCTTTTTATTTTGTACACGTCTTCGATGTATCTGTAGATAGAGTGGCCGTTTATCACCATCTTTCCTATTCCAACAAATGACTCGCTTACATCTATCATCTGGGTGGGCATGTTCGCATACCACTCTTTATATATGTTTGGCATTTCTTTTTTCATGGGTAAAATTATTCTAAAGAGTTTAAGCGAACTTTAAATATTTTTGCGCTTTCTATCTGCTCTGCTGTCTATCTGCGCTGTGCACAGCTGCTACTTGTTTCTACGCACACGGGCTGTGTGTGTGCCTATCCATGCACTTCGAAAATTCTAGAGATGCTCGTACTGCTGAGTGAAGTATTTTACTGCTGTATTTATAACGCTTTTTACTCTTTGGCAGAGATGCTCCATAACTGTTCCTAGAGTGTGTCTACTTGGAGATGTTTGGTAGATATGTGTGCTGTTTTTGTTGATGCTTCACACTTTTTATCCAAGACTGCAAGATAACTGATGTTAAATAGCCGTTGTTTTTGTGGTTTTATAGATGGACAGTATTTCAAGCAGAAACAGCACTGTTTGCGGTGTGCAAGAGGATGTATCTGTTCTAGCAGAGAAAAAGGCTGAGTCTATCTTTGTTTTTGCTGCAAAGGAAAGAGACGCTCTTATATTAGTAGAATAGTATATTCTTTTTTTATTTAGTTGCATGCCACAGAGAACAACACTTTATGTCATACACATGCCATACACGCTAAAAGAGTACAACATCGGGCATCTTCTGACCACCTGCAAGGTGAGCGAGAGAGAGGCAAACAACGGAATGCGCGTTTCTGTTCTTGAAAACAAACACATGGACTCTTCAGAAGAGGGAGGCCCGTGCCAGTACACATCAAAGGTAATTGATTTTTCCAAAAAAGTGCCTTCCTTCTTCAGAGCCATGGCGCCCTCGGGGTCTCTGACTATGAGCGAAATATCGCACAACGCGTTCCCAGTCTGCAAAACTGTGTACACAAGCGGTGCTCTCTCTGAAAAAAAGTTTAAAGCAAAAATAGACACGCTTTTCTTTGAGGGGTACAAGGCCCCGGTGGATCCCTTTACAGACGGAGTAGTCTCTGAAAACTGCGAAACTCTTGATCTGATACACGGGCCACAGATGGCAGAAGGCATTGATCTGGCAGAGCTGAAAGACGATAAGGGAAACCCGATGTTTTTGAAGGACTGGGAGAAGTCGCAGAGTTCTGTGATGACTGTGTTTAAGCGCGTTCAGCTGGACTTCCACGTGCCCATTTTTGGAAAACGGTACATCGAAGACATAGAAAAGTTTATGCGAAAGATCTTCATACAGGGACACCAGGAGGTGATTAAGTACCACAAAGAGTGGAAAAACATGACCATGGAACAGGTGCGCGCTGAGGAGGAGAAGGTGAAAAAAGAGCTGGACGAAAAATACCCGCCAAAGAACAAGTAGGTTTATTTCTCAAATGGGATAAAATCGTTAATTTCAATAAAATGCTCTAGCTGATCTATGTAAACCACTCCGTTGTCTCCTATTGTGATGTGTTCCAGCGCAAATATCTTTTTAAGTATGTAGAGCAGGCTTTCAGTGTCCATGTGTCTGCTTTCATGTATGTGCAATTTTAAGCTCAATCTTCTGTTTCTATAGTTTATTTAATAAAAGTTTCATCACTTTGTTCTGTTTCTATGCGCTAAGACATTAAAAATTCAGAAACCAGGAAGCTCTTATATCTCCATAGGGAGCTATGTACAAAGCATCTTTTCTATTCCTGTTGCCTGTGCTACTTATTTCATGCAACTCTACATCTCTGTTTTTTGGTTCTTGTACATGTCTATGTTGTAGGGTGATGTTCTGATGTTGTAGAAGGATTTTGGAGAGTGCCTTTCTAGTCTCCATATTTCAGAGATAACCTGGTGCACCAGGCTTATATTTGTTGCAGCAAGCGAGATTTTGTCTAGTACGCTACTCAGGGCCTCTATGCTCGGAGTAAAAGCGGGTATGTTCTCGTGGATGTACAGGAGGGTCTTGAAAGGAATTTCTTCTAAGATGTGCAGAACCTCTTTCGGTACTTCGTTTGTTTTGTGGTAGAGTATTTTCCCGATTGCATGGAAAAAGCAGATGTTGCTGTTTCCGTTCTCCAGAAGCACTTTGTGCGATTCTTCTGGTAGCTTTGCTGTCTGCACCACGCGGTGCATGCTTGTCTTGCCTGTGGCAGACGGACAGTGCTTTTTTACAGTGCGTATTGCAACCAGGGGAACTTTTATGTGTTTACAGTTTTTTATTTTTCTGTGGAAGTATGGCTGGTCTGTTTCGAAAATAATTCCGCGATATTCGCACTTTTTCACGCGCATCTCTTCAGTGACCCGAAGCAGATATATCATTGATTTGCTGATTCTGTGTGCTTTGTACTCTTCTATGTCATCTATTTCGATCAGCTCGTACTCTGTGCTCTCGATGACCTTTTTTATCAAAGCTGTTTTCCCCGATCCTCCGGGGCCTGATACTACAACAGCTGCTGTTTTCAAATGCTCCATGGCACTTTCCAAGCTCTTCTCCATATAATAAAATTCTCAAAATTAATTTTTAACAAAAAGATAAGGTTTGCTTTCTGCGCATAAATAACCCACATCTTTTTTGCACATGGATCGGATCATGGAAGGAAAAACCTTGGCATTTTCCAGTAGAGGAAGTGCCATGTGTGCTGAAACGATATTTGGCGTTATTAACAGCGAAGAAGAGTGTCTGAAAGTGATAGACATGGCAAGACTCAGCGCGCTCCCCAGGGTCAAGTCGAGGCTGTCCGATGAAGAGCGCAACTCCATCCGGCCGGGGAGCATATACGTGTATGAAGAGGAAGAAAGCGGAATATCTCGGTGGACGGACAGCAAAACATGGTCCTCTTCGAAAATACAAGGGAGATGTCTGATGTACTACGAACTAGCTGAAACGCCGTGCGATGAGAGGCTGGAGAGCCTTCGATACAGCAGCAGCCTTGAGAACGTCTTAAGCACGGGCAGGGAGATCATCAGTCTTGGCGTGCACGAGAAGAAAGTCCGCAAGAAGAACGGGCTGATAAAAATGACTACATCCCTTGTGTATGAAAGCAAGTCGTACCATCTTCTTTCTTACTTCACAGAGCCCTTTTCCAAAGAGTACACAAGAGGGCCCATTTGGAACATGGTGTATGCCTGGGAGATACCCTTCAATCTCGTTCTTCGTGTAAACTACCGAAGGCGCAGGAAGACGGGAAAGATCCCCACCAACGACTCCATCAAGCCAATCAAGATAAGACAAAGGTATGAGAAAAAACTGAACTCCTTTCCTCTCTCTGAGAAGCAGGGTGTAGTTAGGAAAGAAACAGAAGACATAGATATAACCCGAGAGATTCTTGATGAGTACGCTTTGCCGAGTAATAATGGATTCTTTTCTTTTCAATGATGAATTTGTTGTGTGTTTATTGCAGAATTTTCTTGCTATTTTTTGCAAACTAGCACTCTTCCACAATAATTCTTAGACCGTACAAAAATGAATGTGCTTACACAAATAAAAAACAAAAAAATAATATTAGCATACTAATTATTGTAAGAGTTTTATTATGCATAGCAGTTTACTGCAGAGGGCAGTCTTTGAAGAAAAACACTGCTTTTTCTAGATGTATCTCAATAGGGCAGTTTAACCACAGCTTAGAGAATAATCTACAGCTGGTTTTCAATAGATTGAATATATTCACATTAGATAAACAGTAAATTACTGCTCTACAGGCTCGTCTTGTATAGTGAAGATAATTCTGGGTGGTGAAGAGAGTAGTCAGTTTGGGTAGGTGATTGGCTGGAGTGCTTAGGATAGATGCTACTTTCCTTAAGAACCCATAGATGAGAAAGAGTAATTGCTAGAGTAAGTAAATATGAGAGGATGTGTTTATTAAAGAGAGAATAAATACAGTTACTCTTCCTCGATACGGCAAAGAGTGTGTACATGATATACTACATTTCATCTGGTACAACTTCTATGTAGTGCGAGCAGGTCATGCACTCAGCCGTTCCTAGCTGGTCAGCGTCTGCGTATATAGTTCCGCACCGGCATTTTGTGCGTGCAGCTTCAGAGAGTCTAACAGTCATGTACGGCAGGCTGTCCAGAGTGTCCTTTTCTTCGCGCGGAAGAGAGAGGATTTTTGCGTATGCTTCTTTCACCTTAATAAAGTCAACGTCTGTTTTGTTTCTTGTCGCATCGGGGTGTGTTTGTTTTACCTTTTGTTTGTACGCTTTTTTCAGCTCGCTTGGGCTGCATCCTTTTGAAACACCAAGAACGGCGTGTGGACACTCCATAACGTAAAATTTTAAAGATTTGTTTATTTGGTATAGAAACACTTTAAAACAATGTATGGTGACAAGCAAAACACTGTTAGAGCTTAGGATATATAAGACAGATGGAAAGAAGAAGTATGAAAATAGCGGGTATTATTCTACTGGCAATGGCAGCTTGGACTAACTGCTACATAGACACATCGGCTAACGAAGGCAGAATAGTGGCAACTGTTCCATATAAAACTCTGTTCTTCCTTCGAAAGCTTTCACCATACACCAGCAGAAGGATCGATAGACCTCTTCCCATGGGCGCACAAAAGAGATTAGATTCCGAGGAAAAGTTTTCGCCTTTCCACTCAGTTCTTGTGATAAAGAGACAGCAGAGCCTTGAGGATCCTATCGGCAGCGCCATGCACCGCGGAGAGGCTGCAGAGTCTTTCATAAAAGACTTCCTTGTTTCGCATCTGCAGCACATCAACGCAATGGAAAACAACTACGCAGAAAGCACCAACCAGTTCAACACTGAGAAGATATACAACGACCTGTACAAGAAGCAGACAGCGCAGAAGATTTCTGCGCACAGAAAATCAGCAAACATGCTTGGAGACGAGATTGATTCCATTATGGCAAACGCAGCCAAAGAGATAACACCGCAGATCGAGGAGATAGAAAACAAAGGCGCCATAGGAAAGACCCTCAAGAGAACAAAGAGACAGGTGGGCAGGAAGATCAAGAAGGCACGAGGAGCAATGAAAAAGGGCGTTAAAGTGAACGGATACACCATTCTTCTTTTCGTTGTAATTTGCCTGATTTCAGGGTTTGCAGGATACTCGATTCGAGGAAAAACATCAACAGAGCACTATGTTCCACTGGACAAGTAATCAGCACAAGTGAGCAGGATAGACATCTGTTTTAAGGTTTGGAGAACAAAATATGCAAGAGGTAGTATATACACCTAAAAACATGCACAGGGGCATACCAGGGTATCTGCAAGGGCAGAGGCGGCATAGAGCTAAACAGACAAATAAACTCGCTTACTCACTTTTCGTTAGAATCTTTATATTTATAGAAGCAAAGGCTGCCACCAAAGAGTGAAAGTAAAAAGATAAAACAATGTGGCGCACGAATGCTGTATGTAACTTTACTTTAAAATTGAAAATATGTGGAACAATGTTTGTGCAGCAGAAATAACCAGAAAGAGTGCAGACACATAAGTGCAAAGCCACACATTTATTAGAAAGATGGTCTTCTGCTAACACGAAGTTTTATCAGAGCATGCAGATTTACTAAACAGATCTGCATTGGAATCTCTCTGCACGATATTTTGCAAAAGATAGCTAGAAGTACACGGATCTTTAGAAGTGTTTCTTCTTCTGTTTTTTTGTTTTAGAGGGGCAGTGTTTGACAATGTGGCCCTTTTGTTCGCAGTTGAAGCAAACCGCGTGGTTTTGTTTTGATTTTCGAGAGACATACACAGGCATCGCGTGAGAGGTCTTTACTATGTCCAGCAAATAGCCAATTGTCTCCTTCCACGGCTTTTTTTCCAAAGACTCTGTGTCGATTGAATAAATATTCTTTTCCTGCAGCTGCCGTATTATCTCTCGCTTTATGCTCTCTTCTATGCCCGCATCTGCTTTATTATCGCCACTGAAGGGATTCTCCATCTGCACTTCATCTATCTCACACGGCTTGAAATCAGGAGACTCTGTTTGCTGGAAGGTAGTCAGTGATGTGCCTAGAGAGCTATCCACTGTCTCCTCCTGTATTGGAGTACAGCTCGCCTCTGGGAGCATCTGTGTGCGGCGGCTCCTGAAGTTCTCTCTGGATTCTCGGAACTGGAGGATTTCTTTTCTTGCCTGCTCCTTCTCAGGAGACTCTTCCATGTCAAAGTATGCCTGGCAGAGGTTTTTAAGGCCTATTCCTGCTGATGTTGCGATGATTTGTATCTCCCACTCCTGCACTCTTCGTTGCACCTCTCCTGCACACGGCCTCATCTCCTGTAGTTCCTCGGTGTTGTCCATTTTTATTGCTTTATTTACATCAATAATCATTTAATTGTTTGCCTGGAGAGGTACACACTACTTAGAAGGAAACCCACGCAAGAAAGAACAACTGTGCATGTGCACTCTCTATACAGTAGCACCTGCACAAAGCTTATCTGCTCTGTAAGCTTCTCCAATGAGTAAATTTTCTGTTTTAAATTCTACACTCTTTAATGTAAATATATTATTATAGAGCATTATCCAATTTTGTGTAGAACATTACTAGGCTAATTTAGAGAAAATCTGCACTTTCTTCAAAGCTCCACAGAGTATAACGAAGAAATCAGATGCACTTTATATACTTCTGCTCTCCAGAATATCCAAGAGTGTGTGGAACAGAGTTATGCACACTGGAGCATTTTAACTGTCTCTCTGCGCTGCCATCCATAAAAATTTAAAAACTTTGGGAATATTCCTAGCAATGCACAGACCATACTCAGAGTTCATAGAAAAAGACAGCAATATGTCCCTGCAGAGAATGATCCACATCACCCTGCAAAGTCTTACAGAAAGAGGGATCAAAGAGGGGCTTTTTCGGACGGGGAAAAATGAGCTGAGTGTGCGAAGCATATACAACAAGCTCTTTCCCGCCATGCACAACTCGTCTGCCTTTGTTGAGGCACACCGGCTCAAGCTGTACATCCAGGACGGCATGGAAAAAGAGGCCCTGGAGCAGATTCGCAGGATGCGGTCTTTTGATGACAAAGCAATTTTTTCTCTTCTAAACTACTCCTTTCTCTTTGCAGTTATTAACAAGATGCCCAACATCATTGAAGCCTTTTTCTCCAAAGGGTTTCCTCGCAATGTGAACCTGCGGATATTCGGGTGCAAGAACAGCATCGTATTTCCCACGTACTTCCACCTTGCGCTGGCAGCACAGAATCTGGCGGTTATCATGCTTTTCTTCAAGAGAACGATAGACTACCACGAGACATGGCACGGTCTGGGGCCTGTGCACTTGGCAGCGGTTAATCCTGACATCAGAGTGCTCGACATAGTTCTAACGTACGGAGGCAATCCCATGGAGGTTACAACGACTCTGCAGTACTCCCTGCTGAACAATCTCTTCAAAAAGCAGGAGCTGCAGTACAGAGAGGCAGGAAGACCGATATATCCTGTGGATCTTGCAGCTGTGTCCAACAACTGGGGGTCTTTTCTTCTTCTGATGAAAAAGTCGCCAAAGTGTGCAGCACACTCGCAGCATCTCCTGCACATTCTGAACAGTCTGGAGATGGTGATAAAGGCAATAAACATTGGCGCGCGCTTGGACATCCCGCTTGCCGATGGCTCCACCATTCTGCACACTAAAACATACCACAACAGGCCAGAAATGGTCGCTTTCTATGTAGCTCTGAAGCTCCCGATGGGCGTAAAGAACAGGGCAGGGTCAACGCCCTTGAGTCTCGCGCTGGATCTGGAGCACCGCGATGTTGCGTGGATTTTGATGATGAATGGCGCAAAAGTCTGCAAAAGCTACGAGAGCCATCCGATTGTAGAGGAGATAGAAAAGGGGTGGGTGCCTGTGTACTCGCAGCAGGAGAAGTTCGAGTACTACAAACACGCAGCCTCGTATGCAGAGATTGTAAATCACAAAGCAAAGAGCAGGTTCTTCATCAAAAGAATACTGAACAGAGACAAAAATACGATAGAAAGCGAAGTCAACAGGCTAAACAGCAAGATACAAAAGATAGAGAAAGAAGCGAAAACAGCGTTCAGAGACCTTCCCAAGGAAGAGCTCTACAAGAAGTTTTTGGAGGTGATATCCAAATACTCAGCAAAAGACTAGCGCCAGTATAAAAAGAACATAGTATATACCGAAAATAAAAGAACAGCAAAGAGTCAATAAATAAACATACTGAATAAAACAACCGCACTTTCACCGCACAAGAAAAAAGATCAATAAGAGAAATCAGAGATTTATTGCATGTACCAGATATATTTGTTATTCCACATGGGCCAGCATCTTCCTATCCTCTGTGCAGTAGAATAGCTTTCCTGCGTCTATCAAATACTCCAGTCCCTCGCTAATATCAATCTTTGAATAGTACCCCGTTGATGCAAGGGTGTTTGTGACCATGGCAATGGAGAGCCCTGTTCCTCCCTGGTTTTGACTGAAATACGAGAGTATGTCCAGATGTATCTGCTCAAAGTCTCCCATGTGCCCAGGCGCATTCTGGCTCTTTGCAGGAACATTCTCGAGTGTGCTGCTTTTTGTTTTGTACGCTGCGTCCTCTTTCTCTGCCTTCATGCTGTCTACTATGCGCATAAGAAGATGGTACACCATGTTGTTCCCATCAAGCACAGGCAGGACTGCAGTACAGCTGAAAACCACTTCATTTTCATTCTGGTTGTGTCTGCCCAGGCTTCCCAGTGCCTTGATAAAGGCGCCTGGCTTAAGATACTCCATTTTTTTGTTGCTCCACATTGTGCAGGAGATTGTCTCTGTTCCGTCATTCAGCACGAACTTCTTTCCATTGCTGGGGAGGTCTTTGACTGAAACAACCCACCCCATGAGCTCAACAACGCTTATGTCTATTCCCCTGAACTGCGCGTTCTGTTTTATCTCGTCGCTCAGCTCTGCCTGCTTGATGTGCTTTATCGCCATTCTTTTAATGGACTTTGATCCTCTGGAGTCGCTGGTTGGCAGAGAGTTCATCTTGGAAAAAAGAGAATTTTTTATTCTAAAATGCAGAGCTTCTCGCAGTCTTAATTGCTACAAAATTTTTTCATAAAAGTTTAATGTTTGAATATAAACGGCCTATTTCTTCTATAATAGACGGTCCGCGGTTTACCATTGCGCAGATAGGAAATGCGTACTGTGTGGTGGCTGCAGTGGGGAATTTCTACAAGACGTACAGCGCAGAGAAACTTAGCACACTTGGGCGCTGCCGCGAGGGAGAGACCATCAAAAGCATCACTTCTTTGGGAAGATACGTTGTTGCCGCAGCAGGCACAGAGATAGATATATACAACCAGGGAGCTAGCATACAAAAGATAGACGTAAAAGAAGAGATCAAAGAAGTTCTGGCATACGAAGACTTTCTGGTGGTAAAGCTTGAAAAAAAAGTCATAAGAGTGGATTTTGACGAGATAGAAAAGATCGAAGAAAAAACAGTAGAGCACACAATAACAGAGCTAAGCAACACACCCAGTGAGATGGAAAGCGTGCACAAGCTAGAGCTAAAGAACAAGCTTCTAATTGTGGCGCAGGGCCAGCTCCACATATACGCGATTGACAAGAAGAGAGTTATATACACGATGAAATGCGCGAGTATAAGTGAAAAAGTAGTCGATGTATCAAGTTCTATTTCGCCGGAAATAGTGGCAATATCCACAGCAAAAGAGGTCATGGTGGTGCAGCTCAAGAAGGATGTGCTCCTCCAGCAGTTTGCCTTTGACGGCATACAGTCAGTGGACTTCAGAAGAAGCGTGCAGCACAAGGAGCTTGCAGTGCTGACAGAAAAAGAAGTCATTATCCTCTGTTTGGAACAGGCAGTTGCCAAGAAAAGATACTCACTTGCACGAAAGAAAGCCTCTAGCACAGAGCCCTCCTATATGCACACCGCGCGGTACATTGGATCGAATGGATACCTCATTATATCGCAGAAAAACGAGCTGCAGATCCTTGACTGCCAGCAGAGCAAGATTGCTCTGTGCAAGAGGAGAGGAGGCGTGGTGTTTGGAGAGCACCAGTGCTCTGAGTTCCTCCAAGACACGCTAGTGGTCTCTACGAATGGAAGAGTGTACACGCTTTCTCTTCGAAAGGAAGAACAGCTAAAAGAGTTCTCCAAGATGAACGCACAGGGGCATCCAACATCGCTTGCCATTGTGCGAGAGAATATCCTTGCATGCTACACAAAGGGCATACACTCGCTAAAAGAAACAGTAGGAGGCGTAACAGAGACAAAGAGAAGGCTGGGAAGCGGCACTCCAAAAGAGTACATTGGAGCTGTCCTCTCTTTCTGCGGGAACGCCATGGCACTCTCCATCAAAGAGAGCGCTGCAGCTGTAAAGATCCTCGTTGCGTCCAGAGACTCAGGGTTTATCCTTGGCGAGATAGAAGAGAAGCCCTACCTTGCGCTCTCCATAAACAACATCAAAAAAACTCTTACAGTTCTCCACGCAACACACATTGTTGTATACTCATACAGAGGAGAAGTTCTTTCAAAAACAGAGATAAGCTGTGCAGAGCTCGAGACACAGGAGAGCTTGAGCACAGGAGAGCTGCTAGGAAAAATAGTAGAAACTAGGGCTTACAAATACTGCATAGTGGCATCTTCTTCCCACATATGCATATTCAGTGGCAAGGGAGAAAAGATAAAAAGCATAGCAAAGGCAGAGGGAGTGCCGCTGGGCATCAGAGTAAGCACAGATCTGAGCTGGATACTTTTGATGACAAAAAGAGAACAAGGTGCTGTTCTAGAAGTGGTGGATATGGAGACATGCTGCATTCTATCAGAAACCTCGTTCCCGTATGTGCCAAAAGACTTCCTTATAACAGAGGACAAAAGCAGACTGATTGTTACAACTGCTAAGCAAATACTGCTCTTCGAAAATACATACAGAATGAAGAAGGTCGAGCACGGAGAGGCATGCGTGGAGTCACAGGGCATTACTTTTAGCTCAGCGCACAAGTCTCGCATCCGATTGCTGCTCTCGTACGAGTCATTTGGCGTTAAAGTCGAGGACGAAGGAGCTGCACTGTACATCCTGCAGAAAGAGAACATGGAAAACAGTCTTTCACCGGAGTCCAGCGCGCTGAAGAGCATAGAAGCCTTGCTAGACGGAAACTGCCCCATCTCTTCTATCATTGCGCACATAAAAGAGACAGAAGACCCCACAGGGCTGATCATAGACCTCATCGCGCACCTGGAGACAAAATACGACATTGCAGAGGCTTTAGTCAATAGAGTGCTGTACTACAGGAGAAGAGACCTTGACATGGACAGACTGAGCCAGCCTCTGAAGACCAGAGAAGAAATAACAGAGCGGTTTATTGCAACGTACCTATCTACACTTTCCCTGGTTGAAAGTACATAGTTTGAATAAATATCATTCCTATTTAGTCCAGTTTCTGTCCTACTTTCCCAACAAATGGTTAAATACACGCATCATTTCTTCGTATAGACACGTAAAAGTCTAATAGCAGCTGTATAAAAAAAGAAAAGAAAGAGAAAGTGTACCTGCTGCTGTTTATTTAAGCAAATATGCATGCCTTTGTAGCGAATAATAAAAATACTCCTGCAGCATATTCTGTTAAGCCTGGGAAGAGATACCTCCTGTGCTGCATAGATAGCAGACTACTCCACTATTTCCATGCAGTCCACAAAGTTAATGCCATTTTCATTCGTGTAGACAAAAGATTTGTACTTCTCGCTGGTGAATACGATGGCAGAGTCTCCCACTATCTTCTGGAAAATCTTCTTAGATCGGTCTATGGCTAGAATGCACTTCTCCGTCTCTGTGTACTCAATCTGCTCGTCCATCAGTGGAATCTTGAAAATGGAAATGGCCTTTTTTTCCTGGATGAGAATTCCCGCCATCCACTTCCCTATGCACCCCGTGTACACCACAAACGGCTTTCCAATCTGAGGTCTTTTGAAGATGCGAGGCGACTTGTGTCTGCTGTACTTCTTGACTATCTGCACAAGAGACGCGCTAAGATCGTTTTTTATGATGATTCCCTTGGGCATTCTTTTCAGTGACGGCAGCACAGGCTGCACTCTTTCCTTCAGGGAGGGCATGGGAACAACATTCGATTTCTTTGGGGGCCGTGAGCAGTCTATGCTCTGGATGCTCTCTGGCTCTCCTGCTAGCTCTTCTTCGCTCTCGCTCTGTTCCTGCATGGGAAAAAGCACGTTTGGCTTCTCTTTCACGTAGATAACACCTGTGAAATTGTTGGGGAGGTTGTACCTCAAAAACATTTTTTGCTTGAAGAGGAGCACCTGGCGGATAATTTCATTGGGAGAAGACTCGCTGCTTATCTTCTTGCTCAGGAGGTTCTTGATGCTGCTCGAGAGCCCTGCCCAGAACTTCGTCTGCAAAAAGCTCTCCTGTTTCTCAGGTGCGATCAGAACACGCACTGAGTACGATCTTATCAGAAGGCCAAGCTCCTCTTTGTACGCCTCCAGGGACAGAAATTGGCAGGACTTGAGAGAGTCAATTCTCCTCCGAAGAAGCTCTACGTTCTTCTGCGTGTACACTTTGTCGTATATCTTCCGCACTGAGTCTCGCAGAGTCTGTCCGAGCGGATCGTGCACAACGTTTTCAAGAATGTCACTGGAGACACAGCACTTAAAAAAATCTTTGGCTTCCTCTTCGCTCCACTCGTGGTGAACTATTTTGTAGCGGAACATCTCCACCCACTGGAAGGTGTTTCTTGTGTCCAGCACGTCGAGAATGGGCATTGCAATGCCTTTCATCGAGAGCTGTCTTTTCAGGATGTATACGGGCCTGGAGGGAGGCACTCTTTTTTCAAGTTCAATGCCTGAAAGAAGGTTTCTCTGCCGCACGGGGAGCCCATAGCCGTCTGTGTCTGTGTCCACGGGCTTGTTCTGTATGCAGCATATAATGTTGGGCTTCCCCGTGTACATCTCGGTGTTTTCGTTTTCTTCGCTTTCTCTGTCAATATATTTTTCTTTTTCCTGAATCATGGAAAGTGTAGGGGCTCTCTGCTTATAAGCTTGGGAGAAAGAAAACTTCCTTATTAGGACAGCCCGGCCAAATATAGAAAAAAATAGTATCAGGACTTATTACGCCCGCTGTGCACAGAAATGGAAAAGGGCATATTCCGCAAAAATTAAAAAAAGTCCCCGGGCCCTCTAAAACCCATTAATGCGCGCGTTACAGGGCACAAAACCTTCAAAAAAGGGGGCGCTGTCCCCTGGTTTCCCGCCCATTTTTTCCTGGATTTTTTTAAGTTCCTCCTCTGAGAAGCCGGGGGTACTCCGAGCCAAAGAGAATACGAACCCTTCCAGCGCAATTCCGTTCTCCTGGGGGAGACTGTGCACGCCGAATAAAGAACAATACTTTCTAAGCTCTGTCTCTATTGTCTCCTTCAGCTCCCCTGTTCCTTTTATCTCATTTGCTCTTTTTATGTGCTGCGCCCTTCTTGCAAGGTACCTCATTTTTAGCCCCATGAGCTTGGGCGCAGGAATGTGCTTCAGAATCAGAGTAAACTCGCTGTGCGATGGCCTGTCACTTTTTTTGCACACGGCCTCTATATACACGTACATCTGCTGCACCAGAAGAGACGTCGCCTCTGTCTGGACCTCCATGAGCAGATTCTTGTGCTGTGCGTCGAGGAAAGCAAGCACTTTGCCAACCTGAGAGAAAAAGGGGCTGAATAGAGAAAAAAGGTCCTTCTTCTGTGCTGGTGCTGTTTGTATTTGTTCTACAATTTTTGTGTACAGACTTTCTGCACGCAGGATTTCTTCTATTTCCTCTCCTCTAGTTGCATGGCTTCCCAGCAGGATTTTAAAATGAGAAACACCAACGAGAAAGTACTCCGTTTTCTCTGCTCTTCCTGCGTCCCTTCTTCGGCTGGAGAGCACTCTTTGCAGCTGTGCCAGAATATTCATCTTGAAACACACGCTCTCCCTCTCTATATCCTCTTCTCACAAAAGACCAATGGAGATGGCTCTCTTGTCTGATGTCAGTGTGAGCCTCTTTGGTTTAGTGGTATAACGTCAGTCTTGTAAACTGAAGGTCGGCGGTTCGATTCTGTCAAGAGGCTTTCTTTTTGCAGGCCACAAAAGAAAAAGGAAAAGGAAAGCGAGTTTCCTGCCCAGATACTTCCTCCTCTGTGCACAAGCCGCAGCCCTAGGCGGCAGAATAAACACGCTCTGTGTCTTAATTTCCAGAGCGCAGAAGAGTAGCAAGAAAAACTAAGAAATGTTTATTTATGGCTGCAGCCTCTTTGGATCTCTCGGGAACATCGAGCACTTGTGGATGTCTGTGCAGCCCGTTAGAAGCTTCACCACTCGCTCGAGTCCTATCCCGCAGCCCCCGTGTCTTGGGGCTCCGTACAAGAACGCGTCAACGTAGTCTTTTACGCCATCTATCGTCATGCCTTTTGCTAGCACTCTTTCTTTGAGGACCTCTGGCTGGCAAATGCGCTCTGCGCCCGAGATGATTTCCTCTCCCTTCAAAATGAAGTCGAAGGACTGGGTGTACGCGCTGTCTGATGGGAGCAGGCTTGTGTAAAAGGGTCTTGCACTCTCGGGGTACTCTATCATTGCAAATAGGTCAGAGTTGTACTTTTTCTTTATCTCTGCTCCCAGCATCTTTTCGTCTTCCGTTCCAATATCCTCGGTGTACGAGCACTCTCTTCCAATGGCTCGAAGGATGTCTATGCCCTCTTTAAATGTGATTATCACGGGCTCTTCCTGTATCACTGTTTCGTTGCTAGTGCCTGAAATGTCCTTTATGATATTTAGCTCTTCGGAGCTGTTCTCCTGCACTCCGTCTGCGACGTGCTTTATCATTTGGTATATGATCTTCACCAGGTCAACGTACGTCATTCCCTTCAGCTCCATTTCAATGTCAACGCCTGTGAACTCTGTCAGGTGTCTTCCAGTGTTTGAGTTCTCTGCTCGGAAGCACGGCCCGATTTCAAACACTCTCTCAAATCCCCCGATGATTGCCATCTGCTTGTACAGCTGCGGGGACTGGGCGAGTGTTGCAGGCTGGTTGAAGTATTTAACGGGAAAGACCTCAGAGCCTCCCTCTGATGAGCCTTTAAGGATCTTCGGTGTTTTTATTTCGATAAACTTGTTTTTCGCCAGATATTCTCTGAATAGCCCAAGGATCGCGGAGTACACGCGGAATATGCTCTGTGTTTCAGAGGACCGAAGGTCAATGTATCTCCAGTCAAGTCTCTTTGACTGGTTGACAACGGGAAGCAGGGGATCCTCTTCTCTTTCTTTGTGGGTCCATGCGAGGTCTTTCAGCTGGAACGGGAGCTCTTTGGACTCTGATACAACCTCTACTCTTTCAGCCTGGATCTCCATGTGTTTGACCAGACAGGAGAGCACAGGCGTTCGGGTGTTGACAAGCATGCCCCTTACGTTCACGTAGGACTCTGGGAAGTATTTGGCGCTCTCTTCGCCTCCAACGGTGCACACGCATTGGATGGTCCCAAGGCCCTGCCGTAGCACCATAAAAAGCTTCTTTTTTCCTGCAAGTCGGATACTTTTGATAAAGCCGTGCAGAGAGATAGGCTGCGGGCTCTCCAAAGGAGCCATCTTGCTTATTTCTGAAATGTTTTCAACTGAACTGTCTCTTTTGTTTTCCTCTTTCATCTTCTAAAATTTTGTTTTGTTAGAAATGAACAAGGAATACAATGGGTTTGTCTTCAAATCCAAAGAAAATGTGATACACCGCAAAGAAGCAGCTCCTTCTGTTGTGAATAAAGAAAAGAAGAAGACTGCGCCAAGAGCCAGGGCTGAGTCCCTTGGGTTTTCTTTCAAGGTGAAGGCTGAGGATGCACTCCCTGCGAAAGTGCGCACAGTCTCGGGCGCCAGAAAAACAAAAAAAGAGGCGGGCACCGCAGCGCCACAGAAAACAGGGAAAGTGCAGGAGAAGTTTGTATTTAAGTTTGGATCAGGCGGAAAGCCCGTGCAGGAGAAGAGTGCAGCAAAGAAAGAAACACCTGCTAAGCCTGTGGGGGATAATAAGCTGAAGAAAGCTCCCGTCACAAAAGCTGTAGGCTCTAGGCGCACAGCAAAGAAAGAGGACACTGCAGCAGACTCAGTGCTTCCAGAGGGTGCAGGAGAGAAGAGCAAAACAAGATTTGGCAAAGTTAATGTTAAAAACCCCGTTAAGAAAGCAGAACTGTGTGAAGAAACACTCTCTGGGGAGAAAGATGCAGTTGCAGAAGATATGGTAGTTGAAAAGCCTGTAGCTCCTAGAGCCAAGAGCACAAGAGAAAAGAGAAAGACAGAGAATACTTATAAGGATGACCCTGCAGCAGAAGAGTCTGCTAATGATAATGCTGGCGTGCACATGCCTCCATCTGTCATTAGGTCTGTAGACACTCGGCCAATAGAAGAGACAAAAGAGCTGCAGCCTACTGATCCAATGGAGAGCGCAGAGAGCAGAATGGAGATATCGCCTACTCGAAGAATATCCCCTATTAAAAAGCCACGACAGAGTCTTTCTATTCTTTCTGTGAAGTCAGCCAATGGGTCTCTGCTCGACAACATAACAACCACTCCTCTGGCACAGAGAAAGAGAATGACAATAGGGCCGTATGACTTTATGTCGCCTGTGAAGATACGCAGGCTTTCTCTTGATGTTTTTGATAGCAATAAGTGCTCGGTCTTTCAGACGCGCAGGGAGAGCCTGTTTGGATACGACCAGATATACGGGGGAGGCGTTTCGCCTGAAGACTTCTACAGACACTCCAACTTGTCGCAGCCTGCAAAGACGCGAACGAAGCAGATACTTTTGTGGATTGCAAAATACGTTGCAAATGGGCACATAAAGATAGAAGGCATTGCACAGGAGAAGGTCCAGGAGATATGCCAAATGTACATGAAAAGAATAAGCTCGCTTGTTTTGCCTGAGAAAGAGAAAAAGAAGGAGAGCTCTTCGCTTATAGTAGAGAATGCAAACGGGGTGATCCAGACCCTTCAAATGGAGGCCAGCAGATACAACAACGAAATAGAAAAATGGAAGGGCTTCTACAGCAGCCTTCTACACGCGTACACTCTCAATGTTCCTTTGTACATGCCAGAAGAAAACACGCGCAGGCTGTCTATCCACAGACAGAGCCTGAACGGGCTTGTTTCATTTGATGCTACAGTCATTGGAAGCTCTCCGCTGGACATTAAGCGCATTTTAGCGCGCAATTTGGAAGAGCTGCACAGCTCTCTCAACTCGTCCAGATACTTCATGTTTCTCTCCCTGGAGTACACCAAAAGAGTGTGCGGCTCTCTGCTCGAGGCCTCCCATCCGCTGGACAAGTCCAAGGCCAATGCTCTGCTGCATGTTCTTTGTAGAATCTCACAAAAGCCAAGATTATAATAAATATGTTCCTTATATTATGTGCATCCGCATTCATACTTCTCACACCTATTAGCAATAGTCTTCTAATGGATGCTAAGTGTTCTAGCTTTCTAAATATAGACCATAGTATAGCTGTATACTCACTCATTAAGCAGAATAGTATGCATTTTCAGGCTATAATTACTGCTTATCCTATTTATATCTGGCGTTTAATGTCTTAGTAATACTCTATATAAATATGTTTATTGAGGAAATAGAATGGCAGTCGCAGTATTCTTGTGCTATATTGATGCTGTACAAGGGAGGCTTTGTGCGGAGAAGAGCTACAGTGTCTATCTCCTCTGGGAGAGGGCTTGTCTGCACCACTGGACTTTGTCTTGGTAGAAATCGTTGAGTGACTTGGCGCATTTGGCATACTGGGAGCCTGCAGGGTTGTATGTGTAGCAGTTGTTGATTATCAGCTGCACGTCTGAGTCCATTTCTTCAAAGGTTTTGTACTGGTCTGCTTCTATTTTCCTCTGGATGGTTTGGAAGTCCATTGGGTGCTTTATCACAGTGTAGTAGTCCTGCACGTCTTCCATGTTGACAGGCTCCAAAAAAGGCCAGGATGTGTTGTGTCTCTTCAGCTCATAGCACAGATACAGAAGAAGCTCTTTCAAGCTTCCTTTGCACTCCAAAGACTTCTCTATTTTCTTTGTAAAGCCTGCCTCTAGCAGCCCTGGAATCTCTTCGACCTTCTTTGCGCTGTCTGGGAGCACGTACTCTTTGTGCATGCCGGGATATGCTTTTTTTGCAATTTTCTGCAGCTTTTCTCTTCTCTCTATCAGCATTTTGTATATGTCTTTGTACTCTACTTCCGGCAGAATCTTGCCCTGCATGAGAGTGCCGCCCTCGTAGTCTTTTATTCTGCCCTTCCAGTTTATGAATGTGATCTGTTTTGTAAACCCCTGCTTCTTGAAATATCCTATTGCGTAGTTGTCTGCGTACGTAAGCAGATAGATTGGGCCGCTAAACTCTTCTTTTTTCATCGCGGCTGTCTCTGCAAAATCAGAAGCAACTGTTTTCTTCAGCATGGACATCATGAACTCTCCGTATCCTCTGATTTGCGAGTCGCTGTTCACTGCACAGAAGACTATTTCAGCAAACGAGTCTTCGTAGAACAGGCGGTAGCATATTCCCCCAACGACTTTGTTTTCTTTTTTCTCAATTATTGCCATCGACCGGTGCTTCATGTCAAAGAGCAGCCGCGTGACATACTCTTTTGGCATGTTAGGCAGCTGCTTTTGGAATATATTCCGCAGATCCAGAAGTATCTGCATTGACGCGATGTAGTTTGCATCTTGTGTAGAGACCACTATGATCTCCAGGGCTCCGCTGCCAACCATGTCCATGAGGAAGCGGTTTCTCTCTATTTTCTGCTCTGCTTCTTTTGGTAGTGCAAACATGAGTAGATTTCTACAGAACAAGTAAATTTTATAATTTTTTACATTGTTGAGCCAGCTGCTGTTCAGCTGCTTGTACAAGAGAAAACTTGCTGCACTGCACATGCAATTCTATCTTAACCACCTTAATATTCTAGAAGTACTAGAGATGCATAGAGCTTTCTCTGCGAGAACACATATTCTTTTTTCACTGCAAAACTAGAGTATGCTGCCTTACTGCGATTAAATGCTCTTTTCATAGGAAAAGCTTACGTTTATACACTTTGGCTTGTATACACTTTTTTATTACTGAAAGAGAATTAAATAATAGAGTTAGACTGTTCTTTGGCTTCTTACAGTATATTTATTTATTTGTGTGGTATAATCCTCTAGACTTTTTTCTGCACTTAAAGCTTTCTCTCTATCTCTACTAGGAGGTTTCGTGACTCTTCTATACCTACTGAAGATGCGCTCCTGCTTGCCATTTCCAGTGCTTCTTTTGCGTATAGGTACGCCAGAGAGAGCTGGTGCTTGGAGAGGAAGTATCGCGCTAGATTGCACTCCATTTTGTAGAACTGTGCAGGCTTCAGATTCGACAGGTATCTGCTTGACTCGAGGAAGAGCTTCTCCGTTCTTCCATCTTCGATGTAGTTAGGCTTCTCGCTGTTTTTACTCATCTTTTTCAAAATCAGCGAGGTTTCTCCCGTGCTAGAGAGAGACTTTAGCGCGCAGTATCCCCTGAGAAACTCTTTCATTGGCGTGTTTGTCAGGCGCATCTTAGTGTATATGTACGTAAGCGCAATAGCCTCTCCTTGGTCGCACGTTTCCTCTCTTTTCCTGAGCATGTACGTGTAGAACTTGTGGAAGCTGTTGAGCTCTGCGTATATTTCTCTGTACGAAACTGGGCACTTGGGCACAATGTGTACGTTGTGGTCTGCGTCCTGGCACACATCTGCCACCATCTTATTGTCGATGTACCACAGATTTTCTGCAATAAACTCCATATTTACTTGCACAACACAAAATTTTACTATATGTTATCCAATTGGAAGTGCAGACAGACCATTACGGCAGCGCCTCTGGATTGCTACAAGTCCAGCAGCATATGCGCAGACACCCTTGTGCTAGGGCGCAACAAAGGATTTGTGGAGGTGTACAAAATAGGCCCGGGGCTGAAGAAGAAGATAGAGTACAAAAGCCACGCCCCGTGCTTTGACTATCTCAGAAGCACTGAAATAGCAGAGTCTGTGGACAGCATAGACATTGTGCCATCCGGAACCAAAGAGATTCTCGTGCTCAGCGGAAACCAGAAGAACATCAAGCTCTGGAACGTGCACTCCTCCTTCATCAGGGCAGACAGCATGCCGCACATTGTCGAGTGCTGCACAGACTCTTCTTTCTCGTGCGATAACCCAGAGGAGAAGCCTGTGGAGAACAGCAGCCCTTCGCAGAGAATCGAGAAGATCTTTGCATGCGAGTCGAAGAAAAAGACCCGAGTCAAGCTCGAAAAAGAGTACATGCCCGAGAATATTTATAACATCCACAGCCTCTCGGTCTCGCACACAGGGGAGAGCATCCTGATGTCCGACGAGCTGACAATCACTTTCCTCAACCACAGGCTAGAAAACCCGTGGGTGGCGCTGAATCTAAAGCCGTCAAAGAATGAAGAGCTGTCCAAAGTCATCACAACAGCTAGGTTTGTGCAAAACTCTAGCAGCATGTTTATATACGGGACAGCAGGGGGCACAATGCACCTGCACGACCTACGAGACTGCTCGCGTGGGGGGAATGTGCTGAGCATCAATGCCCCGAAGAGGAAGGATTTCTACAATGAGGTTGTGCAGCCCGTTGCAGACATCCAGTTCATCTCCGACAACATCATTGCAAGCAGAGACCTGCAGTATGTTGTTACCAATGACATCCGCTCTTCAAACTCGTTGCTGCAGGAGTACGATGTGTATCCTCTCGTGCGCAAGAATATAACCGAGCTCTACGACTCAGACGAGATATTCTCCAAGTTCAAAATGGCTGTGTCGGGAAACAAGGTGTACACGGGGTCTTTTAACACAGTGCTTGCTGAGATAGACACTGATACGAATGTGGTGTCTCAGGTCTTCTTGGAGGAGGATCTAGAGTCTGCGACCCGAATCATAGAGGGAATGAAAGTTTCTTGCATTTCCCTGAAGGACGACTGTCTCGTGGCTGCGTACAGCAATCAGTGCTACATATTCAGATCTACCACAGAGAGCGCATAGAGCCCTTATGAGCGGCGCCTATTAGGTCACTGTGTAAAAAGATACTTTTACAAAACACACTTACATAAATACAAGATACTAGTCTATTTTCTTTTATTATTCTGTTTTGTTCTCTGCTTATATCCATCTAAGGTACTTAATAAGGAGTATTGCAAACAGCACTAGGAATACGAGAATGATGGTTTTTCTTTTTTGGTTTACTTTTTCCTGTGCGCCTCTGAGCTCGTAGGATCCGCCGCGCAGGTTTGACTTTGTTTTTGTGAACAGCCCGTCGATCATTTCGACCTTTTCGCCCTGCAGTGATATGTGCATGGAGACTTCGGTGACCATCCGGCCTAGCTCGTTTATGTGCTGCTCGAGAGACTCAAACTCTCGCTTTCTTACACTGCTGATCTCCTCTCTTTGGATCTCGCGGTGCGCATAGCCTGACTCTTGGTGTGGGCTTCTTCCAGGGCCTCTGCTCTTTGCCTGCTCTTCCATCTGCATGAGCGCAGCTTTTCTCTGCTCGTTTTCCTTGTGTCTGCTGAGAATGCTTGTTAGCCGGAGCATCATTGCTGTGTGCTTTCTCTGCATGGCCTTTGCTATGCTTTGGCTGATCTCTGTTGAGATGTCCACTTCGGCGTGCTGCTCGGAAAGCGTTCCAAGAAAGCTCTCAACTTGGTCAATTAAGTCTTTGCATGGCGCTTTTTTTTGATTTACAGCGCTTTCCAGGGCGTTCAAGCTCTCTTCTATCGCTGCAATGGTAATAAGGGAGCTGTCTTCTGATGGGATGGGAGGCTTTTGTACAATGTTTGCAGCGCCAGCTAGCAGTAAAAATTCTTTTGTTCTGTCCATAAAAAGTTTGTATTCTCCTGCTGCATTTAAACACAAAGTATATTAAATGTGCACACCTGGTGCATACTCTTTGTAGGTCCTGTGCCGCTTGTTCCTTCTAACATCAAATCCTTCTGATTGAAATTCACCTCCTTCTTTCTGTGTGGCATATGCAGAGAGCATGCTTCTGCAATCTCGTGCTTCTGAGATGGCTCTCTGCAAAATTGTACTCTAGACGAGCATGGACTATAGAAACACACAGGGCATTATAAATAAAACGATAAACAAAGCAAATAGATGCGGAAGCAGTATTCGACATACGAAAAAATAGTTGAGTCGTACCTGGAGAGAAAGGACGGCGAGCGCATTGTTCTGGGCATGGGAAGCGGCAGAACAGCCACTAGGCTGCTTGATGCGTGTGCACACATTGGTAGAAACAGAGAGGGTGTTGTGTTTGCAGGCACCAGCACAGAAACTGAGATGGCTCTTCAGAGACACGGTGTTGCAACGGCAAGCATGCAAACCACAGAGCACATTGACCTGTACTTTGACGGGGCTGACTATGTTGATGCCAACGGCTGGATGATAAAAGGGTACGGCGGGGCAATTCTCCAGGAAAAAATCGCGATGTGCATATCCTCTCTTTGCGTAATCGTAGTTCCCTTTTCGAAATGCGTGCCAAGCTTTGCCAATCTCTATGTTCCTGTGGAAATAGTGAAGCCGTCTCTTTCCTTGTTCAAGAGCCACTTAGAAAAAAACAGATGTGCGTACAAGATAAGACACAGCGAGTCTAACGTGTATGTTACCTACCTAGGAAATATGATAATTGATGTCCTCTACCAAGAAAACCTTCTTGCGCTCCTTGATGTGCCTGGAGTAGTTGCACACGGCCTCATACCTCCTGATAAGAAAATAGAAATCGCTATTATTGAGAATCCTCTTTATTAACTATCAATCACAAGCGAATCTATGCCTTTTCTTCTCTTTATCAGGATGGTTCTGCCTGAAAGAGCAGCAGAAGGCATTGCCATACGAGTGTATGCATTGCATGCCACTACTATTATTATAGATGTGTAAGTTTCTGAGCATTTAAATTATCAACTTATAAACTGTGCATACAAACGAAGTTTCTTGAATAAATGTAAGGCCTAAATACTTTTATCAGCAAGCTTAAGAATGCATAAGTTAAATAAAATTTAAAATAATTTATTCTCAACACATAGTTATTGCTTCCAGTACTGCTTTATTATTATTTCACAGCCAAATTCTTTATTAAAGCAGAAAATAATACACACAGAGTATGTATATGCGAGACAAAAGATGAGTAAAGAAGTATGCTGCAGAAAACTTCTATTGGTTTAGTGGCTATACACAAGGATAAGGAGAGTATGCTCAGACTAGTGTTTAGTTAACCAGAGACAGAGGATATATGACAGAAAGTAAAAGCAGTTTGTGTGACCGTCATACAGGGGTATGCGCAAGTAAAGAGAAGTAACCTTTGAAGATGGGCTCAGAAAGAGAAGAAGATGGGTTTATCTCCACAAATACAGGTGTAAATAAAAATACGTTGGATTGGGGAATAAGTTTCTTTTATTAGCTGGACGGTTAAAAATATTTTTATGTTCTGTGAGTCATGTGAGAAGTATTTAAGCGTGTCTTCCCTACTGTGCAGCTTTTGCAACCGAAAGAACTCCCTTAAGCTCGATCCAAAGAAGTCGCAGAGCAAAGAGTATGCTGTGCAGAGCGTAAAAGAGAGACAGAAAGGTACAAAAATAAAAGAAGAGTGTCCAGAGTGCAAGTCGGAGTATTTATACTACTACACCATGCAGCTTCGATCTGCAGACGAAGGGCAGACTGTATTTTACGAGTGCGACTGTGGATACAAAGCAAAACTCAATACATAAAATAATAAAGCACAAAGTTTACTAAAAAATATATTTGCATGAGAGAGGACCATAGCGAAGGCAGAAAAACACATTACAAGCTGAGAGAGGAGGGAAAGAGCGAGAAAAACATGCTGTCTAGCGAGGCAAAAAGAAGAAGAGTTTCCGAGGAGAGAGAAATGCCAGAAAAAGAATCAAGCAGCTTGCACAGATCAAGAGAATACGAAAGGAAAGAGAAGAGTAGCAGAGAAGAAGAGTATGATAGCCTAGATAAAATACTAACAGATGGAGACACCGAAGAATCAGGTGAAAGCGAGGCTCTGGATGAAGAAAGAGAGTCCTCAAGCAAAGACGATTTTTTCTATTCAGATGATAAGCTAGGGATAGACTCTGCAAAGAGCGGGAGCGCAGCAGGAGCAGGACCGATGTATACGAATGGCGAAACAAACGAGCAGGACACGGATAGCGCAGACAATATCACTGAGTCGAGAGAAACACACATATACTACAACAAAGAAGAGTCTAACTCGAGCGAAGGAGAAGACATTATTGAGTACAGAGAGACAACACTTCCTGTGCGATCGGCAGAGCATAGTAGGAAGAGAGATGCAGCGGAAGAGGATGCTAAGAAAGCAAGAAAGATGGCCAACCAGGAAATAGGGGAGATGCACCAGATGGAAAAGCAGCAGTTTGTGGAGGATATGAAAGAGCAGGAAAAAAGAGTGGAAATGCGCGAGCGAGGATGGAAGGCAAACAGCAGGCCGCTGATCTGGAAATACGAAATAGAAGGCCATGAAGATGAGACGGAGCCCATAAATGAAGAAGCAGTGATAGAGAAGTTTAGAAATAACATAGAAAAAACGTATATAAAGCACCCTAAGAAGTACAGCACAGAGCAGTATTACAACAAGACGCACAGCAAAAAGAAGAAAAATCTAAACGAGACAGAGCTAAAAAGAATAAAGGATCGAATAGAAACAAACCGGCTGCTGGAAGTGCAGGCAAATCTGAGAAGACGAACTAAGGAGGAGCAGGGCATGCTAAACAAAACAAGAAACCTCCACGTAAAGCTGAAGGAGATAGGGCACCAAACAGAAGCATCGGAAATCTTTGCGCTTCTCACACAGGAGTATATTTTCCAGAAAAAAGACATAGTGCATTTTATGGGAGACTCGCTAAACAACTTGTCGTCTATACACAACAAAGTGGCAGAAAGCACAGACTATTTTCTTCGGTGTCTTGAGTTCATAGAGCAGAAAATAACGATTGAGTAGCTATGCAGAGGATGCAATGCAGAATGCTGCATTATTTCTTTGTGCTAAAGAAGGAGATTTTGTGTTTATTTTCGTGTATGTAAGAGAAGAGAATAGACTGAGAAAGTATAAGAAGTGCTCTGTGGGAAATGTGTGTGTGATGATGGTATAAACACATACTGTAGATGGTTTTGTTTTCTGAGCATATTTAAGTATTGGTTGAAAAGTAACTTTGTAGTTTTTAAAACAAATTGTCTAATGTTGCTGAGGGATATATACAATAATTTTAATAAATTTTATCTTGGGTTTTATTTTAGTGGCAACATAAAATAATAATCAAAACTTTGATTTAAAATACAGATAGAATGACGAATGACAGAAATTAGTTGATAAGTGAAGTATAAATATTTTAATTTTACTTTTGATAAGAAATGAGTGCGCTTACCCGAACAATACTAAGCATAATACTAATAATCACAGTACAAGAGAGCAATGAAGCAGCAAATCCTCAGCTTTGCAACTTAAATGCAGAAAATAGCCAACCTCCGCTGCATGGAAATCAAGATGAAATTGTATCTTTTATTTACGAGGCTAACGAGAAGAATAATAAGAAGCTAAATGACACCTCATTTAATGAAAATCAAAACGAGCACACATTAATTGACCCGATAGTAAGCATTTTCTTTGATGCGCTGCTTATTGAAAGTCAGTTCGATAATGTCTTAATGAACAGCTCTTTAGATACTTTCAGTGGAGTTATTCTACTGAAGAACAAGGAAGATTCAGACTCTAAAGAAAATGAAATGCTCTTTAAACACAACAATATTTCAAATGAATGTAAACCATGCTATATCACATGTAAAGTCTTTCCAGACTATTGCTATAGTAAAAATCCGCTAAAAAGAAGCTGTATACTACTAGTGAATTTTAACTTAAAAGAAGAAAAAGAATTTCATAAGGAGGCCTTAATGTACATGGCAATGTATCCTCATCCCAATACTAAGTTTTTTGGATGGTACAGACCTCTTGTTGTAACTACAGAGAAAAATGCAATGGGTGAAGAAATAATTGTTATTAAATACATAATGAATGATAATAGTAAGTCTATAGCCAAAATGGGTTTTATAAAAAACAATATTCTTCCTTATCAGCTTATCTACACTGTTGGAGGAGGATGTCTTCCCATGTCTTATGTAAATGCGAATAGATTTACATGGCTTCCTATTCACTACACACCAGAAAATAAATATGCACTCTCCAACCTCATAAGGAGCCATCAAATGAAAGCACTAAAATCATCAAGAAAATTGTATGTTGCGTCAATAATAAGAAATGGAAATGGAATGCACTTCATAAATGAGATTGATGCAGCTAGTGTGCACTCTTATTATAATCGCATCTACAACATTCTTACGCATAGTGATAACAAAAGCATCGTTATAAGCATAAAATTATCTGATGAGTCATTCAGAATGGTCTTACTAAGCTATATCTATCTTGAAAAATTTATTGCAAATTCCTGGTTCGATCATCTGCAGAAATACAAGCCAGTTCCTTTAGTAACAAATAGAAATTATAGCAATGAGAATGATGAAAAAATAAAGTGCACTGGGATTTTATTTATGAAATCTTCTAGGTTAGAAAATCAGGGGGAAATAACAGTGGATCTCAACATGCTAGAAGAAAGTTTAGATCTATATAGAAACACTCTACTAATCTGGAAGGACACTTTCAATGAGAACATCGCATGGATAAGATTTAATAAAAATCTCATGACAGAAAACATGATATCTCATATAGAGAGAAAATACTATGCTAGCGAGCTAGAGCTGATCCAATGCAAGAATCTATTTAAGATAGATGAAAGAATGTACTATGAGAATATAATTTTAATCTCGTATAACATAAAGGAATTCAGTTTTAAGGACCTTTTAGGCTCAATATTCTCTGATACTGGATGTGAATAAAACAACTTAAGGTTATCTTTCTGTATAAGGCATACTTATCATTATTATTGCAAAATATTATGAAACTTATACTTACACTATGCCATTTGTTCTTAGCATCTAGTAACTATTGCTGCTCTTTTCTATATATGGCCACTGGCTACGAGCTATAGCCAATTATAGCTCAATAAATATTTTATTTTAAGCATAAAACATAGTAAACAGCACTTTTATTAATAAATTCAAGCTGGCCTTTGTTTATACTCCATCAAACAAGTAAAGTACTATACACTGCATTCTCTTTCTTTGGGTTCTGATATGGTCGGCTCCTTTAGCATGTTATCAAAGTTTTTAGTGTATTCTTTTTTATACTTATTTTTTAGATAATCCATCTTCTTTCTTATATTTTCATAAAATTCTTTATTCTCTTCTGAGTTTTTATCTACGAATTCATTTATCATTTCTTCTGCCATAAAATTTATTGTATTAATTATATCAAGCATATTGTTAAGTATTCTCTCACGAATCTCGTACTTATATTCTGATTTTACTAATTCATAATTCTCTGAGTTTCTTACTAGTTTAATAAACAATTTTTTTTCTGAAACTTCTCTAAATTTTTCGGATATATGCACTAGTACACTATCCATTACACTGCCGATTTCTTCCCGAAAAGAATTGTTACTATCTTTCATAAGATCTTTAAGTAAATTATCATGCATAGACATCAGATCGAATTTTTCCAGCAGTTGCTCTAGACTTTTGATGAATTTTATTTTTAGCGCATGCATTTCTTTATTCTTTTCAGATGCATTCATGCTCTGCTGAGTATCATGTGCTAGTGAAAGAGACGGATTCTCTACACTGTCTACCTTTTTGTCGCTTGATCCTGCTATTGCACTCTCTTCTAGCGGCGGTGTGCTGCTTGCTCTTACTGCTGCCAGTAGTATACTTACTATCAGTATTATCTTCATATACACTTTCATTCCCATCTAAGTGAAAACAACTTTCATTTGTTTTTATACTTTTTGAATTATCAAGATGATCTGCATTCTTGCTATTAGTTGACAACTAGAGAAAAAGTTCCTGAAAATGAGAATAACTATATTTATTGTCGTAAATTAATCTGTAATTCATATATCAAATTGACAATCATCACAAAAACAAGCATGAATATAATTATTTTTTAGATAGCGCAGGCATAAATACAAAACATTTAGAAACTGAAGAAGACAAGGATAACCAGACGGCAAACACACTGACACAAGTCGCCAAGGCCCACAGTAAATATCCTACGACCGGCAGCCGCAAGTCTGCAACCAATAAATCACCACATTATCTTCAAACCAGTTTACTCATTGACTTTTACATCAGACATGGTGTAGATTTAGTTCCTTCATGAAATCACCATAGTTATATTTTATATAATCTAATTTTACACTGCAAAAAACATAGATCCGGTATTTAAAAGATTTCTAGCAAGCATTTCAGTATTAGATTGACTATATTTTAAATTAACCGGCACTAATATATCTGGTATATATATACTTAAATTATATGGAAAAAGAGAGTAAATTATTTCCTCAAAATATAAATATTCTGAGCTCTTTCGAAAGCTTTCTACATCTATCTCTATAGAATTTGTACTTACTTGTATATTTCGTGTATATAGTGTTTTTAGAATTTCTTCTATATTATTTAATATATTTTGCAGCTCTTCCATTGCTATTAATTTTTATACTTTTATTTTTATATAAGCATAAGTATTGATCAATATCAGAAGCTTTCTGACAGCTGTCATGTGTCAAACAGTATTAAAAAATTTTAAATTAAAAGGCTTCTACGGGAATCGAACCCGTAGCCTCACCCTTACTAGGGGTGCGCTCTACCATTGAGCTAAGAAGCCGCAATAGCATTGCGTGTCTGCCTCCTATCTTCGCTTCCTCCGTTATTACTTTGCTTCCATTTTAATTATTTTTCGATGGACCGAGACAACAGAAACGAAAAGAGTATGTTCGACAAAAGAGGATACAGAAGACACCAAGAGATGGACTCTGCAAGGACCGTGCTGCCGCTGAACGAGTATGTTGGGGACAGGGAGCTTCACTCCCGCTTGTCAGTTAGAAACTCAACGCTCATTGATCCCGCAGGCCCTGTGGACTCGGGATATGCCAAGCTGCGCCAGTGGGTGGACGACTCTTTGGATTCTTTCAAAAACGATCTGAGCAATCTTCTCTTTCCTGTTTTTATCCACTTGTATTTAGACATGATTTCTATGCGAAGAGAAAACGAAGCGCTGGCGCTGATGAACGAGTTCAAGGAAGATTTTATAGAAGTGCATGCAAATGAAATAAGACAGATAGAGATGGTGCGAGACATGTCCAATCTCAAAGAAAACATGCTGGCCATGGCCTTTATCTCAAACAAATACCACTTGACAATGGGAAAGTATGCCTTTGACCTCTTGATAGACTTTCTTGAGCTCAACGGCCTGCTGAAAATAGGAAAAATTGTCAACCAGTATCTGAACATAAAAGTGTTCACTGGGAAAATAGGAGAAGATGTTGTTGACATTGGTCTTGTGGGTGTTGCTGATTTTGACTTTAACAAAAAGGCTATTTCCAGCGGCGTGCATTACATTTCCCCCAAAGTTGAGGAGCTTGTTCTGACGGAAGAGCAGTACAAGTACGAGTATCTGGACCAGTTTCTCAGCATTCTAAAGAAAAAGAAGTCTGAAAACGTTCCGCCTTCTTTTGAAAGAATACCCTCTCCCAACCCGTCTGCTTCGCACATAGCATCTGAAATCGACAAGCTGAGAGATCTCGCAAAAAGAATGAACGTAAGCAAGCACCAGATGCCGAGCATTTGCTGCTACACTGTGCACAACACGTTTGATGCTCTTTGCTGTGCTGACTACTCTCCCGATCTCAAAATGGCTGCGCTTGGGTACACAGACTCGTACATTGAAATACACTCGCTGACTGATGAAAGCTTGCTGAAGCTTAAGCAAAGCATATATCTTAAAGCGCCTGAAATGAGGACAGGAAAGGCAGACGATGCTCGAGACGACATTGGAAAAGTTGTTCGCCTTGTAGGCCACTCAGGCCCTGTATATGCAGTAAAGTTCTTTGCCAGCAAGAGGTTCCTTCTTTCGGCTTCGCAGGATAGCACAATCCGTCTGTGGTCTCTTGACACTTACTCCGAGGTTGCAGTGTATCAGGGCCACTTTTTCCCTGTGTGGTCTGTTGACATAGCATCCAACGACTACTACTTTGCCTCAGGCTCCAGCGACAGAACAGCCTGTGTGTGGAGCGTAGAAAGCGCAAAGCCTGTGCGCCTTTTCGCCTCTTCTTTGAGCGATATCATGTCAGTTAAGTTCCATCCAAACTCAAACTATCTCTTCACCGGGAGCTGCGACTTCAAAATCAGGATGCACGATCTGCAGGACGGAGACCTTGTGCGTCTTTTTGTTGGCCATAAGGACGCGGTGACATGTCTGGATGTTTCTGCCTGCGGAAAGTATCTTGTTTCAGGCGGGAAAGACAAAACTGTTATTCTGTGGGACATAGCAACTGGCAAAAAGGTCTTTAAGTACATAGGGCACGACGGGTTTATTTTCTCTGTAAGCTTTTCTTATTTCTCGTCTCTCATTGTTTCTTCTTCTAGCGACAACACGGTAAGGCTGTGGGATAAAAACAAAGGTGACCTTGTCTCCACATACTACACAAAATCAACTCCTATTATCAAGGCGGTGTTTGGATATCGAAACATTATATCGTGTCTGGGTGCATACACCCCAAAAAAATAATAAACTGAGCAGCCAGTATATAAAGTGTTATTGAGCTATCTCTTTGTTTGTTACGGATTCTACTTGCTATGTGGTGAGCAGAATAGACAGCTCTGTCTCTGAAAGCACGAGCAAGAACGCTTAGCATCTTCCAGTGCATCTGCATATACAGAATAAAGACATCTAATTTGCAATAGCTGATTACTTTCTTCAATCTCATTCTTCCTTTCTCTTTTTGTTGCACATTTATCAAGAACAGTATGCTCTGTATATTTTAGCCTATGTGCTCCATCTTATAGAAATTTGGATAAAAATACTTTTGCTTGCATGCACATCGTACTGGACAGGAAGGCATGTGTTGCTATAGATAAAGGGATCTCCGGCAAGTTTGAGCAGATATCTGTGCGGGTAAAGGACTCAGGGCTTTACATACAGGCAGTGGACAAGTCTCGAAGCATGGTTGTGGACCATTACATAGACACAATGCTGCTGGAGTCCTGCAGCGGAGAAAGTGAAGGCATAACCATTCCATACACGAAGTTTCTTCTGGCGGGGATGGACAGGCTGTCTTTCAGTAAGACGGGAAGTCTCCTAAAGCTTGTTTGGACAGGAAGCGGCATTTTGCTCGAAAAGAACGTGTATATACTGGACTTTGTGTGGTCTGAGATAGAGTACAGCCTCGGATCTGTTCTATTTTCTCTGCAGTACACAGCGCTTTCTCTGATCAGGCGGGTGTGCGGAAACGAGCTTGAAATATGCGTAGAAAAAACAAAGGTAGAGATCCGTGCCCTGTCAGAAAACCACATAGTCCTGACAAGCAGTCTCGAGGCTCCTGTCGCATGCAAATGCTCCTTTACACTCCTGAAGTACCACCTAGATAGGCTGCCCAAATACACATACACAGCAGCAACCTTTAATATAGACAAACAAGGACTTGTCATCCTATCCCTAGAGGCGCTGGGGGTTATAACAACCATAACAATAGCAACTGAGGTTCTTTTTTTTGAGTAGATGCGGTAAAAACACAAACAGCTACAGCATACACATATTTGCATATTTAGCAATGCAGAGTGTACACATTTGTTTTTGCTAAAAGAAAAATATTTTCAGAGGGCAGTGAATGGATGCTGAAATATACTCAATAGACTACGCAAACAATCGCGCAAGCGAAATAAAAGAGATTGAAAGAAGCATAAAAGAAACAAGGAAGAACAAAATGCTGTTTCAAACGCTTCCCTTCCACAAAAGAAGAAGAACAGCCTCTTTTGACGAGCGGCGGCTCCCTAAAGAGCTGCGGCGAGGAGAGCGCACAAAAAGAAGAAGAGTCAGGCAGACAGTGAAAGACCAGAAAAATCTGCTAAAGGCCCACACATGGTACGCCAAAAGGTTCACAATGTACAAAAGAAAGGAGATGCATCTCCCCTTTAAAAGACACTCAAAGAGCGACAGTTTTATTGCCAAAGCACTGAACACAAGAGGCGTGCTGTGCGACATTTCATACAATAGAGTCTACTTGAGCGAAAAAAAGCATCCAACAGGCGCTGTGTTTGACCAAACATACAACCGAGCTATTTTCTGGAGCCCTTTGATAGAGCCCAAAAGCCATGAGAAAGTGCAGAATAACGATCTGGCAAGGAGAAGCATTGTCATCACAGAGACATTAGAGTGCTTAACTACTGAGCCACTAGAGACATTTAGAGAAATAGAGAATTTGTCAATATTTGAAATATTTGGCGCACAGTCTCTCTTTTCAAAAACCGAATGTGTAAACTGCCAGACGGTTGAAGATCTTTTGAGCTCCACCGAGCTGGCATACATTTGTCTTCGACTGCAGGACAGAGCATACATACTTGTCTCAAGAAAACACTGCATGGCTCTGCTGCAGAAAGCGGTAGTATCAGGGATTGTGCCTTGCAGCATACTTGAGCTGCGCAGAATTGCAACTGAGACAGAAAGAGTTGTGTATCCCTACGACATACCGTGCCATCCCCAAGGAAAGGCCTTTCTAGAGCACATTCGCACGCTGCAGGAAGAAGAACAGAGTAAAAAGCCAAAGGGAAAAAAGGAAGTAGTGTTTCTACCAATCTATGAAAACACGTTGGAAAAACAGACAATGGCGCTCTTCCAGGCAAACAAAGGAAGCTTTCCAAGCAGATCACCGGTGGTGCAGAGCGAAAAAACTGATGATTTTGCCATGAGTGGAGCAGAGGAAGTGATCGGAGAGGTGGGAAGGTCTTCTTTTTCATTCGCAAAGGGGAAAACAGCAGGCTTGATTTATATTGATGAAAATGTAAAGATAACAAAAAATCTTTTTATCAGGAATCTAAAAAACAAGACCTTCAGAAAAATAGAGTACCAAATAGTGGATTCTACCATGATGCTGTAGCCAGAACATGCTATGTCTCTCAGACTATGCTGAAAAGATATTTTAGTGGAAGTACAGACCAAATGAAATAGATTCTAGCCGCAGAAACGGCTACATAAATAAAACGACTATTTATTGAATTGTAAAAGGGTAGCATCTAGGGCTCTTTTGATATTTTGTATAGAACTCTTTTGTATGCTATGAGATCTAACAGGTGTTTTCTGTCCGGAAGATCGATGAGATGTGTGAACTTGTTGAGTAGAAACAGCTCTTCTGCAAAAGTTTTTTGTGCATCCTGCACGCAGTCTTCTTTGTTTATAATCCCGCGCGTGTACATGTTCAGAAGGAAGTATAGATACTCTTCCAGATGCTCCTCGGGCTTCTCGCGCTCTTCCTTTCTTCCATAGAGAACGCCGCCTGAAGAGTTTCTTATTCTTTTGATGCGGTTGGCTTCGTCTGGTACGCTGCTAAGATAGTATCCTGCCAAAAACAAAAAGGCTTCCTTCTCGAGCACGTTAGACATCCCAGCCAAACTGGCCTTTATTACAGGAGAGAACCTCTCGGGCAGAGGATGCTCGCTGTAAATAGCCCGCAGCATAGACGCAGGGCTGTATTGAAATCCAAGGCGGATGTGCTCGTCTTTCAAAATGCCATGCTTCAGGAGAAGACGTGTGGTGTGGAACACACACTCTCTGTCGTGAACAAAAGTAGCTATCTCGGAAAGGCCTTCCTTGCTGTTCAGAAGAGAAACAATGTACAGCTTGAAAATCTTCTCTTTTTTTGTGTCCTCGTTATTGATCAGAAATGGGTCTATTTCCAGCTTTACACTGTGCCTTTGGAGAAGATGCAAAATGCTCTCCAGTGCGTCTGTTTTATGGCGTGTTCCAATGTAGCTTATTAGGCTGCTAGCTATCTTCTCTGCCATGATGGGTGACAGAGGCCTTTGGCTTATACTGAAAAGCTCTCTTATAGCGAACAATGGAAGAAACTCTATAACATCCATGGCTACCTCGATAGCCTCGCTGTTTGAGAATTTGCAAAGCAGTCTGTACAGGTCAATGAAAAGCAGAGAGAAATTGCCGTGTATCCCTTCGATTTTGTGTCTGTTTTTGCACAGAGTTTTAAAGCATAGAAGCAGCTCTTTCTCAGTGAATGTGCCTTTCTGCTGTTTCTCGATGGAAATAATTGCAGAGATAGAGGCTCCAAAGACCGTGGGGCTGTCACTTTGCACAGCCTGTTTGACACTTTCAAGCTTTGTCTCTTTAAAGGCCCTGAACAGAGTGGGCACGGCCATTAAAGAAGCCTTTTGAACAATATCTGAGCGGGAGCTGCAGCCTTTTTCAATCTCATGCGAAAAGTGGTTTAAAAAGTCGGCGTTTGAGATTTTGGATATAAAGTCAAAGGCAAGAGATACTTTGAGCGCATTTGAATAGGTTTTCTGCGCAAGGTCTTCTTTTGTCTCCTGCAGGACCGTGTTCACAGAAAGAATCAGAAGAGACGAGTCCACTCGCACTGTTCGCAGAATAAAAGAGTATGCAGCGCACTTCACCTCTATGGCACTGTGCCCTATAAGACTTAGAATAAGCGGGAAGACTTGTGCTTTTTCTTTGTGAGACAGGTTTTTTGTAGAGATTGTGTGGAAGGCATCCATGACTTTTTTCTTTTCTCCTGTGGCAAGCTTTTCTTTTGTCTCCAGAAATACGCTTTTCTTCGGAACAACTGCAGGCGCAATAAGACTATTTGTTAGAGTGTACATGGATGGGTTTTAGGACGCGCTATTTATAAAGCGGATATTTGTTTGTTATTGCAGCACTGCAGATTTTTACATAATAGAGTGGGCTTTTGTGCAGTAATTATATGCTATCGATGTTTTTCAATGAGTATAAACATGTACAGTTTGACTAAACAAGATTTTATCTAGATCTATTGATATATTTGCAAAAGATAAACACCTTATTGCAAGTAAATATAAATGCTATTTATGCAGTATAGTGTGTTAAGCAGTGATCTGTTGATTAAATGCTGCACTTCACAAATATAGTATAGTCTTATATGCAGGCGCAGAGAGGCTATAATAATTTTAGTATTTTATCTCGGGTTTATTTTATTTTGTAGGACATAATCAAATGAACTCTCTTACTTTTGTAATCTAGCGTGTGTTTTAAAAAACTACTAAATACGCTCCAGCTCATGTATTTATACGCATACAATGCCATCACTACAAATGCAAGCAAAGAAGCGCATAAGTATAGTAGGAAGAAAAACTCACTTTTGCTCATTTTGTCTTTTTTAAAGAAGGCCACGTTATATAGCTCTGCAACACTGTATATTTGGGCAATAGCAAGCAGGCCAATTAGCACAGACCAGTTTTTCCATGTGTAGGTTGTCTCTAGGATAGAATTCTGTATGTCTGTTTCTATATACACTTCTACATAGTTCTTGTAGATGAAGCTAAATAAAAATAAGCATGGCACAGAAAACAGGATTGAAAGAACTGAATAGACTGTTTTGGCATATATACTTTTAACAAACCTTATAAAACGCTTGAGCATGTATATCACGCTTATTATCTTAACAATAAAGCTTGTAATGTTGAAAAAGTTGTAGCATGCTATAAGAACGATGTTTCTTGGGGTGATAATATTGTATGGATTTGTTAGCTGCAAAGAGATGAGATTTGCCACACCGTTATTTCCCAGCATTATCACGTTGGCAGTTGCGTATATAATATTGAGTATTATATAGTATCCAAGTAAAAGCATTATTTTCCTCAGTATATCAAATAGTGTGGTTCTGCAAAAGTATCTAAAGCTGCTCTCTTCTGGCTTGCGGAGTGTACTGTCTGATGGATGCACAGGATCTGAAGTTCCATTTATGAGATGTAAAAGAGAACTGGTCATTTTTTCTTGAACCATATTGAAAAGCCTTGGGCCCAAAAAGACATTTTGGCGCAAAGCAGCAGACTTGTGATGATTCATTTGGATGCCAAAAAATTTTAGTCTCTGTTTCGATATAACTCAAAAATACATAGAATTTACACGCTAGAAAAGAAATCTATTGGACGGTAAGCAGAGCAAAGGAGAACATTTCAGACTTATACTCCAAGAGCTAGTTTGATGATTTGTGTATCTGTGATGAACATAACTAGCACTACTGGTAATTTAAATACTGAAAGTAGAAAAATAATATAATTTAACTGCACTCTTAGATATTTAGTAGAAAGATTTAGCATAATGTGAATGCGTGTGTTTAAGAGCAGATGTTTAGCAAACTAGATTGTTTTATTTAATGTTGCTTTTTATAGGTTTACCTATAAGTGTGTTTGTGTTTAACTAATGCTAGTTTTAAACACGCGATTGCATATATCTCGCATAAGTGCTAGATAGTATTGGAACCAGCAGAATTTTTGACCCAATGTTAGAAAACAAAGAGCCTGCACTATTGCTATTTTGGTGGTTAGCAGAGTTTGCACAGATTTTATCAGCAGATTCTATGGGCTTAGAGGCATTAAATTCATTTTTGTTTGGAAGTGCTGGATTTGAAGTGGTGCTAAATATAATATCAGATGTGCTTGGTTTTGTAGAATTCATTTGTTGAGGGGCACTGGGTGTACTACTGGGATATGGTACTGGATTTGAAGTGGTACTAGATATATCCTGAGATGTGCTTGGTTGTACTTTTTCTGGGCGATTAGTATTATTTTTGGGTATGATACTTGTTACACTATCTTCATTTGAGCTGGGATAATTAGTATCAGGTATATCACTGTTTAATACTTTTTTTAAAGTGGAGCTATAATTTGTTTTAGGGGTAGTAACTTCCGAAGTCTCCTCTAAATCATTAACTTTGAGAGTAGTAACTTCGGGAATTTCCTCTAAATCATTGACTTTGAGAGTAGTAGCTTCGGGAGTTTCCTCTGAAGCATTAGTTTGAGGTGTAGTAACTTCGGGAATTTCCTCTAGATCATTAACTTTGAGGGTAGTAACTTCTGGAGTTTCCTCTGAGGCATTAGTTTGAGGTGTAGTAACTTCCGGAGTCTCCTCTGTCGTACTATTTATTTCTGATATGGTGCTAACCTGCAGACTTTGCTCAGGAGGATTACTACAATTTTGTGATGTATACACTATTTTTATTGGCTCAATGTTTCCAACTTCACTTAAATCTATGCGGCTGCAATTTTCTAGCTTCTCATCTTCATTTTCATTGTAGAATTTAGACAGTAAATCATGTGTATCAAAATCATCAATATCGATAATTCTTCCGATTGTTGAATTGATATATTCTAACTCAAAATCTAAATGCTTAATTTGCATTTTGAAGAATCTTTCATAGTCTTTTTTATCTAGAATGCTATTTTCTATCTTTTTTTTAAAATCTGTAAATAATTCTTTGTTTTTATCGCTAAAAGATTGAATAAAACTTTCCATTTTAGCTATATAAGCACTAATATCATTTTTGATTGTCTGTATTGCATTTTCTACCTGAACATTATTTTTTTCGTCAGAAATAAAAAGATTGCTTACATCTTTCATTACAGTAGAGCTATTTTTTTTTACTTTTTCAATATTTTCCTTTAAACCACATACATCTATAATAGCAGGATCCATAAAGTATTCTATGCGGTTAATATGCTCGTATACATTTATTATTTGGTTGTATGTGTTTTTTATGGACATATCCGCAAAGCTTGAGTTTATAATAATGCTCTTTAGATCCGGATATCTTGTTTTAATATCAAGTTGAAGATCCTTGTTTGAAAACATATATATTGGGTTTTCTTTGAAAGTAGAGTTTTTAATATTTTGTAGTGCGGTCTTCCATTGGTCTGCTTGAGATAAAACATTTTTTGCTTCTTGGGTTTTATACAAATATATATTCTTTACTACATCAGCATAGTCATTCCTAGACAAGCTCTTGTAATCTCCCATTGATATATGTGTGCATATTTTCACTAATATTTCTTCTATTGTTAATCTAAATGTATTAGAAATTTCATATTCTTGCTTTATCTGGGCTTCAATATTATTTATCGTAGTATTATTATATGCTGTTGTATATTCAAATCTTTTATTCAGATCTGGATCAATCTTTAACTCTAGCATCCTTCTATAAAAATCCAGCGAAAATTCAGGCGAAGAAATCATAAAACTGTAAAATTTAAGTCCATCTGAGTTGTTCTCAGACACTGTAATCGATTTCAGTATATCATTGTATGCTGAATTGTAGTCAGTTTCGAAAATAGAGGGAATACTACTATTGTTTGTTTCATTGCTCTCTGCTATATCTCGGGTTATTCTGGTATATGGTTTACTATATCTTTCTTTTGGCATACTATATGAATCTTCCTTTTCAACATAGAAACTATTTTCGCTTCCCATTTCCATTTCCATTCCTGGATTATATGCTTGTTCAAGTTCATTGTATCCTGGGTTATTGAGGATATAGCTTGTTCCTGGCGTAATAATGCTGCTTATAATAAGCCCAATTAATACGGTAGCTCCTATAACAAAATTTATTATCTTCATAAAAATAAAAACACTTGCGTATTTATATCTCAATGATCTTTAATCAATCGCCGTATTTCAAAATCATTATTAGCGAGCATGCATTGCATAACTTTCAATAGAAGACTCTAGTAACCTAGACAGATAATATGCAAATAGGAATAGGATGAGTGATAGATTCTTATTGCTCTTCCTTGTTTTCAGTACTGTGCAGAATTGCTCTTTTTATTTATACATACTACATACTATGCACATGCTTGAATTAAATGTAATCCTTGATCACTAGTTTTTTGATATTATAATTGTGGTGATTCCGGGGTGGAGCTTCACTATGTCTAATGTAAAAGTCTATGAGTGAGTGCGTTGATAGATAGTGGATGTTTTATTGTTACGAGGCGGGCGATGGCCTGTAGTAGGATGTGTGCTGTAGGCTTTAGTAGTATCCTGTGTTGGCATGTGTACAGAACGGTTATCCTTTTCTGCTGTAATTTCTGAATGTGCTGAATTCACGTTCGCTCCTGTTAATAAAATATTTTTATACTTATTTTTTGTAATGCTTGTAAAGTATGCTGTAGTGAGATAGCTTAATTTACGACAAATATTAATACATATTGCAAGTAAAATAAAATTCATGATAAAATTTATTAGAATTACTAAATATAGCTTCCCGTCAAAGGTATAAAAAGAAAATATTTTAATTTATTTATGATCCTACAACAGGTGTTGAAGAAGGTAGTAGTAGGAATAGTTATATTAGCTTGTCTACAGAGAGCCAAGGCAGAATTAGACAGAGATATACAAAGGGCAAAGATTTATTGGAAAAATAGAATGGATTATATAAATAGAGAGTTTCGAGTCCGTTGTGATTTTTATGTTAGCGCAAATTCTTTCATATATGATCAAGAAATACCATCTAAAACTCTTAGAGATAATCTAGAGGACGGAAAGAACAAAATAGTCAACGTAAAAAGGAAAATAGCAATTCTTGATGAATGCGTAGAGAGGATATTAAGCATAGCGACAAAATGTTTAAAAAATACTAGTGATTCAAATATAGAACTAAATGAGCTATATTGCAGCTTAAGAAAGTCACTCTTAGAAGCCTTTGATAGAAATGACTCAGTAAGTGATGCAATGAAAGAGCTTGATTCGCATATGCTAGAAGTAGTAAAGGAATACAGCTATATAAAGAACAAAAACAATCGCATACAAGAATCAACTCTATTCAAGCTAGCAGAAAAGAATAAGGCATTTGCTTTGAATATGCTGTTCAGTTTTTCTAGTATAGAATTGTTTAAACCTGCTAATCTTATAGAAGAAGAGATAAAACATGCATTTGAAAACAAAAAAGATTATCTAATCACTACGGATTTCTCAGTCTACAAGAAAGCTATAATAGAATCTATAATAGAAGACATAGAAAAAGGCGAAGTAAACCTGTTTGCATTAGCTGAAAAACACTTCTATATTCTATTTAAGTATTACGAAATTGATGCAGATGTGATGAATATCTATCTCAACCTGCTAAAAGAGGATATGTCAAAAGAAGAGATAGACCAATACATAGACATCACTCCTGGCCAGGTTATAAAAATAATAATACTAGAGTGTGCATTGAATACATATCTTATAGACCACAGAAGAAACATTTTGTTTTCTAACCTTGGGAAAGTAATAGTGAATACAGGAAGGCCAAGAATCAGCGGCACAGGCGGCTATGAAGCCGTGGAAAGAGCAAAAGAAAGACAAGATAAAATACTTGATGCGCTGCATCTTCTGTGGAATAGTGGTGACTCATTTATAATAGGAAAAGGATATGAAAACTTTAAAAACTTCTGCAGCGATAATGGTATGACATCTACTAAATTTAGTAACATACAGAATATTTTTACATTTTCTAGATGGATATATACACTGGATATACTTACTTCAACCCCTGATAATATAACTAATGCACACAGAGTATTCAAAAAAACGCACTTTGACTTGTCTTACACCCATCCCATGTGCTATATCTATCTGCGATCTAAAGATGCTATCAAACAATTCAGTAACATTAATC